GCTCGTTTGTTCGGTACAATGTTTTGGCGTGGGCGGCGGGATTGGAGGATTGCGGGGATTGGGGAGAAATTGGCGCACAGGAAGTCTATCAAAATGCCAATATACTGGTACATACATACATGTAGGGTGTGTCTCTGTGTGAGCGTCTGTCTCTGGGTAAGCAGTGCAACCAATAAATCCTCAATAATTTATATGGAACGTCGACCGCATTTCTGAGGTTTTGGCCTCATTCTCGTAAAAGGAGAGAGTGCCAGAAAGGCAACAGAAGGGCTCGGGGTTTGGAGTGACTAAGCGAAAAGCGAAATTTGTTCAAATATTTGTCCGCATCAATGTGAGGGAGGGGTGGGGAATGTTGTGTGACACGGTGCAAAAACTCGAACAAAGGATACCTCTGGATACCTATTGTTCCAATATTACTGCTATGATATGGTCAACTGATTTTGTATTTTATGGTGTATTAAAGAGAGAGCTCACGACGAGTCAATGCAGGATGAAAGATTAATTAAAGAAGCGGGCTCGGTTGAGGATCTATTTCCAAAACGATATGCAAGAAGTGCAGGCAGCTTCTTGCAAGCGAGGCTTCGGCTAGAGCGCGACAGATCGAGAGCGAAAGCCAAAGAAAAAATTACGTGAGAGAGCGGCTGCATGGGATGCTTGCGTGCGCGAGCATATGTATGTATGTAGTACAGTAAGCAGTGCAAGTAACGAAGAATAACAGGAATTTACTCTACTGCTGCACCACACTGACAATGTTCCATGGATTCCCAACTAACATTTGGCAACGTAATCGAAAATTGGTTTTTAATGTGGTTTTTACTGCTTTACTATTAGAATAGAATATGTAAACTACCTTACTGCTGCACCACTTGGCTGTAATCTCTGGATTAACGGCTAACTGCGTTCTGCATAACCAAAAACCAAAAAGTTTCTTAAATCCTGTAATAGAATGCCACAAATTATAAGCATACGATACAGAGGGGTGTTTATAGTAAAAGGTACGATAAATGATTATGAATGGAATGTACGAATATTCTTTGGCCACAATCCTCTGCGCAATCCACATATAATTCTCTAACTATCCCTATCACACACATATGTGTGTATGTATGTATCTACCGGTGCGGTCCGTGGGGGCGACATATTCGCAACTTAAAATGCGCTTTTCCTCGCCCATCCCCTCGCTCCATACACCAAGGTCTGAGCAAACAAAGGGCGCAATTCGTGCCATTTCATAACTCAAAGTGACAAGCCAACCAACGAGCAGAAGCACAGAGGGAGAGGGAGAGAGACACAGTCAATTTATATTATGAGCGAATGACCAGGACAGGGACAGGGACAGTTACAGGGACAGGGCCATGGAAGTGGACAGATGATAGGGCGGGTGACAACAAGTACCACCCCCCCTCTGCCATGTGCGAGTTTGGTTTGGCATTGCTGGGATATGGAATACATTTACTTATCCCAAATGAGTGGATCTATTTAGGGATATCCACAACGATTCAAGGGCCATCGGGAAACAGCAAAGAAAAGAAAAGTAAAAGCAGCAAACTGGACGGGCAGGCAGCATGCACAAACGACGGAATTCAATAAAGTGTTAAGTGGTGCAGAATTCTCATTCTTGCCCCTCCGGCTGATGGATGGAGAAAGCAACGAGCAGAGCAGAGCAGAGCATTTCACTCCCAAGATGCCTTTGCGTCACTTGAGCGCCAATTTGAATGAATGCCATCGGAATGGGAAATTGCTGAATCAGGAGAGACAGAGAGAGACAGAGAGAGAGAGAGAGAGACAGAATGGAAGTGCAGAGGGGTGAGAAATCTAAGAAATCCCAAGATGGGGCAAAGCATCTAAAGAGTCCCTCGGGGGGCCAAACCAATGGACGATTTGTGCATATAACATTATTATAATGACATCAATCCAAAAGGGGGTCCCCAGTCCAAACGGATTACAAAGAGTGGGTACAGAAAAGTGGCAGGAAGTGCGGGGGTGGAATCGGACATGCCATGCCCGTTCAAGTGGCGTTCCTCAGCTCCCCAGCTCCCACTTGCATGGAGTAAATAATAAGAAAATTCCTGTGCGCCTTGGCATCTTGCCTAACCAACATCATTCGCCCCATCATGCTCATCATCGTTCCCCCTTCAGTTAAGACGCAAAACTATGTGCCCAGTGGCTGGTGGCAGTGTTGCCCAGGCGCCACGACACGACACGCCATGCCATGCCACGGCAGGGCAGGGCCCACATGCCACACAGTGCAGAGCGTACAGAGCGTCAAAATGGAATTTCAAGTTCAAGCGGAAAAGCAGAAAAGCAGAAAAGCGCACACAAAAAATGTGAAGGAACTTTTCGATTAGGAATGGAGCGAACGGAACCCCGCCAGTCAGCCAAATGCAATAAACTTCAAGTTTATTAAATTTAACGAGTATCACACCACACCACAACACACCCCCCATCACCCTTCATCCGCTCCATACCAAATCCGGTTATGTGTGTGTGAGTGTGTGTCCTGGCAATTGTTGTGCAGGAATCAAATTATGGTACACACCAGCAAGATCCAGCAAACGTGTAAAAGGCGAGTCGGCTAAACGCTCCCGGAAAAACGCTTTGGATGCAGCTCAATCAATCTAAAATCAAATCAGCTCGGTTTGTTTGCCCTACTGAATCCACAATGAACCGAACTGGGGTGTCCAGGCCTGCGCCTCTTATGAAGGCCATACAAAGTGAATTACTTTAGGTGCATAGATAGAGGGATATTCGTTTATGTGCTCATTTATTGGCAGATCCAATACAGTTATTTGGCGGAGATTGGGCATGGAGGGTAATAGCACTTCTTAGTTTCCTCATCCTATTCAGCCCCTGCCACACGCTCGTTCGCTCTCTATCACTGGCGCCCCCTGCCGCAGAGAGCCAGGCCGGATGGGAATTCGTTGGTGGGCAGATGGAGAGAAAGAATGAAATGCACTGCTATTATACTGACTGATTATCGTATTAACATTACGACTCGTTCCTGAAAATCCAGCAATAAATAAATAAATAAATAATTTATTAATAAAATAATAATTAATAAAATAAATAAAATATATATTTAATAATTTGATTTATTTATTAATATAATTTACTTAATAATTTAATTAAATTAATACTTTAAAGAGCTAACTCGAGTGTCTGCTCACACACCAATTGAGCGGAGCCCCAACTCTGGGGGCCCCATCGATTCGGCGTGGGGAAAATTGAAGTCAAAAAGTGCATTTCCGATCAACATCCAATTATGATATGGACCAAACCAAGCCAAGCCAGGCCAGGCCAACCCGTTCGAGTTCCATTCGCTTCCAATTTCTCTCGGGGTGCTCCGGGACAATGGGAAAGTGGCAAACGTTGAAGGCTGAACAACGAAACCGATTTGTTCGATATTACGAAAGTTTTGCAGGCATACACCACAAAAAGGGGGTGGGGCCAGGACAGCACAGGGAGAAGGTGCAGCTACGCTACGGTTACGGTTACGGTTACGGGTCGAATGGGGGGCGGGCTTCGTGTGTGGTTGGCTCTGATGTATCGCTATGTGCTCGGGGCTGTGCCGCTTGTAAAAGTGAAGTGAGACATATGTACAGTAACAAATCAATTTTAGTGGCAAACACACTGTGTAGAGAGGGGAGGGGTGGGGGGAGCACGCAGACTCGTTTGGGGCACATTACTTCCGCTGAACTTGATTGAACTGAACCCTGGCCCCAGACAGCGTGCGAGCGGAAAGCAAAATTCATCAACGCACCATTGCCCGGAATACGGAATATACGGAATACACGGAACCCGGAACCAATTCAGAACGCGATGCCCGATGCCCGGTGCCCTGTTCCCTGTGCCCGGAGCTATGCGTCGTCGTCCTTCCCTGTGCTCCACCATCTCTCTGTGCAAAAACCACGGACCCCTGTCACTTTTGATTGTAATCGAGTGTTTTTATTGTCGCTCTCTCGCTCTCGCTCTTGCTCTCCACTCCACCCCACCCCCCCTCGATGCTTCACTCCTTCTGACAAACAGTTGGATATACTTTACGAACTGCGGTCCATGGCCACAGCTAAGGCCACATCCAGTTTCACTTCCACAGCCACGGCCACGTCCACGTCCACGTCCATGGCTACGTCCTCGATCTCCTTTCGGTGTGTGTTTGCCAATTGGATTTGACATTTTATTGGGTTTTCCTCTACGTCTCTCGTTACTGCCGCTCCACTGGCCAGGCCTGGCCTGGCCTGGCCTGGTCTGGCCTGGCCGATTGTTGCCTGTAACTGTAATTGATGTGCCTGAATGTGCGACTGGCGAGTCGGTCGGTCGGTCCGAGTCGCTGCCAACATAAATCCACACTGCGCTGGATTGAGGCCCGTCCTCGAGTCAGCCAACCAAAGGACTGACTGTCTGAGTATCCGAGAATCTGTGGTGCCCCCAGCCTCGTGGTGGCACGTGGCATGGGGAGACAGACATGGGTTTGGGCCACGGCACGGCTCGGCAGAACAGATTGAAGTCGCGTGTCTCCCTTTTATTTGGGTAATTAGTACAAAGCAACTTGATTATCGCGCCATCTCCCACCCCACCCCCGCGGCCACATAGCAAACCGCATTCCAAAATTAAGTTGGGACTGGGATTGGGATTCGGATTCGGATTCAGATCGGTTACCATAGCAGCCAAGTCGACTTAATGGCCAGCAATAATTCTGAGTGTCAGGCAAAAGGGATGACACAAAGGAACAGGTCGGATAACATTGAATGGGATGACTCGCAGACGGGTGGAATGGGTCGAAAGGGTGGAAGGAACGAAATCAATTTCATCTTTAATTAAAACAAACTCACTTGGCTACATTCCCATAAGCTTTGCTAGAACATAACCTCTAACTGTATTGCCTGCCCTGCCTCCTGCTTGGGCCTAACGCGTTCTGCTCGATCAGCTGGCGGCAGTGTGCTACGGTCACACTGTGCGCGCTAACGTACAAAATATGTAACGAAAGGACTCTCTGATTTCAGGCCTGTCGGACACGAAGCTGCACGAGATCTATCTGGATGACAAGGAGATCAAGCTGAGCTGGATGGTGGACTGGTACAAGCAGGAGGTGCTCTTTCACCTGCAAAACGCCTTCAACGAGCAGCATCGCTGGTTCTACCTGGGCTTCTCGAAGCGGGGCGGCCTTGCCGATGCGGACATTTGCTTCTTTGAGAATCAGAACGGCTTCTTCAATGCGGTCACCGACACGTACACCAGTCCGGACGGGCGCTGGGTGCGCAGGGACTACCAGCAGGACTGTGAAGTCTTCAAAATGGACGAATTGACGCTGGCCTTCAAGCGAAAGTTCGACACTTGCGATCCCCTCGATCTGCGCCTACACGTAAGTAGTTTGTTTGCCCCCAAAAAAAACATGGATTTCAGCTTACCCTTGCCTTACCTTACCCTTACCCTTACCCATTTGTGTGCATGCGACAGGAGGGCACCATGTATGTGGTGTGGGCGCGGGGCGAATCCGATCTTGCCCTGGAGGATCACCAGTTCGCGCTGCCCAATGTGACGTCCAGCCACGAGGCGGGCGTAAAGATGCTGCAAATTCTTCGTGCTGACAAGATACTCATTCCCGAAACGTGAGTCTGGGGGATTTGCTGTGGAACTTTCTTCCAATATTCCGATTTGTTTTACTCTCTAAAAAAACATTGCAGCGATCTGGATATGGTGGAGATTACCCTCTCGAAGGCACCCATACCCAGCGAGGAGACCACCTACTGGTGCCACGTGCAGCGTCTGGACGACTTTGTACAACATCGCCATCACGTTGTGCAGTTCGAGCCGCTGGTCACGAATCCGGCCATTGTGCACCACATGGAGGTGTTCCACTGCGAGGCCGGGGAGCACGAGGAGATGCCGCTGTACAACGGCGACTGCACAAATCTGCCGGCCCAGGCCAAGGTCTGCTCAAAGGTGATGGTCCTCTGGGCAATGGGCGCCAGCACGTTCACCTATCCGCCAGAGGCTGGCCTGCCCGTCGGTGGCCCCGGCTACAATCCCTACGTCCGGCTCGAGGTGCACTTTAATAATCCCGAAAAACAGGCCGGTGAGTGGGAGTAGAGCAGCTACGAATGGGCCCCCGCAACCCTTTCATAAATATTAATCATATGCGCGCACTTTTTTTACCCTTTCCAGGGCTCATTGACAGCTCCGGTTTTCGCATCAAGATGTCAAAGAGTCTGCGACAGTTCGACGCAGCCGTCATGGAGCTGGGCCTGGAGTACACGGACAAGATGGCCATACCGCCCGGTCAAACGGCCTTTCCATTGAGCGGCTACTGCGTGGCGGACTGCACGAAGGCCGCACTGCCGGCGACAGGCATCATCATCTTTGGATCGCAGCTGCACACGCATCTGCGCGGCGTGCGGGTGCTTACGCGCCACTTCCGCGGAGACCAAGAGTTGCGAGAGGTCAACCGTGACGACTACTACTCGAATCACTTCCAGGAGATGCGCACGCTGCACTACAAGCCCCGTGTGCTGCCCGTAAGCAAACATTACCACCACAGCACCACCAGGGGACGAACCAACTCATCTTTTCTTTGGTTTTTTACCCAGGGAGATGCTCTGGTGACCACTTGCTACTACAACACCATTAACGATACGAGAACTGCCCTGGGGGGCTTCTCCATCAGCGACGAGATGTGCGTCAACTACATCCACTACTATCCGGCCACCAAGCTGGAGGTCTGCAAGAGCTCCGTGTCCGAGGAGACGCTCGAGAACTACTTCATCTACATGAAGCGGTGAGTGCGAGTACATGGCAATACGATATGGCAAATAAGAAAAAGAAAAAACCTCTCATTTCTCTGCTCATTCAAATGAATTTAATTATGCTCAACTATATTTATTTCTTTGAATGAAAATGACCAAACAGTCAGCTACGCGGCTATACAATAGGTCCTTGGCTATCAAATATTTATTGCAGAATGGGTCTGCTGTCCATAGCTGACTTCATTCAGTATTTGGGCACAAGCATCCGACATTTTTTGCCTTCTGATTCAAGTCATTGAAACACCAAAACCCCCCGCCCCACACAACCCACCTCAACCCAAGGCATATCCTCGACTGGTATTTTTATTGTTGATTTCTTTCTTTATTTTTTGCTTCCTTTATATAACAATTATGACGCCCGTACACATTCTTGCTGCCATCCAACCAACCATCCATCCATTCATCCATCCCCGGGAGCGTTCGCTGCGTTAATGGAAGAAATATTTTTTAATCTACGCAGCGAAACCGACGACAGACGACGCGACGCAAACTGTATGTAGGGATTGGGTACTGGGTACCGGGGATTGTGGGTTTTCATTTAGGGTTTTCTTCCGCCGCTGCTTCTTGTGTGCATCAAAGGCAAAAGTTTTTGGCATTCCTTTTTTATACCCGTACTCAAAAAAGAGTTAAGGGGTATATTAGATTTGTGGTAAAAGTGGATGTGTGCAACGCAGAGAAGGAAACGTTTCCGACCCCATAAAGTATATATATTCTTGATCAGCATCAATAGCCGAGTCGATATAGCCATGTCCGTCTGTCTGTCTGTCCGTCCGTCTGTCCGTCTGTCCGTCTTGATGAGCGCCTAGATCTGAGAGACTATAAGAGCTAGATAAACCAAATTTGGTTTCCAGCCTCATGTGATATCACACTGCTACAAGTGTATTTCAACATTTCGCCCCGCCTCCTTCCGCCCCCACAAAGGACGAAAATCTGTGGCAGGCACATTTTTAAAGATACGATAAAACTAAAAACGCAGTATCGTAGAAAATGCCCATATCTACCAGATTGCCGAATCTGAACTAGATCGGATTATAATTATAGCCAGAATGAAGAAATTAATTTTCTGTTGGTTCCCTCTCCTTCTCCAGCGCTGCTGACGCTACTGATTCTCTTTCTCGCTTGCACACTCTGCCGCGTTCAGTGCGCGAGCAACCCCTAGCGGAGGAGATGTAGACTCTAAATGGAACATGTACAATCTACATGTTAGATGTAGAATAGACATTGTATATGTAGATGTAGATAGCAGATGTAGCAAAAAAATGTAAAATGTAAAATTTTTTTTTTTTAATTCTAAAATTCTAAAAAATTATATGCTCTTAAATGTATATACTGACTGAGTACGGGTATAAGTAGAGTCGCGTCCCCAGAAGCGACTCGCACGTTCCTTCTCGTTTTGTTTGGTTTTTTTTTGTTCGAGTTTCGACTCGTCGACTCCTTCGCGCATTCATAACGGCGAAGTGCTCTTTGGTGCTTTCTGCCACTCCCACTGCCAATCCCCTGTAAGCTGCCCCCAAAAGGTGTTCGCTAATTGCCAACTTTAAGCACTTGAGCATCAAGGCGAAGTTTACATTAGATTAGGGGCTGCCGCAATGAGGCTCGGTTCGGCTCGGCTCGGCTTTGAAATACATAGGGGGGGGCCTGAGATGGAGAAGATGCCAGATTTGTGGTTGGGTAGCTTGAAATTGCTGTGACTACTTAAAAGGCAATGCTAAGTCCTGTAGATCGCGAAAATAATATTAGATTTGATCAAACATTGCATTAAACTTAGCTATACACACCAGAGAACGGCATGCACATATTTCCAGATGATTTTAAATCACTCAAGCTTTGCCTTCTTTTATTCTGGCTGAGTTTATTCATGCTCGTTCGTTTTTCGGGTGTTTCGGGTGTCTGTTACTTCGGCTCAGCAATGAGCCAATACGATTATCAGCTCGTATGATTTTATTCAAGTGAAGGAACGGTCGGCACACATACATGCACAATGTGTCTAATTGCTTTTGTAAGCGTAAAACGACGAAATAATGTTATTCTATTGCTGCTGACAGTGCACCACTGCAGTGGTGGAAAAAGAAATGCAAAATATAAATCAAATGAAATGAGTAACGAAATATTTATTTTTATATTTTCTTAGAAGTAAAATAAGGAAAAATTTTTTATAATTATCTTTTGATTTAAGCAGTTAAAGTTTAAAATTTGTATAGTAAGAGTACAGGAATATAAGGCTATCTATGGATTTTGGGCCAAGACGGTTTCTTTTCTCCGTTATTATATTCCCAGCTAAGGAAAATTCTCGTTCTGCTGCTGCACTACTTGCTGGGATTGAATGAACCTTAAGGGCCAATTTTGAGAGATTTGGATATACTTGTTCATTAATTTTCCACCATTTTAAAACATCAAATTCATCGGTTATTTTCACATTTTCTTTACAATATTTTTCTATTTCATCGGCATGTGTTTTCCATGTAGTAAGGATTTTTGTAGCAAATAAGGGAAACAAAATTGAGTGTCTGGATTATTGGATTGATTAGAAAACGCAATGCTCGTATGCGATTTTGCATGTATGCGTGTAAGCCTTTTCACAAACATGTTGGATATGATTGTATTGTACACGAAGCTGAGATTTGTGTGAGTGTGAATGAACTGAGTTTCCCAACTGAAAACAAGACATTCCAAAGGAATTTTTTGCGAGAGGAGCCCGAAGACCTCGTCGGCTGGAAATTTTCACCGCTCGGCTCTTCGGGCCAAATCCGTCTGCGTCGACTTTGCATGTATGCGTGTAAACGTTTTCACATACATGTTGGATATGATTGTAGAATTGATGCGAGCGAGGCGATTGCCAGCACAAGCTGAGTTTATTCAACACTGAGTATTTTTGAGTGATTATATATGAGTACACAAAGAAACACCCTAAGCAAGAAAGTGATCCGAACGAAGCGTCTGACAGCGCAAGTTGAGTTTATTCAACGCTGAGTATTTTTGAACGATTGCATGTGAGCAAAAACTTTAGCTCATGAGTAAATCAAGAAATATGTGATTTTTGCAGTTCTCTGATACACACACACACACTCTCTCTCTCTCTGTCTCTCCCTCACTGTGTCTCGCTATAAATTCAAACTGATTGCTTTTCCCCCCCAGAATGTAGCAAAAAGCAAACTAAAAATTTGATTTCTGCTTTCTTTGCACCACAGCACGGAGCATCAGCGCGGCATTCACTTGAATGGGGCACGTTCGGCGAATTATCGGAGCATCGAGTGGAGCCAGCCGCGCGTCGACCAACTGTACACGATGTACATCCAGGAGCCGCTTAGCATGCAGTGCAACAAATCGGATGGTGGCCGTTTTGCGGACCGCAGCTGGGAGGGCGTAACGCCCACGGCCGTGCAAATCAAAATTCCCATACACCGCAAGCTCTGTCCCAACTATAATCCGTTGTGGTTGAGGCCGCTGGAGAAGGGCGAATGCGATTTGCTTGGCGAGTGCATCTACTAAGCGGAAGGACAGGTTCGAGCCACAGCCCGAGGATTAAGCATGGGCATGGCAACCCACACACAAACACACACACACACACACGCACACGCACATTGGGATTTTGGGAATTTTCTTTAAGTTTTCATCGTTTAAATTGTTCTGTAGCTGTTCTGTTTTTCGTTTTGTTTTATCGCCATCATCAGATGACATCATCACTGGTCACTGGCAGGCGACTGGCAACTGGCGACTGGCGACTGGCAACCTTCTATCGGCCGAGTGAAAGAGTCAAAAGCGAGACAAAAGGCCAAAACAAATGTTTTCACTCTTTAAATAACTAATGCACTTACCTCCTTCAATCCACTCCTTCCTCCACTCTGCCACTCGATTTCGTTTGTGTTGTTTATGCTGTTTGTGCTTGCCCCCTGCTCTGCTCTGCTCTGCTGGTGGCAGTGTCTGCTGGGGCGAGCCTTTGAAATTTGCCGACTGACAGCGCCGCCAGGCTAAACGGTTAATACAAAGCAGCTAGCCACACACACACACACACGCACGCACACATCTATATATATAATATATATACATAAATACTTCAACGTAGAGCGGCACACATACACGACAGAAGTACAGGCATTCAAAATTGTAGCATACTTTTCAGCACCAGCTGAAAAATTAAATGGACAACTGGCTGGCTGGCTGACTGACTAAATGAATGATTGAACGAACGACGAAGGCCAACCGGGGCAAGAGAAAGTCCAAGAAAAAGCAAGTCCATCCACCGGAATCTGGTGCCCGGTCCTTTGCTGTTTGAATGAGCCAACGGGCACTGTTTATACAATATAAATGAGCAAACTTCTGATGCATTCCGGACGTGGCAAAGCACCCAAGCAGCCAAGCAGCTCACTCACACCCAACTTGGACTTTGCACACAGAGCTGGCAACTCTAATTATCCAGAAGTGCGAGAGGCTACGTAATGAAATGTTGCCAGCTGTAAGTTTGAGTCGTGCACATTAAATAAATATTGCCAGCTGCAAGATTGAGTCGTAAAGTACATATAGACATACATATGTATGTATGCAGGTTTGAGGAGTTGTAAAATAATTTACAAAAAGTTTTCGGCTAGTTTTAGTCGTGCAGAATGAAAATTTGTTGCCTTCTCTTAGCTTGACTTGATCGTGAAATATGCTGAAATGTTGCCGGCTGTCATCGAGTATGGATCGTACAGAATGGTCCCCTATATATGGGACATGGGCTACCAACAGCCAGGAGCTTGTGACATGCACCTACATATGTATGTATGGGCCATTCGAATCAAATCAAAATAAATACACGGGCCTATTCGATGGCAGAATGGACTGGCTGCATTGTTTGACATTTTTCGTTGGTATTTTCCTAATTTACTAAATCTGATTAGTTGTATGACATGCAACAAAATGCTGGACTGCTGACTGGTGACTGATGATGATGATGATGATACACGCACACAAACATACATATGAGTAAACATGTAATGGATACATTTAAGAGTAGCCAACATATGTAAGATGTGATAATTGTTCTATGGCTATAAACAAAATATATATATATAAAAAATATATACATACAAATATTTAAACTATGTAGAAGAAATATTTAAAAAAAAAAAAAAATAACAAACACAAGAAATATTGCAAGCAAAAACCACAAAAAAAACTGAAAAAAATGTATAATTTATCAAGTAATAAAAACTGACCACCATACCAGACTGGAGCATAAGTATCTTATTTCTTGGGGAAACTTAAAAAAAAAATTTACTCTTCCATTTTCATTGTTTTTTTTATTTTTATTTTACTTTCATTTAATATGTATGTATATTCAGGTATTCGGTTTTTTTCTTCTTTTTAACACGATAGAAGTCATCTTGGATATCGATTTAGTAGATGATGTTTAGTTTTAGCTGCCAGCGCTTTTTATTATTATTATTATTTGTTAATTTATTAATTCAATATTCCTTAATATATTTTGTATGTAGGCCACGTCCAGCGAAAGTGAATTATCGAGATCAGCTGTCAAAGTTATCAGAGACAATAAAAAAGTCGTATACTTTGTGATTCGAATCGGATTATTGTGGATTATTCGGCGTACGCGATGCTGTGAGTATTTCTTTCGCTGGAGGGATCTGATATCTCCCCTTATTGGCATTATTATTGCGAATTTCATCCTTCAACACGTTGCCTGTTGGCGGCCAATTTTTAATTGATTTTTCAGTTTTGTGCGCAATTTTTGTGTGCGTGGTGAACGGTAGGGTGGGTAGGGCGGTACGGCAGGGCCCGTTATGAGAGTATTAAAAACGCTGGCAATCCAATTAAAAGTTTCTACCGAAACAAAAAATATTTTAATATTCATTGTGGCACACACAGAGAAAGACAGCGAGACGGCCCGACAGCGAGACAGCGAGCTAGCGAGGGAACGAGACAAACTACATTAAAAAACGAGTGAACACCACGAAGAAGCGGAAGAGAGTGAGACGTGTAGACGCTTGGGGAATGGATAAATTTTGATGCATTTTGAGAATTCTATCACGCGCTCGGACCTACATAGCCTCTACATTTATTTACATGAATTTATGTACAAACATTATAATCGGGGACAACATACATACATATGTACATACATGTATGTATGTACATATATGTATGTATATGTATATGTACTTTCATTCCATTAGCATTACTTTATCATATATAGCAGGCAGCCGCTTTCCCACTTTCCCGTACACATACACACACACGACGGACACTCCCCAAGCCAAAGAAGCTCAGAAACGCACCAGAAATTCCAACATCAGCAGCAGCAGCCAACAACAGTCGCCGCAACGAACGTCGCATAGAAGCGTACACATAGCGAGAATCCTGCTGTTAATTATCATTATTTCACTTATTATTTGACACAACAGCTTTTTGATAGTTCTGAACTAAAGATATCGGAAGCTACTTCATAGTTGTCATCCCGCAAGAATCTTAAGTCGCCCAAAGCTAGAATCAAATGCTGTTTTTTTTTTTTTCGCTCAGTGTACGACCGAAAGAGCAAGGGCAAAGGCAAAGGCAAATTTCGTGACTGTGAAAAAGTCAAACGGTTGTTGGACGACATAAACGCGATGTGGATGCGTAACGTAACGTAATGGCATACGTGTGTCTGTGTGTGTGCGCGCGTAATCGCCATTTGGGGTCGTTGTCATTGCATTTTCACGCTCGCGCACACACACAAACACACACACAAAAACACATTTAATCAACCACAAGCCCGCCCTCCGACTCCACTCCGACAGGTTCATGATGCTCAGGACTAGCAGCGGGACAGGTTCGAGGATCCCAGGTTCGAGGTTCCCAGGTTCGAGGTCTGAGCATTTTTGGGGCTGAAGGCCATGCTTCGCGTACCATCATTACTGTCATCCCCCCCCCCCCCCACCCTCCTCCTTTCACATACTCATTTTGCTAAAACATTTATCTGTTCCCCAAGCCCGTAAGTGTATGTGTGTGTGTGTGTGTGCGTGTTTGTTGGGAAGAGGGAGCCGAAACAAAAAAAGAAGAGAAGAAGAAACAAAATTTAATGTCACAAACTTTTGATGTGTTCTAATTTATATACAAACAGACAGACAGAGAGACGCAGAAAGAGCAGGCGACCGGCGACCAGCGACAGCGACAGGCGACAGCGACCCTTCTCGTCCGCTCTGCTGTGGCCATGACTCGTTAAAGCAAATTTGTTTTTACGCTTGATGGCAAATTGCGCGACTTGCCTAATCTTCCCGTTGCTCCGCTCGCACGTTCCGTAACCGTGCTGCCCCCGCTGCCCACACCACCTACACGCTTCCACCAATCCAAGAACTTACGCACTCACTCATACACACTCACTCCATGTGGCCATGCATTGGCAAGCAGTGCGAGCAGTGCGCGCTCTTGTTAATATTTCATATGTCATCGCAAGGAACCCCGCGACCCACCACCAGCGACAGTCATCCACAGGCAGGAAAAAAAAGGTGTTCGAAATATAAGGTGTACAAGGTGCTCTCTTTCAAGAGCAGCGCCCTAAGGTGCGTGTACTTTTGCAAGAGTGAAAGTCCAGGGAGTGACATTCTGACAGGGCGGCACGGCTTTATCAAATAAGCAGTGCACGCAATGCGTTTGTGTGCGTAGACAGCAGGCAAAACGGAACATTTTGTTGGTCCCAGCCCTCTCAGTGGCAGCGCAGCAGCACCTCTTCCTATACTCATTCGATAGGGCCGTGCCAAACTGAGCCCTGGTATAAAGTGATCCCTCACCTTGTGTAAGCACACCTTGCACAGAAAGACAGTGACGCCCCCTGCCCCCTGACATTTCAGCACGTGGCAACTCTTAAATCGCTCGCGTTTAAAAATTTGATTATGTGACATTTTCGTACTGCTTTTAGGGGCAAGGAGGCAAGGGAGTGGCGCAAAAACAAAAAAGTGAAGCAAAAAATGAATGGAAATTTAATTTATACACAGATTCAAATTTTTGTTGGCGGCGGTTGATTTTTTCGTCAGCCACACTGAGGATATTATCTGATGGTTGGTTCGTGGTGATAATACAGGAAAGAAAGACTAATCTAAGGGCGATAAAGCAGTGCAATTCTGGCCAAATGATGTAACTAGAATCATAAAAGAATTAATTTAAATCTCTATTAAAATATTTAAAATGAAGAATTATCTTTTTTTCACACTTGAAGCGATCGTTAGAACAAACAAAAGTGTGCGATGAACTCTTCTCAAAAATCATTCTTTATTATTCATCCAAGAAGAAGACAAATTATTATCCCCAAAAATATGTAAAAAAACAACAAAAACCAAAAAGAAAAAGAGCAAATAAATATTTATTTATTTATTATTATTATAATTTTAATTTTAGTTTTTTTTCTGTGCAGCAGAGCACCGACCAGACCATGTGGTAATTTCATTACGTTTAACGAACTCTTTTCCGCATATTTTGGCATTAGGAGCAAAATAAAAAAAAAATTTAAAAAAAACATTAGATGAACAAAATTGAATTACAACAACAACAGGCGCGTCTCTGCTTGAATAGTCCTATCGTAGTACTATGGGTACGTACTCTTGAATACCACTCAAGTAATCCAGTTCCTCAAAGTTTGGATTCGGTATGAGAAGAACAAGAATTTCGTATTCTTGCATTAAGTGATATACATAGATACATATGTATAGTGCATATGTATGTATGTACATGTGTTGGTTGAATGTTTCATAATTGCAGATAGTTATGGTCGATCGAATCTTCCTTCCACAGATGCCAAGCCCAAGGGTATGCATGACCTGTGCCTTGCATGTTGCCACCGAAACCAAAAAGAGTCTTTTGTAGAGTGTGAGGATTGGGTATCAGATCAACAGCAAGGGGCTTCATAGAACGCGAGATCAGAGCGCCTAGGGGTAGGCCTACCCGACACATATTCATTTCAATTAGGTATTGAAAGTTAAGTTCGAACTTTGAACCCGATATGCTGATCTATCTCAGTAGCTGGCTGGTATGCAATATGGGATGGATGTTCTTCCAAACTGGAAGGTCAGCCCATAGCCAGATGTGAGTCTCTTAATTGAGGCAGTCGCTCGACCGTTTGGGTTAATAACACTACTCGACAAAACCGAACTTTTTTTTTCCTCAAGGATCCAAACCGACTTTTTCTGATAGATATGGGGCTTTAAAATTTTTTAAAGAATTGGTTTTTTTTATGGCAGAACTTTTTTTGAAGAATTTTTGAAGTCTGGTATTTTTTTTTAAGCTTTTTTCAGAGGTAGCGATAGTTTTTTTCACAAACTTTAATAACGTACAGAACTTTGCTATTTTGAAAAGGTATTAAACAGCTAGAGTTGAGCCCAAATATACTTTCTGCATTAAATAGTATTTTTAACGAAATTTTGACTTAAAAACTAAAGAAAAAAAAAAAAAAAAATTATTTTTTCTTTTTTTTTTTTGATAGGTGCGTTAATATGGCTTTAAGGCCTTTGGAAGCGGCTAAAATTCATAACCAAACCTAAAAAAAAAGAACAAAAAACCTTTTTGAAGGCGGCGGCCCAACCAATGGAAACAAAGGAGCAAGGGTTGTACACTTGGTGATCTTTGTTCCCAATTGGCAGGGGCCCGCCGCCTTCAAAAGGGTATTTGTTCCATTTCATTTAGGTTTGGTTAACATCTTAGTAAAAATCGAATTTAATGAGCGATTTAAACGACAAATAAGCACCTATACACAAAGACAAAGAATAATTTTTTTTCGACTTTCCCAGTTTTTAAAGTCAAAATTTCGTTAAACGCCACAAAAATCATCATTTTTGCATTCAGATATTTCCCAGACGGTAAGCTGAAATCAAGATTGGGCTCAATAGCTGCGCAATTATCTTCAAAATAGCAAAGTTCTTTACAACCGGACATTAGAGTTATGTGAAAAAACAAGCGTTATGAAAAAGCAAAAAATACCAGTCAAAAATTCTTTAAAAAAAGTTCTCATAAAAAAAAAAAATATCATCAAACCATTTCTAAGCCCCAAATCTTTAAGAAAAAGTTCGTTTTGTTCCTTGAGGAAAAATCGTGTTGACTAGTGTAATTGAGTCTACAATACGTATTCCGAGGTGCTGCCTTTCACAATGAAAGCGAGGGGCTTGTGTACAGTTTTCAGCTACAAAACTAACCTGTGAACCTGAATCAAGCAGGCACCTGAGGCATCATTGATCAATTCGATAGCTTTTTGCCATTAATAGTTTTTTTTTTTTGATTTGACTTATTGCTTTCAGCCTTTCGAAGCGGCGAAGCTCGAGACGAATACAAAAGTTACTTCAGCCGAAATCAGATGGAAAAAATAAAACATTTTATGAGCGTTTTGGAATTCACGTGAGTGTCGCATCTGATAGAGAATTTTTTAAAAATCGAATTTTATGTATTTAAGATAAATGTAAATGAATGTACTGTAAATGTATTTATAGGTCGATAGTCTATTTTCTGTGCATTTCGGTGGCTGTGTATTAAGCGGTTTAATGCGGCTTAGACGCTTGTTGGGCATCCCGGAAGGAATCCGGCTAGAGAATTGTGGTTGGAGTCCGAAAACGGAACGGCAGCGAGGGCAGAAGAGACCCCGAGCGCGTTTATGCCATTGGGATCGAGCCTTGGGGACCGATTGCGAATTGTGGGAATTGTTTGTTGCCTTGTTTTTGATTTTTTTTTTGTTCTTTTTGATGTTGAATAATTCATGCTAAATATCCAAGAACAAATTGGCATTAATCAGTGGTTTGCTTTATTGAGTTCACACACTCATACACACACACACACATATACACACACAGACACACCACTCGCACACCAACCAATCTGGAAAATGTCAAAGACGAGGATGAAATGGCATTTCCATGCCCGCTGACATTTCTGCTCTGTGCCCGGATCGGGTCGGGTCGGGTAGCATCCAACCCAACATTCCTATAACTTAATCAAGAAATTCCTTTTGCCTGTCCCCCCTCCAGCGCTAATTCTCCTCGCTCGTATGTCTGTCTGGGTTAAGGCTGCGAAATGAAGTGCCACCAAAGGATCCACATTGCCAGCAGTGTATTGAATCTAATACACAATTAATAAAATATTATTCGAGTTCATTCGATTAAAGAAGAAGAAAATGATGTGGAATTATACACGAAATTTTGTTAAAGTATGCGAACATTTTGACATTTTGTAATATTTTTGTATGCTGTGGGCATTGGAATTAGTTGCCAATCTCCTCGGATTGGGATTGCCGCAGGAGTGGGAGTGGGAGTGGCAGTGGATGAGGGAACAGTACCCTCGGCTGCAGTTGCGCCGGGAAAGTTATCCAACTTGTGGGCCACATCCTGGACGTGGCAGCATTGCACCAGGCCATAGGCGGGATAGTCACGCAGACTGCCAAACAGACTGTTCTTCAACCAAGCCACCTGGTCGCACATGGTGGGACAGAAGTCGTTCAAGTCCTCGCCCCTGAACTGCAGGAAAGATCGAGATGTGATTAGCGTTTGCTTTGGCGCCCCCCAAAGCCGATGCCCCCTGCTACTTACAAACGGGGAGTTGTGGCCGATTACGACAAACTCGTCCTGCGGCTTGCCAGTCGGCTGCAGGTCCCGCACATGGGCCCAGATGTGGGCGGGCACTGTCAGCGCGCTGCCGCTGTCCAAATCGATGCTGAGAACTCGGCTGGCGTTGCACTCACGCATCAGCGGCAATGCAAGTTGACCCGAAACACCCAGGCGAATGTCGAACTTGGATCCGGCTGGACCGCTGGCCGCCTGCAGGGCATTGAGCCAATGCCTCCAGTTGCCGGTGCGCAAGGTGCGCAGCCACACGACACTGAGCATAGCTTCATAGCCAGCCAACTGACTGCCAATAGCTGCATCCTGCACCAGGCTGGTGTACTCGAACGCCACTCCGCCCAGCAGCTGCTTGAGCTGCTTGTCTTGCCCCAAGTACACCTCAATTGCCCCCGGACTGCAAATTAGTTCACATTGGCATCATAAATGGGTTAATCTGATGCTATGCATGCCCACCTGACGGCCTTGAAAAGACTTGTGGTGTATGCCACGTTGATATCCAGTTCCAGGTCATTCAGCTGTCCCAATTGCACCTTCTCAATAATCCTGTTCTTGGTCGGAGATGCCGTGTAGCTGACGTACTTGAGCTCAAGCCCAACAATGTCGTAGCAAATCCCAGCACTCTTAATGGATCCCATGGCGCCGAAGTCCTGGCCAACCACGAGGGTCATGTGGTCGTCGCAGTCTGGCAGACTTTTGCGACTCTCGAACATTTGGGAAACCATCGTTCCCATACATTTAACTCTTGTTGCGAATTCATTATCATGGTCTTTATTCCAACGAAAATAGTTATCTTGGCAAAGGAAAGTTTCATTTGCGTTCGCAGATTGGAAACTTTCACCATTATATCTGAGGTGGATTAAAGTTTAGCGAAAAGTTCAATGTTAAAGCAATTAGTATAACAAACCTATTGTCGTCAAAGACATCGAAACCTCCTGCACAATACAGCTGTACCGATTCGTAATTTTCCCGTACCAATGGGGTCTGGGCATCCGACAAAATGTGCTTCGATCCGAAACTTGTCACGATTAGAGGGGCAGGACCAATTATATTCATTGAGCAGCTTCCAATAACATCCTGCGGCAGTATAGAGAGGACCGAAAGGCCCCAAAGAACAGCGTACAGCGGCAGCATCGCGATTATTTTCAACTGATTCAGACCGATCGAAGACGAGGTTTTTATAGGTTTGCGACTGCTGATGCAGCAGATTTACTTATCGCATTTATTCCGCATTATTGAAAGCTGCGTAACCAAACAGTTAGCAATTTCCAATGAGATTAGAAATTACAATGTTCATATCAATATATGTATATTCTAATCCGCCCTGTCAGGCACCTGAAACAATTTGTTTTAAATGTTCTTTCCCTTTTTCACGATTCCCAATTAATCAATGCCGCTCAGCGATCAACAGCGTTGATAAGAATTCAAATGCAGTGTCTCAATGATTGTGGACCAGGGTCTTTTTCTTGAGATTTTTGCGTTCCTCCACTGAAGGCTTTCCTGAGTGAGGCTTTTACTCGGCCCATTAGTCGCCTTTGCCTTAAGTAAATCAAATTCAATAAAAACGAGAAGGAATGTGTGAGTCGTTTCTGGGGACACGACTACTTATACCCGTACTCAGTCAGTATATATGTACAGCTTATGATTTTTTAGAATTCTAGAAAAAAAAAATAATTTACATTTTACATTTTTTTGCTACATCTGCTATCTACATCTACATATACAATGTCTATTCTACATCTAACATGGAGATTGTACATGTTCCATTTAGATTCTACATCTCCTCCGCTAGGGGTTGCTCGCGCACTGAACGCGGCAGAGTGTGCGAGCGAGAAGGAAAATGAGTTGTGTTGTCGTTTGTTGGAGGGGGGGCAGGGGAAGCAACTGAAAATTAATTTCGTCATTCTGGCTATAATTATGATCCGATCTGATTCAGATTCTGCAGTCTGGACGATATGGATATGCTATACGATACTGCGTTTTTAGTTTTATCGTATCTTTAAAATTGTGGCTGCCACAGCTTTTCGTCCTTTGTGGTGGCGGAAGGTGGGCGGGGCGAAATTTTGAAATACACTTGTAGCAGTGTGATATCACATGAGTCTGGAAACCAAATTTGGTTACCCTAACTCTTATAGTCTCTGAGATCCAGGCGCTCAACAAGACGGACGGACGGACGGACGGACGGACAGACAGACATGGCTCTATCGACTCGGCTATTGATGCTGATCAAGAATATATATACTTTATGGGGTCGGAAACGTTTCCTTCTCTGCGTTACACACATCCACTTTTATCACAAATCTAATATACCCCTTAACTCTTTTTTGAGTACGGGTATAAAAAAACTTCAGAAGTTATTAATTTAACAAGCTGATGATGCCCATTTGTTCGTACATTACCCACCCACCAAATGCAAACCTTTTTCTGGCCAAAAATGATTTCCATGTAACGCGAAGCAATTAGTAAAAATTATTGAATCATTTAATTCCGATCTTGATTAAATTTGTTAGTTTCACATGATAATTGACTAATAACACTAGTTGGTTGCGAATGAGTGGACTGTATTAATCTTTATGTATTTTTACCGATTCATATGTAATGTTAGTGGTTTAAATGTTATTTGCCAGCGGGTTATATACAAAGCGGGGGCGACAATAGCGGTGCGATGATGAATACGCGGGTGTCGTGGGAATAGTTTGGTACTGACTCAACTCCACCAATAAAGTCGAGCCCAAAAGGGAATTAGAAGATCACGCGATGCGACACTCCAATACCAAGAAGGTGCACATCGATGTCTTCGTGTGCAGCTGCGCGTTTTGGCTATACGCGTGAGAATGTTACAGTTAAGTTTTTTTGACATAAGCAATAAGAACAGCGGGCAAACAATCGCGAGCATATGATTAGGGCAACTCTTATATGAATGAATATTGACTTAAAACTAAGCGATTAATTCCTCAACATACCGGCCCCCCTGAACGAATGTTCAGTTAAAGGGAAGCACAGCAATTTTGGTGATAGGTCTCTTGTACACTCCTCGGGCAGTTTTTACGGTGACCACTCGAACTCTCTCGTCTTGACCAGGATGAACTTCGGTGATGCGGCCAAGCAGCCACTTGCTAGGAGGTTGATTCGGCTCCTTCAGTACCACAAGCGTATCCACTGTTATGTTGTTGGTCTCCTGCTGCCATTTGGTGCGCGACTGCAAGGAAGAAAGGTATTCAAGATTCCAACGTTTCCAGAACCCTTGAACCTTGGCTTGCAGCTGTCTCCAACGCTGCAGTCTGTTAATGTTCACGTCCAAGAACGATGGCTCTGGCACCGACATATGAGGTTGACCTGTAAGAAAATGAGCGGGGGTAAGGGGATCCAGGCTGTGATCGCTGGGAGCGCACAGTGGGCGAGAGTTTAGTAGACCCTCAATCTGGGTTAAAACGGTGGAATATTCTTCGAAAGTTAATGCACTGCTCCCAATTACTCGGCGAAGGTGAAGTTTAATTGATCGTACGCCAGTCTCCCAAATACCTCCAAAATGCGGGGCAGACTGCGGAATGAAGTGCCAGTTGATTTCCTGACTCGTCAGAAAACTTGCAATGTCCTCATCTTGACTTTGAGATACAGCCATCCGTTGCATTTCCGTTAATTCCCGTCTGGCTCCGTGGAATGTTGTGCCATTGTCTGAGTATAAGTCGGATATAGGGCCACGTCGAGACCAGAATCGTTTGAAAGCTGCGATAAATGCGGAAGTCGTCAAATCACTGACGAGTTCGATATGAATTGCTTTGGTGGACAGACAAACAAAGATAGCAAACCAAGCTTTGCCAAACTTCGGTGTCCGACCTACCGATGTCTTGATAATAACTGGTCCAGCGTAATCCAATCCAGAATGCAGAAAACAGCGGGTGGGCTGAACCCGAAAAGCGGGAAGATCAGCCATGAGTTGTGTGCTCGTACCTTTACGCTGGAGGAAACAAATCTTGCAGTTGAATACGATTTTCCGGACTATGTTGCGGGCACCGAGAATCCAATACTTCTGTCTCAAAGTGTGGAACATAAATTCAACTCCAGCGTGTAGCGATGTGACGTGCTGGTGTCTAGCTAATAAAACAGCGACTGGTGATTCCTTTGGTAGAAGTATGGGATGTTTTGCCTCGTAAGTTGCCATTGAATTGTCAATGCGTCCTCCTACGCGCATTGTTCCTTGGTCGTCAATAAATGGAGTGTAGCGAATCAGTTTGGATTTTTGAGAAAGTGGTCGTCCAGTGCTTAGCTGCTTGTACTCCACTTGGAAGAACTCCATCTGAACGTGTTTGATTATCCTAGAGCGTGCATATTGAAGCTCCCATGATGATAAAAACGATGACAGGCGTTCCTTGCAGCGAAGACGGTGTACAAAACGAAAGCAGTAGCTTATTGTCCGCAAGAGATGTGACCAGGAGGAAGCCTTGTTAATCATACATTGAAGATCATTTCCTTCATCGGAAATGTGTAGATTAACTTGAGGCATGACCTTAACTTCCATGTGCGCAGCCTCCTCAGTCGACAGTGCAAACTTTGCCTTCGCAGGTGGCCAAGTGAGCCGTGATTGTGAAAGCCACGGTGGTCCATTCCACCACAGTTGATGGTCTACAAGATCCCTCGGTAAAAGTCCGCGTGATGCACAGTCCGCGGGATTATCCCCAGTGCGAATGTGATTCCAGCAACTACGTGGACAAGCATCTAGAATCTCAGCAGTCCGATTGCAAACATAAGTGTTCCAAGTCCGAGGGGGCGATGAGAGCCAATGCAGCACAACTTCTGAGTCAGACCAACATGAGGTACTGGAAATAGGAATAGTTAGTGCTTGCTTAACCAGAGACATCAATTTTGAAAGAAGATGGGCTGCATTCAATTCGAGCCGCGGAATGGATACAGGTTTGATGGGCGCAACACGGGTTTTTGCGGCGATCAGTCTGACAACATAGTCCTTATTGAGTTTCACGCGACTGTAAATAACAGCGGCGTATGCATGAGAAGATGCATCGGCAAATCCATGCAGCTCCGCTGCTTGAAGTGGTGAGGATATGTAGCGAGATATGCGACACGTTTCCAATAAATGAACTTCTGCTACAAACTGTTGCCAACGTGAACATAACTGCACCGGTAGTGGCTCGTTCCATTCGACCGAGCTCAGCCAACTATCTTGAAAGAGAACCTTTAGAAATACAGTGCTGGGGGCAAGCAAACCCAAGGGATCGTAGATCTTGGCAAGCTCCGACAGCAAAATCCGTTTTGTCAGAGCAGTTGTGGCGTCGGGAATGGTCAGCTTGAAGGAAAGATTGTCAGCAGCCGGGTCCCAACGTATTCCAAGAACCTTCACATGTTGAGCTGGGCTCTCTTCTTCTAGAGCTTCAAGGGGGTACTCACAAATGTCCTTTGGCAGCGATTGTAGTAGTGGCCAACAGTTTGAACTCCACTTTCGAAGTTTAAATTGAGCTCGACTCAATAACAAAATCAATTCATCCTTGAGTGCAATGAGTTCGTTGATATTATCGCATCCCGTAGGAATATCATCCACGTACGCGTCCCTTACCAACACCGCAGCAGCATTCGGATACAACTCGGCATGATCTTGAGCGATTTGCTTGAGAACTCTAACAGCCAGAAACGGTGAAGACGCTAAACCATAAGTCACGGTCAGATGTCGGTAATGATCAAGTGTAGCAGTCTCCTCCTTTCGCCAGACAATACGTTGGTACTGCGTGTGTTCTTCTGAAACTAGGATGCCTCTAAACATTTTCTCAATGTCTGTACAGAACACATAACGATGCTGTCGGAACCGTAAACAGACTCCAAGTAAATCCCTTTGAATAGGTGGTCCAATGTGTAGTCGTGAATTGAGTGAATATCCCTTGCAGTCCTCCCCAGAGCCATCAAACACAACTCGGCATCTCGTAGTGGTGCTGTCTGGTTTAAATACTGCGTGGTGTGCTAAATAATTGTGACTGGCGAGATCCTCGGCTAAGGTAGTAGGAGGAATCAACTCCATGTGTCCTCGTTGTAAGTAATCCTCCATAAAGTCGACATATTGTTGTTTGAGTGCCGGAAACTTTCGAAATTTCCGTTCGAGAGAAGAAAAGCGGCGTATGGCTTGCGGCAATGTGGATCCCATCGGCGGAGCGGAATCCTTGAATGGATATTGGACGACGTACACTCCATCGTCTCTGCGGGAATGCGTTTGAACGAAGTGTTGTTCAGCGGGATCACTAGCGTCAATGGTAGCGCTACTTGGTTGAACTTGGTCCATGTCCATGAACGATCGGACTAAAGTATCCAGACCCTCGTGAGCATGATGAGCTAGTGCGTGGGTGTAATCATCAATACCGATATGGTAACTGCCTGTAATGACCCAACCAAATTTAGTATGAAGTGCAATAGGATATGCGAAACCAAACTCTTTGCGTTCTCCAGTGTATATGTTCCAAAGTTGATCAGCTCCTAAAATCAGGTCGATTTCACCTGGTGTCCCAAATGTAGGGTCTGCTAAGGGTAGCTCAAAAATCTTTCCCCACATCGGGGTGTTCGACTCAATCCTCTGTGCTGGAATCGAGGATGTTAAAGTACTCATAATCAGACCTGTTACCACTACGGATGTTGTGCTTGTGCGCGAGAGCAGCGTGAACGTGGCGCGACCTCGAGTAACGCCAGCCGGGCTTGCACCTAGGCCAACAACTGGTATACGAGCATGCGTGCGCGACAGCCCTATCCGTTGAATAAACGACTCGGAGACCATCGTTATCGTCGAACCAGTATCCATCAAGATCCTGCAGGTTGTCTCATTGCCCCAGGAGTCGACTATAGTGGCTAAAATTGTTGGCAATATAGCTTGACTAGTGGCCAATACTCCTCTCTCCAATGTATGATGGCTGACCACGGCAGGATCAACCTCAGCAGCATGCATGGGCGAGCGCAAGTTTGGGTCAGCGGATGTATTGACAGCAACACTCGGGGTGGTGCGAATCTCTTCTGGATGGACAAGAGTGTGGTGCCTCGACTTGCACAGACGGCACGTATTTGTGGAATTACAATCCTTTACTTGATGAGATCGACTTAGGCAGTTGAAGCACAACTTACCCTCCATTGCAAATGTGCGACGATCCACGACGTTCATAGCTTTAAATTGAGTGCACACATACAGACTGTGTGGCCCGTGACAATATACGCAACCACGAGCAGATGTAGTTGGCACGTCCACATGATGAGAAACTGCACGACGTTTGGGAGAATCATGAACTACTGTTAACTCTTGACAGGACTCCAGCGCATCAAACCGGGCGAAGAGAAAGGCGAACAGGTCATTTATGGTCACATTTTCCTTGCACGATTCACTGGACGTAGCCCAAGCTTCCTTGCATTCAGGGTCTAATTTTGAGAGCAAGATATGGATAAGCCATACATCGCGGCTGTCGCATTTCAGCGCGTGTAGACCACGTATACTCTCGTCCGCGGTGTCGACTATGTTACGCAACTCGATTATGTTTGAACTTTTTGCAGTTGGCAGCGAAAGAAAGTTTTGAATGAACGACCGCGCAATCAGTGATTTTTTATTATAACGATTTTTTAGCCTCTCCCATGCGTCCTGGTAATTATCGTCAGTAATGGGAATATGTTTAATCAGGGACAAAGCTTCACCATCTAGATACGACTTTAAATAATGGAACTTTTGACAGTTGGAAAGACTACTCTTCTTGTCGACTGAGCCTAAGAACAGATCACTAAACTGACACCAATCTTCGTATCTTCCAGAAAATGTAGGAAGGCGTATTTTTTCGAACTGCAGCTCAGCGGGTCGCGCTGACTCCCGAATCTTCTCCAAAAGTTGTGTTTGTCCCTCAAATAGGCGTTCCACAGTACTAGATATCAGTAGATTTGACGAGTCGTGTCCATTATCGTGACTGCTCCGCTCACTTATGGCTCCAGTGAGAACGGCATGGGCACTATAAAACTTTCCCTCATATTCGGCGATATCCAAATTCGGATCCACAAATCCGTCTTCCTCATTGTATTGAACTAAGTCCTCAGAGAGCTCCATAAAGCGGTTGAAAGTTGCAGCCAAGCGGTCCAACTTGTGTTCTAATGTTTGCACAGACGTGCACGACTGTACAAACTCCTGAGCCTCCGTAGATGCACGAGTTAGTTGGGATTTGCACGCACCACGCTGCTGAATTATGCGATGTACGAGAGTCTTCATGACGACAAGCAATATCACTCAATATATTTCAAATAAAATTAGCCGGAGATCCGGCTCGAAGGACCAAATTTTTCTTATGGTTGCGAATGAGTGGACTGTATTAATCTTTATGTATTTTTATTCGATTCATATGTAATGTTAGTGGTTTAAATGTTATTTGCACAGCGGGTTATATACAAAGCGGGGGCGACAATAGCGGTGCGATGATGAATACGCGTGCGGGTACTCTCAAGTATAGTTTGGTACTGACTCAACTCCACCAATAAAGTCGAGCCCAAAAAGGAATTAGAAGATCACGCGATGCGACACTCCAATACCAAGACGGTGCACATCGATGTCTTCGTGTGCAGCTGCGCGTTTTGGCTATACGCGTAAGAATGTTACAGTTAAGTTTTTTTGACATAAGCAATAAGAACAGCGGGCAAACAATCGCGAGCATATGATTAGGGCAACTCTTATATGAATGAATATTGACTTAAAACTAAGCGATTAATTCCTCAACACTAGTCAACACGATTTTTCCTCAAGGAACAAAACGAACTTTTTCTTAAAGATTTGGGGCTTAGAAATGGTTTGATGATCTTTTTTTTTTCTATGGCAGAACTTTTTTTTGAAGAATTTTTGAAGTCTGGTATTTTTTTTTGTAAGCTTTTTTCAGAGGTAGCGCTTGTTTTTTTCCTTACGTCTAGTATCTTACGTCCGGTTGTAAAGAACTTTGCTATTTTGAAAAGGTAATTAAAACAGCTAGAAGTTAAGCTGAAATACTTTGTGATTTCAGCTTACCGTCTGGGAAATATAAAGCATTGAAATGCAAAAATGATGATTTAAATTTAAATCCCCATATCTATCAGAAAAAGTCGGTTTGGATCCTTGAGGAAAAAAAAAGTTCGGATTTTGTGGGTAGGTTAATTTTTTTACCATTGCAGACGATATTCATTACTAATTAAGTGCGCGACAAAAAGTACTTTGCCGAGCCATTTAAAATACAGCCTCATAAGATTTTGTTACATATATATGCAGACACTCAACATTCATTCAGAATCGGGCATCATTAACCCTTTTGACTGCACATTAATGCCCTCGAGCAGAATGTTTGTCTCCCGCTTTTAAAGCTTGCGCGCTGCTTACCTTTTTTGTCGTTATCTACAGCACTGCTTGAATCTAATCTGACCTTTAGTCTGCTGCTGTTGCTGCAGCTGGCATATTGTAATATGTAGTGCAGCTATTGCATAAATAATTATTATTATTAATGATTATAATCAATATACTAATCAGGTTATATGTATTTGAGAAGACGTGGGCCAGTTGGCCCATGGAAAGGAGAAGTAATTAACGACGGAAAAGCAGAACAACTTTTCAGCAAAAATTCATACTTTTAACTATTTTTTGTTGCCCTGACCAATTTTTTCAGATTAAATTTTGAGGTTGGTTTAAAAAGAAATTATTTATAAAAAGATCACAAGCTCAATTACCCAGGTAATGGTGTCAATGCATCAATAAGTCATCAATTTTTTTTCCTTTTGCAATTAAGATTTGTTTAGTTGTATAAAAAGCCGTTTACTTTTCCGTTCGGCGAGGAATTTGTTGCCGTTTTGAAAACGGAAAAGTCTTGCGTTTATAGTGCATAGTAGTCCATGACATTCATACACACAAGTCCGGAATAATCGGACTTAGTAAAATAAATCAGCAACTTAGTCGAGACTCTAGAGTCTAGAAACAAGCTGACCCAACCGCAAGTTTTTATATTTTTCTTGCTGAAAAATGATCAAAACATAAAATGGATAAACACTCTCAGATGGAGGCAGTTCGTAGAGTCAAACTGTGTGGCAACAACCTCTATGCAATTTTGAAAGTGCCACAAAATGCCACAAAAGCTCAGATCTCATTAGCCTACAAGCGGTTGGCCCTGGATATACATCCAGACAAGAATCCGGTCAGCGGAGCCAGTGAGGCCTTCAGGTTGCTTGCCAATGCCAAAGATGTCCTCATGGATGATGCCAAACGCAGAGAATACGACCGAGAGCAATGCCACATTTTCAATGACTATGTCTGTGACTGTTGCTGTAACTGCAATAACTTCGGTAATAGCAGAAATGCCCAAGAGGTCTATAGCCATTTCGGAGTTCGGTTCGAAAAACCAACGAACATGAGTTTTATAAATTCAATCAAAATGATTTTTAACGCCCGTATGGCATTATGGCCATCATTCAAACTATGGCATTGCATCGTACTGCTTTTCTTGGCTCTGATAATACACTATCTATACGCGGAGCCCAGCTATAGCCCGACCCGATCGGATGAATTCCCAGTGAATCGCGCGACCACGAACATCTATGATCCATGCAATGTTCCATGCGTGCTAGAGAAAGAAGAGGATTATGTCACAGCTTGATTCAAGATGACGTTGGAAAAAGCATTCACGCCGTAGAAACACCACCAGAATAACATGCTGGAGCATGATCCCAATCGCAAGACATCATCCATCAACAGCCACACTTTGCAGCATCAAGGCACGGACCTCACATCCTTTTACATAGCGACAATGACCAACCAGTGGGCAATCTTTGGGACGCGTTTGAAGTCACGAAGCATAATGATTTGTTTTTAATGTGTTTTGTTCAGTTGTTTAGCTTGGAATTGGAGCTATTGTAAGATTTGATTATTTCGATATTTGTTTTTTATTTTTTTTCTTTTAACTTGTGCTACGGTAAAAGCACCACCAGAACTCTAAAAATCATCCTCGCAGCTACTACCCCACCAGCCAGAAGAAACCTGAGATCAATCCCAGGCATCCAACAGGCATGTTTCTCTGCCGAGGATACCGAGTGCGGAAGCCAAGAGACCAACACGAACGCCACTTAAGATAAGAGGTTGAAAAACTCGACTGGATGAAAGTTGAACTATATAATGGTTTATTTTGATGAAACCGAATGAACCGAAACAGTCACCACATCTCCAAATCGGACTCTAAGGGCTCGTTATTTAGGGCATTCAGGTATGTGCTGTACGCCAATTGGTCCTTAATCTGGCGCACTGCCTCCTCAGCAGTACCAAAGTTGAATGTGTCCATAAAGAGACGTGCAATCCACAAAGGCAGGAGAGCGTTGATCACCAGCGATGCATATGCCTGTCGATCGAGCCATTATCAGTGCAATTCAGATATTATTACAAAGTCTGTTCCAGTGCCACTTACTGTGTTGGTGCCATACACTTTCCCCAGTCTCGCGAGCATAGCCTCTGAAATGTTTCGTTTGACTATGTCTATGATGTGCACATGCTGTATGCTCATAAAGTTATCAGTTCTTGATATGCGATGCTCCTTGAAGAAGTTATCGAGGTCGCATTTGTACTTGGAGAATGAACTCAAAACCTCTTCCTTTTCCATTTTATCCATTAGACTGTAAGATAAAACCATCTAAGCTAAAGGTAAATGCATAACGTTTCAGTGCAACCCAAAAACTTACAGAATTTTCACCTTACGCGGACATGGATCATCAATTAAAAATTTTTCTAGCGCAGCAAACGCACCCGAACTAGGCTGACCCTGCCCCGGTTCGGGCTGTGCTGGCGGCGTAGCATTCTTATTGGCATTGCCTTTCTTCGCGATGGGCTCATCATCATCAGAGTCAAATTTATTCGTCTTTATCTTCCGGCTGGAATTCCTACGAGTGCATAAGGCGGTGAACGCTAAGCATAAATTGATTCTACATTAGATGCTCACTCCGATTCTGGTGTATTCGGCCGTTTGGTTGAAGAGCGACAGCGCGTCAAGGATTCATCTTTTTCAAAATATTGTGCAATAGATTTCGGAGCGCTGTGCATTTTGTTGGGAGATTTGCCCGTCTCCCGAGTTCGTTCTGCCTGTTTGTCACTGTAAGAAATTTCAATTAGTTGGCAGCATTTTATTAATTAAGTTTTGGGGGGGGCTTACATTGAACGTGAACTATGCGTCCGTTTGGTTGGTTTTTTTTCACGTGAAGAGCGACTGCGCTTCGAGGATTTTTCTTTCTCAGATTCTTCTGAAGTGGACCTCCGAGCATTGAACACTGAACGTGAAATATGCGTCTGTTTGGTTTGTTTCCTTTCACGAGAACCATGGCCGTGTCTGGAGCTTTTATGTTTATATTTGTGCGCTTCATGGTCGCTGTAAGAAGTGTGAATGAAAGAAGTGTGCACATCACATTTGGAGTTTTTGTTTTTGATTCACACACACCTGGCTTTCGAAGTGGCGACATCGCGGCCTTTGCTGGTGCTGTCGATTCCCTTTCCTATAGTGGTAGTAGCCTCTTGCGGCACATATTCCAGCTGTACATTCAGATACAGATCATTTTCCGACATTGTAACTCCAGGTAACAGTTTCTGGGAATATGAATGCCGATTTTCCGTGGAATCGACACGCACTTTGATGTGCTCTATGAGGAGCTCCGCATGCACGCTTTGAACAGTGTCCTGCTCCTTCTCGAACAGGCCCCACAAGCCACTTTCAATGTTAGTCCAGCTGGCAGGCGTCATCCAGTGATAGTCATTTGATTTCTTGCCAAAGTGGGTGACAAGGCTCGGTAGCACTTTGGTGCGGCAGATGATGTGTTGCTTTTTATACTGGAAATGAATGGTTATTATATAGATACCGCAGGTAGGTACCACCACCACCTACCTTATAGGTTTGCAACACAATCTGGCAATCACCGGTGGCATTGAAAGCCATTTTGTGCAACAAATTGGGCTCCTTAATCAAATAAACAATACGCCTGTTCGCGGCAAAATAATGAACTTGTGATTGCAGTGTTGCAAAGTAATTGTTTTGGTCGATAACAATATGTGGACTTTCAGCTGGCGCTGCCAGGCGCCAAAGAGCTTTCAAACTGTTTGCGCGTAAATTTGAAATCGAATGACTTAATTAATGAACGTGAGGGAATCTTTTTGGTAAGTTCTGGATTATCTGTCGCGCTTCGAAGAACACACCTATTCAAGTTTTGAGAAATCCTTTAATATCATTATTTGAATAGATTTTAACTTTAGTTTTGTATATTTCTCTATGAAACATGGAACAGCTCATCTGCGTCAACGTTCGTTGGCTGTTCGTAGAGTCAACCAACCGTTGGGCGATAAATACTGGGAAATTCAAATTCAAATTAATATTAAAAAACCGATTTTCTGTCATCCCAGTGTTGGATAGTGACGTGCCGGCCGTGTATATCGAAATTGATGAATATAGTTTTCCTCGGTATATTTACGGTATATTATGAAAAAGAGAGGGAATATTTGGATATATTTTTAAGGGGCAGAAGGTATATTTTGTCGATAAATCCGCGGTCACACTGCCTGTAGATGTGTTTTTGTGATTAAATACAGGGTTTTTTTGCAATTTAATACGCTAATATCAACGTCGGAGTTATGTCCGAAACGCCGTTGCATGCGACCAACCTGTCGTGCGGCCACACGTGTATGTGTATGTGCTGGGTAGCCACAAACTCCGCCGAAAACCGTATTGCTTTTAACCTTAGTTGACATTGAAATGTATCCGCTTGGCGGATGGACATGGTGGTTTGTGTGTGTCTGTTATGTGCTCATGTGTGTGTGCTGTATGTGTTTGAAAAAGAGGATAGAAACGAGAGCAGCATCGCTTCACAGAACGAAACTGTTGCATTTTCTCCTCTCTATTGATGTGCGTGCGTGTGTGTGTGTGTGTGTGTGTGACCAAAACACAACTCCGATCCACGGGGCTAGATCCCCGTAGTTCATCAACAAACGCTTCGGCCCCTCTTCCTCTCGTGAACGAGCACCGTGGCGGCACAGTTTTGCTTTGGACACTGCAACAACCAACACCAACCAACTCCTTTGGGGGAACAAAACTGTTCAGATCAAAGTTGCTGCAGTTGTGAGTTGTGTAATCAATCATTCATAAGGCATTTGCAAAGACACAGAGAGCAAGAACAGGCAAATTCTATTATTTTATTTAATTCATTGTCGCTGCTATTCTAATTTTTTTTTATATATAAATCGATTTGTTGTAGTTGGCATCCGTTATTAATTCAATCAGCCGCAGCCGAGACGTAGCCGCAACAGCTGAGAGCAGCAGCAACCAGCAGAGACCAAGTATCGCAACTAGTGAGAGAGAGACAGAGATCCAGAGCAAGCGCCACAGAGAGAGCTAGAAAGAGAGGGAGTCAAAGTCAAAGCGGGAGAGAGTGCTGTGCTTCTTACACGAAAGCTAAGCGAAGCGTTCTCCCCACACCGCACACCGGCATATACGATATACGGCGTACGACAACGGTAATTAAAAGGAAATTTAACAGCGGAGCGCGCAGTCACTGCCGCCGGTCCCACAGATTCATTCCTCCTCCCACTGCGCTCTGCTCCTCCGCAGCCGTGTCTTCGCTTGTTCATTCATTCGTTCGCTCGTTCGTTGGTTCGTTCGTATAAAAATAGCAACGCCTTAAACGATCTCATCAACATCATCAGCATCAGCCGCATCGGGACCCATCCGTAGCAGTATCAGCATACGACGGCGCAGCGTAACTACCCGATCAGCAAGATTAACCTGACCCATGTAAAACTCTGGCTTGGTCTTTCAGATTCCGCTTGAGGATTTGACGCATCGGCCCAGCTGCTGTTGCCCCACGTAAGAGTAGAGGGAGGTTAGAGGCAGCCGACAAACACCGACAAAATTTCACTGGATCTAATGGCCAAGGATGAGGAAGATGATCTGCTGCCCGACAAGGATGCAGCCAAGGGCTTTTATGCCAAATACGAGCCCAAAGAGATCCTGGGCAGGTGAGTGGGGTAAAAGGGTTCGTTCATTCCCACCGGTGATTCGGTTGATCTGTGATATTTCCGTATGCATCTTTGCTACCGTTTCTCTGAGGCTCCTCATCCGTATGTGGATCAGTTTTCCACCTGTCTGTGCATCTGTGCATTTGTGCTCTGCTCCCTCCCTGAGCTTCTGTCCCACAGTGACTTTCTGTTTATTTGCTTACTGCTAAGCTTGCAGAAGTGCAAGCCCTGTTTACATATAACTCTGGTTAATTATGTCCATGAGTCATGCCCGTGTGTGTGTGCGAGCGGTACTGCTGATTCTGCTTCGTCTTCTGGTAGTCGAGAGTGTGACACTGTGACAGTGTAAAGTATGGAATGGGCTGACGGCGCCTGTCTTCTGGCTCCACAATAAATTTCCTCAATGGGCAACGACTGCAGTTGCCGAAACACCCTTGGATTGAACTTGAAGTTACACGGTCAGGCAGGCAGGCAGCCAGCCAGCCTGCCGGTAACTAAGCAAATAGATGTTGCGAAAAACAAGGGCAATTACAAGGGGCGGCGATAAGATCTGCAAGGCAGGGCCGCCACTTAGATAAATATTACAGATCATGCCAAAACCGAGTGGATGTCATCTAACTCACGCTGATGCAAGCCTCTTATCTATTCTTCTTTCCCTTTGTTTTTTTCTGTTGGATTTCTATCAACTTGCAGGGGCATCAGTTCCACGGTGCGCCGCTGCATCGAGAAGGAGACGGGCAAAGAGTTTGCGGCCAAGATCATCGATCTGGGCGCCACAACTGAGGCGGGTGAGACGAATCCATATCATATGCTCGAAGCAACCCGACAGGAAATCTCCATACTACGCCAGGTCATGGGACATCCCTATATAAGTGAGTGTGAAGCTTCAGCGTCAATTTTCCGATATAAGAGAGGGCTCCACTAACCCACATTCGCATTCCACAGTTGACCTGCAGGACGTGTTTGAGTCAGATGCATTTGTTTTCCTCGTATTTGAGCTGTGCCCCAAAGGCGAGCTCTTCGACTATCTGACCTCGGTGGTGACGCTCTCCGAGAAGAAGACGCGCACCATCATGCGGCAAATATTCGAAGGCGTCGAATATATCCACGCGAAAAGCATTGTGCATCGCGACCTCAAGCCGGAAAACATTCTGCTGGACGAGAATCACAATGTGAAAATCACTGACTTTGGCTTCGCCCGACAGCTGCAGGAGGGCGAGAAACTTACAGGTTATTAATGACCCCCTACCCACCTCCATGTCTTCCAGTGGCTAACGTTGCCCCATTTTCCAAATGCAGATCTGTGCGGCACGCCGGGCTACTTGGCACCGGAGACGCTCAAGTGCAACATGTTTGAGGGCTCTCCCGGATATTCCCAGGAAGTGGACATGTACGCGCGTGCTCCCTTGCTTCCGCATGGCTATTCATTAACCGGTATCCCCTCTTCCCCTCTTGCAATTGCAGTTGGGCCTGTGGCGTGATCATGTTCACGCTGCTCGTCGGCTGTCCACCCTTCTGGCACCGCAAACAGATGGTGATGCTGCGCAACATAATGGAGGGAAAATACAGTTTCACCTCGCCGGAGTGGGCCGATATTTCTGGTGAGTCGCCAAATCGTTTTTGTTTTGTTTTGACATTTCAATCTCATTGGTGAATGGTTTCTTGCAGAGGATCCCAAGGATCTGATACGCAAATGTCTAGTCGTTGATCCTGCGCAACGTATCACCGTCACGGAAGTATTAAGACATCCATTCTTCAACCAAATGGTAAGTGACGGCGCCTTTGGATGCCGCAGGGTGACAGGGTCCATGCCCACAACCAATTCGGGCACCACCACCGAGAAGCAGAACGAGAGCTGCTCTCGTATCGCGTTTGATTCCACGTGGATCATCTTGGGCTATGTACATATATAGAATCTAGTTGACAGGCTCCCCTGCGGTCTAGCTCTCCCCCTCCCCCCCTTTAAATGGGTCACCAATGGCTCCCACAATCTGTTAACCTGTCTCTAAACACATCCGCACTCGCACCACCCAACACACCTGTGACTCACCCCACAGCCGAGGCTTCGCCATCTCTTAGGAGTGTCCCTGGGGATCATCCACCCAACCCCCCCGTAGTTGACTCAAGCGAAACTGTTCAACATTAGTTATTTTCTTTCCTTTGATTTAATTCACATTTGCGCCTTTGGTTAAGCATTATATTATATACCTACATGTATTATTATTATTCTTTTTTTTTTTTGTAAATTTATGTCTGTTTAATTTTTAATATTACTTTATTATACAATACATTTTCTCTCTTCTTTTCCTTACATATACGTTCTATAAAACCAAATTACAATTAATTTAAACCAAACACGAATCGAACGAACGAACAAATGAATCGAATGAATCACTTGTTCCGATCACTTTTCTCGATAAACGAAACGATAAACGATCAACCCCTAATTCGAAATTCAACTTCGAAAGCTGTTCGAGCAAAACATTGATGGCCTCAAGCGCAGCCTGTCGACCAAGTCCAGAAGAATGAGTCGCATCACCGAAATCGCACTGGTAACGAAATGCTCCCGGACTAACCACCGCCCCCTTCCCAACCAACCCCAACTCTCGATCCGTCAATATCTCTCTCTCTCTCTCTCCCTCTCCCTCTCTCTGTCTGTATCTGTCTGTTTCGCTCTCCTTGTCTCTGTGTGTATTCCATATGTCGAATCGCAATAACAACAACAACAACAAAAACAAAATTCCAAAAACCCACTCTCAGATCAGCGACAGCAGCAATCCAATACCCATTCTGTTGCTGTTGCAATCTGTGCTCGTGTGTGTGTTCTGTTCGCTGCATTCTGTTCTGTTATGTTCTTGTCTGTTCTGATCTAATCTACATAATAGTACCTACTATAATGCCCCCACCAAGCCACCAAGCGCGATCTCTGCGTCCATTATGTCATGTGCCAGCATAACCTAACTACAACCAACAACTGTAACCGTATAACACATTCCACCAACCACACACAAGGATTACAACAAACAAAAAAAACAAAAAAAAAAAAAAACTAGCGTATTTGATTTGCTTATTTTTACTTCACTTTTTTGCTTGGCGATTACGCGATGCTCTTTGATGATAACAATCCCAAATCCCCTCTCGCTCTCTTGCTCTCTCTCTCTCTCTCTCTCTCTCTCTCTCTTTCTCATAAATCCCCTCCCAAAACATGTGTACCGTACCTTCTGTGTCTGCATGTCCCGCCCACACCCATGGTTGAGCCGCCACCCCACTGCATGCGTGCGTGAACGAAAGAGAAAACAGAGAAACCCAACGCCAGCACAAGTTCTAAAGGGAGTGGCAGTGCATCTGATTGCAGTTGGGGGGACTCATAGCAAGGTGCATTAATTCAGGGTGGGGGACATCTTCGCATCTCAGGGATAGGATGGGATGCGATGGGATGGGATGCGATGGAGATACATGCAGCTGTAAGAAATGTCAAATACTTAGAGATTAAGTCGAGTTCAAGTTAAACTTAGCCCTAGCCATAAGTACTTTTAATTATTTTTGTTTTGTTTTTGCTACTACTTTATTTTTCTCCTCCTAACTGATTACAAAATTTTTGATTTCTTTCGCGCCGTCACCCACATTCCTCGTTTGCCTCGTTTTCGTTTCGCCACCAATAAAATAAACCCCGATCCCGAACGAACACCAGGTTCTGATGGGTGATCTGACCACGGCACGGCCACCGCCCACGTCCGCCTATGCCCCGGGCCGATACCAGAATATTGCTGCTTCTGCATCTGCCAGTGCCAGTGCTGATGCCGGTCCCGCTGCGTTCCGCTACGACCGAATCAACAGCAATGGTGGCGGCGGCAGTGGCCCCAATCCCTGCGGCTCCTCCTACCTCTACTACAGTGCGCCACAGAGCTCGTATTCATCGAATCGATTGAGGGATGTGCTGCCGCCCCCCGATCTGGATGACCCCTCCTCGTCGTGTACCTCTGCCTCCTGTTACAAGACCCTAACGGCAACGGTATACTATCAGCAGCAGCCGCAGCAACAGCAGCAACATCAGCAGCAGCAGCAACATCAGCATCAGCAGACGGCGCGGGCAATAGCCGGAAATAATTATGAAAGTGCCGCGCAGCAGCAGCATTTATTGCATGCACAAGTGCAGGCAGGTTTTTCCATTGATTTTCTTTTGCTTTCCTTTACAAATTGTTTCTTACGTATTTAGTTGCCACACATACACACACACGTATGATTTAGTTATATTAATTATTTTTATTTGATTTTATAGACTTTAAGCAATGCTGCTTTTTTTAGTTGATTTTTTCATCATAAGCGCACCAATCATTCATCCTCCCGTTAATTCATTCAACACAGGAGACACAGGCCTGCTGCCTGCTGCCCTGTGCCCTGTGCCCTCTCTTCTCACTCACAGCACAGAGACACAGCTCAAATCCATACCATACCATACCATACCATACCAGTTCCATCCACTCTTATTCCATCTCTTCAGCTGGCATTGCCGTTAGCTATCCCGTTCCGATTGTGAGCGTAAGATCCATTATTATTTGAGCTTGAATAAAACGCAATGTTGTCGGTAGAAAATGTATCATGTCAGCTCGTTTGATAGCCTGCGCGGCTCCACTCCTCCCCACTGCATCACAAACCCCACCACCACCCAATCACCCAATCAGCCACTCACCCAGTCACATTTCTTAGGCTTAAGTACTTTCGTCAAGCCTACTACTATGCATTATGTATGTTTCTACGATTCTTATTGTATTTTCTTATAGCTGGCACTTAGTGGTATCGTAGCGAGTAAACACCATATTTGTATTATATGCACCTTTCTGTAGCACATATCCTGTCGGGTGAACTGGATGATACTTGCAGGAACTGTATGTAGTGGAACTGCTTTGTAGTCATAGATGTAGATTTAGTTGTAGATGTAGTCGTATCTGCGTAATACCTAGATAATGTGTCACTAAATCCCAAAACACCCCACCACCCATGGAATATCGCCTCACAACGCCTTCTATATATATATTTTTTTTTTTTTGTATGAATGTGGCCGTAGTGGAAACAGGAAAATATTATTATATTTAATTTGCATGAGTACGAGTGTTGTAAACTACATATACATATATACCTAGTATATACATATTACATATAACCTAACAAATACATACATACATACAAACATATATTTATTATAAATGACGCCAAAATCGATTCACTGACGATTTATTCTGTTTAATTTCTCCTCTGTTGGTGATGTTGTACACGTTTTGTTTTGTGTGTCATGTTCTCAATATTGTCAGAGTCTCAACGCCCTTATACCATGTGTGTCTATAAGTCGGTGTTGTGGGGACTCCATTGTGAGTAGACCAAAGAAAACTGCGATAGAATACAGTTACCGTTGCATACAGTACATCCATCCATCCATTCAAACCTATATACTCTCTCATATGCATACTTACTTACTACATACAGATGTATTTACACATACATATATCTCGCAGCATAATCCCCGCACATAGTCGATCGTAATCCTCAAATCGCGAATGTTGCTGTGTCCTGTGTCCCCCGACTTAAGCTTTGGCTCGGTTTCGGTTTCTTTTGACTCTACACAATAACACGGCCCTCCCCCTTCCACTCACTACCTCTCCCTCTCTCCCTCTCTCTCTCTCTCTCTTCCTTTCTTCCACCCTTTGATTTACTTTGATCTATGTACATGTGTCTATGCGTTGCCTTTGCTTTCTTCCCCATAAAGCTCATTAATGCTAACGGTATCTAACAGTAATCCGCTCATCCGCTGATCAAACACTGAGAAACGCAAAATAAAGTTCTAGGCTCCCTCTCTCTCTCTGTCTCTCTGTCTCTTACCTTTGTATATCTGACAGCATGCGATTAACACTCAAACCAGATATGTAGCTCTTAATTGATGCCCACTGAATAGAAGATAATCCGTTTACTTGTTTATAATTATACCAAATACCAACCAAAGACCAAATAGGAGGCATTTTTCAGGGCTAATTCGAAAATTGTGGAATATTTTTATTGGGTAGTAAAGTAGAATCAATAGATAAAATACGTACATATATACTCAAACAAAATTCCAAGAAACCTGACTTCGTCGCGCCAAATATTACTGTCACTCAATAATAAATAAATCCCAATTCGATCGATGTTTAGTAAGTTATCTAAAAACATTCAAAACGCAAACACTAGTTGGAAATTATGATTGTTTCTATGCCAAGCCATTTACAAACATATCTTTTGAACTAACGAAGTAAAAGTAAACCGAAATCGGACTGCAAATAGTTAGCTACCAGAATAAGATAAATATTCGATTCCTTTGCGTCTCAGTCCCGCCACTGTGTGTTGTTCCATGTTGTAACGCCAACAAAATAATATAAAAACAAAAACAAAAATAGCTAACTCCATTCAACATTAACCGTTAACCGTTAACCGAACCTAACCCTAACGACGTGTGCACTAAAACAACACGAAAGCCACAAAGAGATCGATCTACTACTACTACATACCACCCATTCCTCGCTCAGGGGTTTGGGACAGCATGTGGAGCGAAACCTAATCCCAACGTTCTCTCTCTCTCTCCCAAATCCCACCTATAGCTTCGCAAACAGAGTCGCTTCAATGCGCGCAAAAAGTTCCAATTCGCCATATTAGTGATACGCGCTGTCATTAGGATACGCCGACTGCGATTCACCGCCGAGCCGCTGCACGTTGAGGAGGCCATACGCGATCCCTATCGCGTCAAGGTGCTGCGCAAGGTGAGTTTGCTGCCCTGCCTGCCAATTCCAACACTGATCGACACTAAATTGTCCTTCGGCAATCTCATTCTCTCCTTTTGTCCAGGTTATCGATGGATGCGCCTTCCGTGTTTACGGTCATTGGGTGAAGAAGGGCGAGGGCCAGAACCGCGCCGCTCTCTTTGAGAATACTCCGCGCACCGAGCTGCACGCCCTCTACATTAACAATCTCAGTCGATAGAAGGAGTAGGAGGAGGAGGAGGAGGCAGAGGCAGAAGCAGAAGCAGAGGAGAAGACAAACACACACACTAGCAAACGAATCAGTAAAATCTTAGTAGCCACTAAGCATCAGAGAGGAAGGAAATTTATAAGCAAAGAAAGAAAAAAAAAAACAAACAAACAAACACCAAATGAACTCAACTAAATACGCCGCAACGGTTCAACCACAAACACACATACACACACACATGTACATAGAATAAGCTCTGATTTGAGCTTTAGACTTTTTTTTTGTCGTTTCTTTCCATTTTTCTCTTTCTCTCTCTCTCTCGCTCGGTCTGTCTGAAGCAGCAGCCAGCAGCGCATCTCTGGCATAGATTTTAATTTAGAGTTTTGTATGTCTAGCAGATCCAATCGGAAGGAGGAGGACAGCAGGAGGAATCTAGAACCGTTGGCAGGTCTTTGCCGCAGTAGCCATTGCCTATGCACGCCCACAAATATACATACACATGTATTCTCTGTTAATGATTCTATTAAATTATTTAATTGTACTGCTAAGCGTTTAAATTTTAACTGTTATGTTGTAGAATACACAATAAATTAATAAAACAACAAAAAAAAACAAAAAAAACACAAACAAATAAAAGGATGAGAAGCAGCACCAGTAACACAGGGAGTTGGTCAACCCTGCTTAGATGAGTTTGGCGCATTCGTGGGAGCGCTCACAGCACTCGGGAAAACTGCGATTGATATTGACAAAGTCGCGCAGCTTGCAGCCCTTTGGTGGCGCCTTGGCGTCACAGGTCTTGAACTCGACGCGACCGCCCTCCATGCAGGTGACGCCGGCGCATGGATGATTGGGTGCCTTTCCCACCTGCCCTGGCGACATCACCGTGTTGGAGTCCAGAACACACTTTCCCGGATGGCCTGGAATGAAAAAGGAACACGCAGATTCTAAATCGTATTGCTCCGTACAATCCTGATCCTCTTGTACTCACTGGAATTGCTGAAGTCGGCCCGAGCAATGGCCGCCTGGGCCAGCTGGCTGCCCAGGATAACGGCGGCGCAGCACAGGAGGAGGGTGGCGATAAAGTGGGACATCCTCTTGGTGATATTTGATATTCGGGTGGATCTGCTCTGCGTGAATGCTCTGGTCAGTGAGGATCGAGGTGCGCAAGTGTTGTCGGTTTAGCGCCAACGGCAATGTTTTATACGCACCCGGACCGGCGCCGCTGCCCGTTATCACGACGGCTTATCGAGATGTCAGCTGAGCGGAGCCAGCGACGTGACCTTGTCCGACGCCAGCTAAAGCGCGCTCCTTTTGCCTGCCCCATGCGCCCCAGATGCCGGTTTTCCGACGCGGGCAGCTGCCCGTTTGGCAGCTTTTTTTCTCTACCCGTTAGCCGCAAAACGTACGGGTATGTTGTGCTCGTTCGAAAGAACGTTTCCGCCCAACAAAAAAAAAACAAAAATAACTATATGTACATCATATGTATATGTATATTTTTCACACTATTCTTTATCTACCTACACATGTACTAAGTAGGTGTAGCTCTGCAAAAGATTTCCGACCGCCAAGTACATATGTATATATTCCTGATCAGCATCCAATGCCAGTCCACCAAAATCATAAAAACTCTTTGGTATTTTTTGCTTATTCGAACAGGATTGGTTCCCTTTTTATTCGAGTTCCAAATGTATCAGGAAATAGATCCGCCTGCCAGGGTATCCCGCAGTCGAAATGTTCTCGATTGGTGCGACGACTTCCCTGCGGTTCATTGAGTACTTAATTATATTACACGCATACATGTGCACTGCTTTGATTTGTTTTTAATATATTCATTGTTTCATATTATAATTATTACCGCTGGAAGCTTATCACGTTTCTCATTTTTTGTTCACCGTTCTTCCTCTCTCTTTCCGTTTTGCTGATCTGATCTTCTTGTGGAGGCGCTTTTTTGGGGTTTTTTTCGCTTTGTTTTGTTGAAACGTCTTGTTTTGGTGTGGAATTCCTGCGGCTTACAACTTGTTGTTGGGTCGCGATCGGACCGGACTCTGGGCAGGGGAGTCAGTGGTGGGGTGGGGTCAGTTGACTCATCGCGAGTGCACGCAACAGCAATTGACACTTTCACCGGCGCCTTTGGGTTCTTGAACCTCCCCACACAACCACAAAAAAAAACCCAAACTAAATAACATGCAATAATACATTTTTTAAATCGATGGGTGAATGACATGCTGCCGTGACATGATCGATCCACTTCTTGCAATTAAATCTATTTCTCTGTTCATATACAGAATATGTGTGTATTTTCTTTGATTTGCTCGAATCATTTTACTATTATTTAATTAATATTAATTCTTCTTTTATTTTCTCATATGTATGTATGTACATACATATGTATGTAAGTGATCCACTGTCTTTTTCTATGAAAACTTTGATAGCTATTTTCAGACAGACTCCTCATGTCTGCTGCTCTCAGTAAGTCTATAATTTGAAACACTAGATTTTTGGACAGATGATAGAGATTTCATACAGAAATGTACATACATAAATATACATATGTATGTACATATGCACCATATTTGATCCGAAGGAACGATCTTCAAGCGTACATATATGTCATATATTTTATCCATATATTGTTATCCAAAACTAGCCATTTTATCATGAAAAACTTTGTCTATTCAAATTAGTGCTTTAGCCTTAAAGCAACAACTTTGATGGCATTGCTAAGTAAGTTTACAATACGTACAAATATTTGATTAAAATTCAATTATGTATTTTTCACTACTATAAACAATTTTTTTATTACGACTTTGTGTTAATATTTAGTTAACAAACAAATGATTAAATATTTCAGTTGTCGATGGGAACAATTTACATAAGTATGTACATAGATGTGTTTGATTGTTTAAAGAACAATCACACAACAGCCACAATAAGAACTCTATCTTCGAGATAGTATATTTATAAATGTTCATAAGTCCCACTATGCATACACTGGCTAATGTGGCAATTTGTATGGAAAAGCTAGCTAGTTGATGCACGAAATCCAAATGCGTGAAACATATCCAGATGTCCACAATATGTAGTGCATGTAACCAGTGTCTGTAAGTCAATGATCGATCTGCACAGAGTCAGGAGAGTGAGTAATGCAGAGAGAGAAAAAATGCGTGTGAGCGTTATTTACTTTTTAAAACTTTACTATTTATTTATATTTTTTTCTATTGACGATTGTGTTTACGTAGACTGTTTTCTTGTTTGTTTTCTTGTATTTTACAGAGGTTACACTATATTGCGCTTACTGAACCCTACATGCACTGCACTTCTATATATAATTAATTTATATATGTATAAGTATTAATGGGTGTTTCTTGTCATATCATAATTTCTTCGGCTTCGACTTACAATGTAATAAAGGACTTTTACAAAATGCAGAATTAGAATTGAGATAAGTGCCCACCCGTGTGAATGCAGCGGGAACCGGAACATACACCAGGTCAAGTGAGGGAAAATGTCGGAAAAATTAAATACACATGCGTGTACGAGGAATATACACGTATTGAGAGATATATAGATAGATAGATAGATAGAGAGCTATCGATTGGAGATTCCACATTCCAGATTCCAGATTCTGAATATAAATTTGAACTTGAACTTGCACCAGCTACCATAACTTCCACATGGAATGCGGCAGAAGAGATTCTCCAAAGTAAACCTAATGGGGGGACAGCCACTGCGTCGGGAGCTAGAACTAGAGCTAGACACCCGGATATAGGGGCAGCTTGGCGGTGTCAATTTTTTCCTCCACCTTGAATGAGGGAAAGAGGCCGCCCTGATTGGTGCGCGTGTTCTTGCCCTTGGAGTTGCCGTCCCAGTGGTTGCCAGCCACCGACACTAGGTCGTCCACCCGCAGCTGTAGGTCCTCGTGGGTGCGCGGGCTGTGGGCGATGACTACGCGACGATTGTGCGCATTCTGACCGCCGTAATAGTAAATGTCGTCCAGCGATTTGAAGCGGTTCGAGGCGTCCGGATACATGGTCTGCATGATCTCGTACGCCACGCGGCAGACCTGCGAGGAGAAGGTGCACACAAGATGGTCGGACATGGATAGCAGGTGTATGTCCAGTATGATACCGTTGAGGGCCGTGTCCGTGTAGCGCGTGGAGACGGACGCCATGCGAGCCACCTCTGGATCACCGATGATCTGGTAGTGCGGGTACTTTTCGCGCGCCTCTTCGATCACGTTGGCATCGTCCGAGGCCAGAAAGACTCGTCGCACCACACTTGTCCCATTGATCTCCAGCGTTCGGTAGTAGTCCTCCACATGGGTCATGTACTCCCCGATGCTGTGGCACGCCGCCTCCGTGCCCACCTTGTCCGTACGACGCACATGCACCCTGCCAACAAGAATAAAATTTATCATTAAAGCCTGAGGGGGAAAAGCCTCACCAGCTGCAGCTCACCCCACAATGGGACGCTCCCAGCCCAGGTTTCGCATGCCGGCAAAGAGGAATTCGCGCGTCGGCTGCTGCGGTCGCAGAAGGTACTTCAAGAACTGGCCCACCCACCAGACAATGGGATCACCGTGCAGGCGTTTGAGGCGCGGCGCCAGATCCTCGGGCACGGCCAACGGCAGGTACGGTGGGCGCGGCATTAGCGAGTCAATGATCGGCAGCACCAGGACCTGAGTATTGGGCTTGCCCGGCCAGTTGTATGCGTTGGCAGACCCCGCGTCGTGGCAGCTCTTCGAGATCGGCTGGAAAACCTCCTCCCAGCCGCCCTTGTGATAGCGCCAGCCACGCGACTTGAGGATCATGGTGCGCTCCGTGGCATAGGCCACAATAAAGCAGTACACCACATGGTGCAGTTGGCAGCCATAGCCACAGCCCTAACGATAGACAGACAGACAGATATTAGAAGACTAGAAGTAGATCAGGCAGGAGCAGGAGCAGACAAATCTTCACCTTGTTGAGCTTGCAGACCAGCTTGCGAGCGTTTTGACAGTCGCTGGGGTTCTGCAGGTGGTTCAGGCGCCGCTGGACCAGGTCGCTTAAGTCCCTGGCCTCCTTGTGGCGCCAGGTCTCGTAACCGTCCGAACGCCGCATGTGATCCATGTCGCTGAGAAGCGATCGCTTGTGCTCTGCACCCTGCACCAGCACCTGGCTGATGGACTCCTCCAGCTCCTTGTGCCCCTTGCTGGCCACCACCTTGCTTATCTTGCCCAGCTCGCTGCTGAAGTAGTTCCAGATCTCCCCAATGTTCGTCTGGATGCGTCGCCTCGTAAACTCGTACTCCAAACTGGGCTCGCCATGTCCCAGATCGTCGCCGGATAAGAGATCCAACTGAGCTGCAGCTCCGTCCAGCAGATCGTTTCCACCTTCGGCATTATTCCAGCCCCTCAGATCGGCAGGGGCAGAATCAAAGAACGCCTCGGGCTCTGCTCCCAGACTTTGCAGCCCCTGCTTTGGGTTGAGGGGATCGTTCTCCAACTTTTGTACTAGCTTCAGGGCGCTCTGTTTGTCCAGCTGGTCGCTGAAAGAGATGTAAGAAAAGCGCAAGCAAAAGGAGAGGGGTGAGCAAAGCCGCTTGTCATGTGTACATTATTATAGCAGCGTGCCGTGCATAATTAACTACGACGCCACAGCACACCGCGGTGCGCCAATTGTCAGGCTAATCAACATATGAATGCCATGTGACTGGATTGTGGCTGCTGACTGCTGGCTGGCGGGGGGGAATGGAATAGGATGTAAGCCATACCTCATCAGCTCATCAATAAGCTGCTTGAGCTCCGCGTTGCGCTGCTTGGTGTGCTCGAGAAGCTGCAGGGCCTGGGTGATGCGCCGCGCGCTGATCTCATTCTCTCCCGACGCCTGCTGGCCCTGTGTGCTGGTCAGCTTAACCACGAACACGTAGACGAGTGCCACCCAGGCCAGCACAAAGATGACAAGGGCCCGCACCCATGAGTTTGCCGATGCGCCAAATAGCTGCCGCACTAGCAACATTGGTTCTGCTCAGCCGCCGCCTCCTGTTGGTTGGTTGGTGTGTTGGTTGGTTGGTTGGGTATCCGCCCGTGCCCTCTGCCCTGTGCCCGTGGCCTCTTGGCCTGTGCCCGATGCACTCGCAGCTCAGCTGCAGAAAACACGCACTGCTGTTCGGCTGTGCGGAATAGGGGTTCAATTTGTATATGGTGATGGTGCTGGTGTTGGAGTCTCTTCTGATCTCGGTGAGCTCGGTTGTTGTCACATAGTCACAGCTGCATAGCGCCGGGCTGGCCACTGTTCAATCACAGTTCACAGTCCGCTTCATCCGCAGCAGCACTGAAAAGGTACGGGCAACAGCCACAAGTCAATATACGGGGGCGGCCAAATGGCAAATGTTACGCTACGCTACACTGCCATGCCACTGGCTTTGGCTTTGGCTCATTTCTCCAATTATCAGATATTATGGCTGCTGCTCTAGCCTTTTATTGATGGAGTGTAGCGGGGGTGCGGGTGCCCCGATCGTCGGCAGTCGTGGCACTGGCACAAATGTGCTATATTTACTCACATACAATTGTATATGTTTCCGTGTGTTGTTCCGTGTTTTCTTTTGTCTCCTTCAGGGAAGGCACATATTTACGTTCCCTGCCTGCTGCCAATCACAGTTATTTTCAAGCCACCACCAGTCACTGCTTTCGGTTGGCTGTTTTTTGTTGTTGTAATTTGCCAATTTTTGGCAAGCTATCCGAAATGAAACAGCGAGTCCCATTAATCTGTACGTGTTTTATGTTTTAAAAACATTTTTATTTGGTTTTTTAATAGAAAATCAAAGCATGTTTGCTTATTGTCGCTGATATTTTAACACCCTCAGTCACAGCTATCGCCGGAGCAAGTGTCACTTATACGCTCATCTCTAGTCGCTGTACTATCGATGTTAGCAGCCAGATGTGCACGACTTTAATATCGTTATCGATTGACGACTACGCCCTAACGCATTTTCAAATACTAAAATTTGCCACACTACGGACCAGAAGAAGCATTCGAACAGCTCCTCCTGCCTCTCAAAACTTCGTGTCAACAATCCAACACGATGGGGTTGTTGTCATGGTTTCAGTCTGATGCGATGTTCTCTTAATATTTCACAATTTATTTGGACTTATGCTATTAATAATAAAAATGATTATAATTTTGAGATGTTGATTTTAGAGTCCTGGAACGAACCGAACCGAAGCGATCCATGCGCCCACGGCCCACGAACCGCACTGGTAGCAGAGCATTTCCTGCTACGCGTACATGGGGGATGCATGATAACCAGATATCGGAAATAGGAATTAAAATGTAGTTGCTTGACGTCGTTTGCTCTCCTTGCGGGCAAGCCAAATGAAGAGTGTGTGATTATCGTATAAATTATAAAAATCTGTATATGTATAGTTTTAAAAAAAAAAGTTGTACACATAAAATATAAATTATATTATTACAATTACGACCACAAAAATTTTCTTATTGTTGAAATGAGTTTTTGTTTTGTTTTCTTTTTTTTTGTTTTTTTTTTTTGCTTTCTTTGTTTTTTCATGTGTATGTGTGTGTGTGTTTGTGTGTGTGGGAGAGATATATAGAGAGAGAGAGAGAGCGCGTGAATGTGCAAATATACTGCGGGGGGAGATGCGTGTACATGCGACAGTTTTGATTTATTGTTAAATTTAAATACCTATGTATATAAATTATTTTGTTTTATTATAATTATTGTTTCTTCATCCTTTTTAGTTCTTGCTTCCATCCTTTTGTTTTCTTTTTCTCTCATTTTTTTTTTGTTTGTTTTTTTTTCTTTCTATGTAGTGGGGCAACTGCGGCATTTGTAAATTTCTTTATAATTAAATGTTCATTTTGACTGTGTAAAAATATCTGATCTCGCTTTAGTTACTATTCACGTAAGGTGTATTTGCTTTTCGTTCCATTTATATTACGTTAACGCTGCACTCCAAATCTGAATCTGAATCCGAGTCGACTCCTCCTTTTCGCGCGCGCTCCTGTTATTGAAATGTCTTCTATGGTTCTGCTGCTCTTGCTGGATCGGGATCGGGATGCAAGCATCCATCCTCCGTCCTGCGTGCCTGTCCTGTCCTGTTCTGTTCTGTTCTTGTATGTGTTGTAGCATGCCAGTGTATGGTGGTGGTGGGGGTGTGCGAGTGTAGGTTGTGGTGCTGTGTGGTGTTGTAAGATTGTGTGTCGTGAGTGTTGGTTTGCTTCTCGTTATATGTTTGTGTGTGTGTGTGTTTGTGTGTGTATATATATATATATAATATATTATATGTATGTATAATTAGTTGCTTAATAGTACAATTTCTTGAATGTTGTTGTGGTAAAGTGTAGGTAATGTTGCTCTATGTCTCTAGGTCGACTCAACTGCACTACATACATATGTCTTTCCACCAGATACGCGGCGAGCCGAACCGAACCGATCCGATCCGAACCGAAACGAACCAATCGATCGATCGATAATCCCCGCTTCCAACTCATTCGCTGCGCAGCTTCTTCAGCTCCGGCGACTTATCGCTGCCACCCACTGCACCAGCTGGCGCATTACTCAACTCCATCTCACACTGCAGGGCCGTACGCTTCTTTGCAATGGCTTCTGGCACCGACAACGCCGTGTCCGTTGCCGCTCCCTTGATCGGTTCGATAGCCGCCACCGTCTCAGTGATCGTAGCCACCTTTCCCGCTCCATCGGATGCCGCCAGCTGCTGCAGTTTGCTCTCGCGCGCATTGCTGTTGCTGCTGTTGCTTTCGTCAGCCTCTAGCTCCGCATCGTTGTTCTCCTCCTCGTCCAGCTCGTCCTCCTCATCCTCTTCCTCCTCGCCATCATCGAGATCGTTGCCCAACACTCCATTGCCATTACCATTGCCGTTGGCTGCGGCCGCTGCCGGTGCTGCCTTTGCTGGCTGTTCCGCTGGAGTCGCCTGACCATTGTTGATCTGCTGCTTGCTATTGTTGTGGGTCGGGCTCTGTGTCTGGTTCTGGGTCGAAGGCTGGGTCTGTGGTTTGCTCGACTGCACTGGATCGGCCGCATTCAAGCGATTGGTGTTTAGCGGCGCCTCGAGGTTGCTTTCTGAGTCGGAGGCCAGAGGTGTGCCACCGCTGCCCATGCCAATGCCGATCCCAATTGGTTCACCGTCTTCTGTGGATGTGGTGGCCGTTGTCTGTGTGGTTCCATCGTTGTCATCGATGATCGGCTCCTGAGAGGTGGAATCATTCGACACAAAGTTCGAGTCGCCATCCTGCAAGGCTGCTCCCACGGCAGTGGCATTGCTCTTGGCCTCGCCCGCATTTAGCGGCGTTAAAGCAGCCGGATTGGTATTCTCGTTCTCGGTCTCCGACTCTGTTGCAGTGTTGCGCCCACCTGTGGATGGAGATCACAACAATTAACATCATATACAACAACAAAAAAAAAAGGGATATTTGACAAGAAATCAAGAGATGAGCTTACCGGCGCCTTGGCTCTCGTCGTCGAGATCCACGGCCACACCATCATTGGTGTCGTCGCCGTCGAGGACATTGTTGCTTGCGCCATTTGTGCTGATGGATGCGGTGCCTGGGGGTGGCATGTCGTCAAGCATCTCGGGACTCAAGTCGTTGGCCACGTAGTGTGACCAAAGGGCCAGCTCAACACGGTGCGGAGACCAGTGCGGCGTCTCACCCCCCACCTCTGCATTGAGGCGCTCCACCGTCGACTGGATGTGGTTCACAAAGTTGAGGTACTCCTTGGTGGTGTAGTCAATGCCCTCGATCTCTGGTATGGCCATCAAGCACTCATCGGCCATGAAGGGTGCGCGATCGGGTGCGGCGGCCGCCAGCAAGGCGGAGGCCATCGTGGTGCCGACGCCCTTTAGGTTCGATAAAGCTGTGATCGCCTGCTCCAGGTTGGGCAACTTGCGGAAGGCCTTCTTTGTCTCCTGCATGACGGCGCGCGGTGTATTCACCTTGACCAGGTACGAGAGCTGCGGATAGAATTTTCCGCGCGACTGCTTCCACTTCATGGTCTGCACCAGCTCGTCGTACACCATATGCGCGTCCTTACCCCGTGCCTTAATCAGGCGCGGCAAATCGTTCTGGTACCACTGGTCCAGCCGGATCAGCTCTTGCGGCTTCTTCGACCGCTTCTCTGCCTTCATTTTGAGCACCTGCGGATACAGCTTGTAGCAGTACTCGAACTGTATGGTGCTCCCGTTCTCGAAGAACGATACCGTCGCCTTGCCGTTGGCCATCTTTTATCGTTTTTGGGTTTGATGCAGATGCAAATGCGGATGCGAAGGATGGAGGTTGGAGAACAGCCTCCTTTTAGCCTGGTCTTGTATATATCGATAAATGTATGTATATATGTATGAAATATATACAAATGTATGTAGGTGTCCCCTATCTGCTACTGCTTGACGGTGTGTCAATGTACTGCTATTTTATCGGTGGTGGTCGTCGTCGCCGGCGAAATGTAGAAGAAGAAACAGAAGCGGGGAAGGAAAGAAGAAGAAAGGCACACAATTAGCTTTACAGTTACGGTTACATATGCACGCCGCTTTGATTGCTTTCGATGAATTACTGTTAATGCTACGACTGCTGGCTGCAGCTGTTGATCTGTTCTGTTGCTGCTTCTGAAATTATTTGTTTTATTTACTCAATTCGATAATCGTACTCTATTCGCTAAAATTCTTTCTCGTTTTTTTCCTCCAAGCACAAATCGAATTTTGCTCTCAGCCGTCGTCGGGTTCTTTTTGGTCCGCCACACGCACACACTTGAACACAGACATACAAACACACACAACCATAAGCTCTTGCACACCCAGAGAGAGCAGCTCGAACATACAAAAAAACACACTCACACACACACCGAAACACTGTTATATACAGAGGCAGCAGCGACACAAATACAAATACGAAGAAGGCAACAAAAAATTTCTTTTTCCATACATTTTGAAAATCAAAAATACGAACGCGAGCAATAATAAACGAATGATTTTTAGTCGTATTCCTTTTCTTTTCACAACAGAGAACCGCTTTTCACCCACTGGCAGCAAATGAATAAAAACGGCACACACACACACACACGCCACGCACAGCACTAAAACATATCATCATTTAGCTTCAGATTGAGATTGAGGCTGTCGCAGTCGCAGTCGGAGTCGATCGGGTCGTATAGGTTGCTTTGCTTGCTTTGGCTTGGTCTGGTTTGGTTTTGGACCAGGCGATGCTAGAGACACCAGAGACTAGACCCAGAGAATGTAATTTTCCGTCGGGACGTTGCCGTCCACCGACTACTACTCACCTCTTTTCTTTATGCTTTATGCGACCGCCGCTTGCCTGTGCTCGCCTGCATGTATTTAGTTTTAGTTTAGTTGCCGCCTGTCTTTCGTTTCGTCCACAGCGAGGCAGTCATCCAAACACTCTACAGCCAGCAGTTTCTGGCTCTGCTTTCAGCTCTGTGCTCTGCCTTTGCTTTGCTCTGTCGTGTCGTTGCCTTTGCTTGCCAGTTCCCGAGCCGTACAGTGGCGTCGTTGGCAACAGCAAGAGGGTGTGCTGGTGCTGTCGAAAAGAAGCGGCGCAAAACACACCACAAAAGGATGCAGCTGTGGACGTGAACCAAGTACAAACTCGTATGGCAGGAACGGAACAGAACGAAGCAGAGCAGAGCCCAGCAGTAACAGGAGTTGAAATTGCCAGCGTTATCGCTGTCTCGCTCGCACTCGTTTCTGAGCTGTATCTGTATCTCTATCACCCCTGAACGTTGCCGGCGAACGTCTGTGGCCGTGCCGTGGTGCCAGTTGCCAGCGACAGCAGCAGCGGCCAAAGCAGCAGCAACAGCGGCAGCGGCGTCCGTCTATCATTATTCATGAGGGGGTGCGTCAGCTTTTGAATTTTAGTAGCTAGCCCGACGTGTTTGTGTTTTTGAAATTCACAATAATCACATACATACGATATTTATTTAAAATCCTGATGGGCCAAGTTATTGACTGATCAAACAGTCAGAGTCCCTTTATGGGATGACGATATGTGCACATATATATATATATATATATAGCTACATACATTTACAGCTGTTGTATTCTAGATCAGAAACCGTAACTACATATACATTCATACATATGTACGTAAATACATATATGAAAGCCAAGCCTAAATGTATCCCCCCGCTGGCACATACACTACGCCCCAAAATTTGAGTTCGCCTATCGCTCGTTTGCCTTTTGCGTCGGGTTTTAACTTCATGTTCGCTTTGCCGCCATCATTCGTTGTTGCCGTTTTTACTTACCCTATTCGAGTTTTCGTTGTCGTCGTCGAACGGGCGAAGCTATAGCAGCTGCAACTTGGCTCTGTTGGCTGCCTCTCTCTCTGCTTCTGCTTGTGTTTCGCTCAGTTTTACCCCATGTACGTTTGTTCGCCTCGTTGTGCACACACGCACCTATACCTATGCACACACGGAGGCGTTTTTTAAAAAGTCCGATTCAATATTATATGCGATGTCTGTGCGATGTATCGATACGTGATACGATCCATTTCGCATCTGGTTTCCCCACCCCTGTCCATAAAAACCCGTTCCAACACCAGATACAACCCAATAACATAATTATCATTCATATGGGCATGTACATATGAATGTATGTATCGTATGTATGTATATATTTACATGCATATGTATGCATATCCACCCTCTCTCTGTACAGGCATCATCGTCCCATGAGCAGGTAAAAAATATCACGTTACCAACCCCTCTTTCAAAATGTCTACGTCTCTGCGAGATGATTCTCATTTTTGCGCTTTTTCTTTTGCTCGCACCAATACATGTGAAAACATTTTCGTGTGCAACGTTGCCAGACAGATTCGCATTTGCTGTTTCGCTCCAGCGTGAATGTTGGCCCATTGTCTGCCAGGGGTATTATTCCCACGATAGTGATGAAACTTTAAGCGCAGTTCAGGTGAAGATAACATCATATATCGAGAGATATGTAAAGAGAAAAGATAGACCTACAAGAAAAATTTAAAAGGAGCATTATTGCATTTAACTCAACTGCTCCCCTGTTAAATATACGGGGGTTACGTGGGTTAAGTTCATTTTGAACGTTATATTATGAAAAATACAAAACTAGCCAGCATTGTACAATATTTTTTGAGGAACTGGATAATATTATGTGCTTAGGGCTGAGAGTGCCAACTAGCTAGTAATATTAAACTGAATATCAAAATTAACGTATAAAATATCGTGGCGCCCGCTCCCGTGAAACTGATTTGACAAAATGAGAATGGTATATTTGTTTAGGCTGAGGGGGTAAATACACCGAAAAAATAGGTATATAAACGCATCTTGTCCGTCAGTATATTTACGGTATATGATGATAATGACAATGTATATTTTGGGGTATTAGGTTCAGGCGCGGTCACACTGCAAAAGACAAGAAGTTCGTAAAAAAAAAGTAAAATATTTAGTCGCTTTAAAAATGTTTGCGAGATCTCTTGTGCCGATCACTGTGTGCGCGGTCTTCCTGTCGCCCTTCCTGTCCGCCACCGTCCGTGCCGAGGAGGAGGCGGTCAAGAATGTCGAGAAGCAGTTTGCCGTGGAGCTGGACCCGGAAAAATTCAATCAGGCCCTCCAAGCCGGCAATGTGTTTGTCAAATTCTTTGCTCCGTGGTAAGTGGAACGCGAATTTTTCGAAAATACATGCATATATATGTATAGATGAATATTTGATCAACTGCGGGCTCTCATTCATGGCCAAAATAAAAGCCGGCGAATCAGCAGGGTCCACATATGTATGCCAAAAGCCACGCACACACATGAATGTCAATGCGCATAGGCATGCACGTACATACATATGTGTGTATGTTCTTGTCTGCCACTCTACACGTATCATAATTTTGGCTGACGCTGACCCACAGCTGGTCGATTCCGAATCCGTGGCCGAGGCCGAGGAGGGCCACTACTGCCAATCAGCACTTGGATTCGATTCGTCATAGGGCTGGGACTGGGACACGTTCCCAGATAAGGCGATCAAAGGGGCTTTGTTTCGGAAGAGAAGTCAAAAACCGCTCCTATCGTGCCCTGACCATTGATTGACAAATATTAAACACAATGCTTAAGTTTTGGCCCCACTCACTGGCCCTTATCAGTGTCATACATAGCCTCTTTCTGAGCTAATTTGATTAAATTTAATTATGTTGCTGGCCAGTGCTGTCTCGGATCAAAGATTAGGCATCGAGGAAGCAATGCTTCTGGGGCTGGGGCTGAGGGGGCATTAGCATTAGATGATAAACTCTTTGTATTGAACAAAGAAAGAACGCTCTTATCACGGTCCGCTTTTGTTTTGCAGGTGCGGCCATTGCAAGCGTCTGCATCCATTGTGGGAGCAGCTGGCGGAGATAATGAATGTCGAAGACCCGAAGGTGATCATTGCAAAGGTGGACTGCACCAAACACCAGGCCCTGTGTGCTGAACACGAGGTGACCGGCTATCCGACGCTGCGCCTTTTCAAGCTCGGCGATACGGAGTCGGTGAAGTTCAAGGGCACCCGCGACCTTCCCGCCATCACGGACTTCATAAATCACGAGCTGAGCTCCGAAGTGGAGCAGGCCGAGGAGACGCTGAAGGAGAACGGAGAAGGCGCCGTGCCCGTGGCCAATCAACATTTGGGCAAGGTGGTGGATCTCACCGAGGACACCTTTGCCAAGCACGTGTCCAGCGGCAATCACTTTGTCAAGTTCTTTGCCCCATGGTGCAGTCATTGTCAGGTACTGGGTCCTGAGTACGCCAAATGATTTGCCCCCCGTCTAATCCTCTCCCTTTCTCTCCCTGCTGCAGCGCCTGGCTCCCACCTGGGATGAGCTGGCAAAGGAGCTGAAGCAGTTTTCGGGCGTGACCGTTTCGAAGATCGACTGCACACAGTACCGCTCCGTCTGCCAGGACTTTGAGGTCAAGGGCTATCCCACGCTGCTCTGGATCGAGGATGGCAAGAAAATTGAGAAGTACTCGGGTGCCCGGGATCTGCCCACGCTGAAGACCTACGTTGAGAAAATGGTGGGTGTGCCCACGGACAAGAAGGAGGTCAGCGATACATCTGCCCAAGAGGCGGCCAAGGAGAAGGCGGATGAGGAGGCAGAGAAACTAAAACCGCAGCAACTGACTGGCGAGGGGGCGTTCACTCAGGCCGTGGCCGAGGGCACAGCCTTCATCAAGTTCTATGCACCCTGGTGCGGTCACTGCCAGAAGCTGCAGCCCACCTGGGAGCAGCTGGCCACGGAGACGCACAATGCCCAGCCGGGGGTTGTGATTGCCAAGGTGGACTGCACGGCGCCCGAGAATAAGCAGATCTGTATTGATGAGCAGGTCGAGGGCTATCCCACGCTCTTCCTCTACAAGAACGGTCAGCGGCAGGACGAGTACGAGGGCAGCCGCACACTGCCGGAGCTGAAGGCCTATCTCAAGAAGACCATCGGCCACGATGAGCTCTGAGGAAGCGCTAGCCACGTCAGCCTTCGCAATCTGATGAACAAAATCACCCTGGAAATATATGCCACCGCCAAAGTAATTGTAATGCTTTCTCTCTACGTTCGAGCCACTCCATCAGCAGCAGCAGAAGCAGCAGCAGCAGCCGCCTCTATGAGGATTGATGCCCCGCATTTAACCGACGACGACGCCACAGCCACACTTGAATGTTGAAGCTGAATAAAATAATATCATTTTAGTTCGTGATCGTGATTAAATTTGTGTCCTCTTTGACCCGCCTCAGCAATGTGGGAGCGAGCTCTTTTGTACCTAGTAATTAATTTGTTGGGATGTCTTGTGTTTCGATTTGTAATAAATAAATGTTCGTGGTCAAGCAGGCTACTATTAAGTGATTCTTAGGGAAAATGATCACCAGAATAAACAATCTTCAATTGAACATTTTTTAATTTTAAATGGATTGAGCTGTCAAGAAAATGCTCGATGAGTCCCTGACGATCCCCTGTATTGGTTTTAGTTCTTGCTTGATTGGAGAGCTCGTAAATCTCTGTGGCGGTGTGGCATTAACCATTTATGACTGGGCTGACTCATTCCAGAAAATGTGGAACGTGATGACGCCTGTCTGACGAGAATCCATACCAATATGGAAGGTTCTCCAGAGACTCAATGACAATTATTTTTATAATAAAAATAAAAAAAATAAGATAGGCCCAAATATTAAAAAAAAAAACAGAACCTATCTTCAAAAATAGCGTAGCTGTATTTTTGAACACACCTAGGACACGCTTTTTTTTCGACTTTTAATTTTTTTAAGCTCACAACTGTTATATGTGATCACTGTTTATATAAGTAAGAGACACTAAGAAATTATTCTCAGTTTATGATTAGAAGATTGGTTGTGCATACTCTTTTTTTTGTGCCGTTACTTTGTTGACCGTTATTCTTGTAATTTGTACTAATTGTTTGTGCGGGGGGGGTTTGTTTGTGATAGCAAGTGCGGGGAAAATAAATTATAATATTATAATTGACTGAAAACTTGTACTGAAATATATTTTAAAAGTTCTCAATGTACGATTTTGCCGTTGGATGGATGGTTCAGTTGTGAATTAGTGTTCGGGACCCATGTGAGCGCACAGAGAGAGCGCCTATAGAGCTAACTAAGTTACGTTTTATTCTGGTTCTTTGACATCGTAATAATTTTAATAAATCAAAATGAAACGAATTTGTTTTTATTCGCCTTCATAGATAGAAACATATTTTTTAATTTTTTTTATTTTTTATTTTTTGGAGAAGAAGTCTATGTAGAAACCATGTAATTGCATTTTAGAGATTTCTACTAAAATTGCATTGTTTTTTTGGTACATCTCTATGTAGTTGCCACGATGTAATGTAGCAGAAATGGCGCTTTGCAACAATTGTGATATTTTTTAATATTTAAGCGTGAACGTAAGCGCTTTAGACCCCAATATGATGGTATATGAATTCTGTAGAAAATTTGTCGGTTTTTGTTAATGAGTCCTATCGAAATCCAGGAAATAACATTTTAGATAATGAACCAAAAAGGAACGATTGCGGTGAACTGTTTACTTCGCTCGCTCCAGTGAATTGAGTGGTTCGATTTATGGTGGTTCGTTCATGAACGAGCCAGCACTAGTACAGAAAAACGTCCACACTAAGTCAAATTTGTTTTATTTGCTGCATCGGAAGAATTGACAATGTTTCTGGCTCGCACTGGTGAGATACTGTAAAGGATCAAATTACTAGAGCAGTTACTCAAATTGCTTGCGACTCGGAGCCAAGTGGACTTTGACAGATTCCAATGAACGCTAATGGGAATGGAGGCGCGGCCTCCTCAGGTGGCGCTGGCGCTGTGGATGGTGTAGGTGCACGCGGGGGTGGTGCAGGCGTGGGTGCAGCTGCAGCTGGTTGCGGCGCAGTTGCTGGTGGAGCTGGACCTTCTGGTGGGCCGGCAGCTGCCGGTGGCGAGGCTGCAGCCAACGCACCCAATGGCAACGCCAATGCCAATGCCAACGGCTCAAACACAGTCGGCGGTGCCAACGAGGACCAGGAAGCAAAGAGGCGCAAGTGCCTCGAGACGGAGGACACCCAGGATGGTGCAAGCACAGTGAGTATGACCAAAAACAGCCGATACCATGGATTGGCCCCTGGCCTAACCCCACAATTCTGACTTGCGCGCTTGCAGATGATCGATGCCAGCAGTGTGCTGAACAAGATCGCTCACCTCTACGCTGAGCAGCTGATGTCGGACATAGTGCTGCTGGTGGATGGCAAGGAGTACCCCGCCCACCGGGTCATACTCTGCGCCAGCAGCGACGTCTTTCAGGTGATGCTAATGAATCCCGAATGGAACGAGTGCAGCAAGCATGTCATCGAGCTGCACGAGGAGGCCTGCTGCTCGGCCGTCTTTCCGCAGTTCATCAAATATCTGTATGTGGGCCACATCGAGGTGACGCTGCAGACGGTCATGCCGATGCTGGCCCTCTCCGAAAAGTACAATGTGCGCGATCTGATCGATCTGTGTGTGGGCTACATGACGAAGCATGTGGCCAAGGCAGCCACCAGCGGCTATCTCGTCTCCTGGCTGCAGTACACACTCTCCTTCACGCCCACACATAATGATCTCACCGAGACGCTGAAGCGTTTCCTCAAATGGAACCTTGAGATGGTCGCCGAGTCCAAGGACTTTGTCGAAATGGATCCAGCCATTCTTGAGCTGCTGCTGCAGCAGAACGATATCGTCATCTCCAGCGAGTACAAACTGTTCACGATCCTGCAGACCTGGCTGCTGCATCGCCGCGAACAGATCGAGAGCACGCCCCACACCAGCCGCGAAAAGAAGGTCAACACCTTCATGGAGCTGATCGAGCAGACAGTCATGCACATTCGCTTCGGCATGATGACGCCGCGTCAGCTGTCGCATCTATTGATTGACCCACTCACCGAGTACCACAAGGAGTTCCTAGTCGAGCGAATTGCCATTGGGATGAGCTATCAGTCCGGACAGGAGGATCGGGTGCGACAAGTGCGGGCCAGCGAGTGCGGCGAGCTGCAGTTCACGCCCAGACTCTACTGGAACGACACTTGGAGTGTGGACATCAATGTGCCCAACTTTGACCGGATCGAGCGCTACGTCAACTATGTGACCTGCTTCTTTTCACAGCGCAGCATTGCGGAAACTGACGATGGTGAGTCGATGGAGGGGAGTCGAGTCGACTTTCATACATATGCATCCTTCGTCTTTCGTGCCCCACAGATCCTTGCATGACCTGGGAGATTGAGTTCTTTCCGCGAGGCGTCAAATACAATAGGGCCAAAATGGTTTGGGGCGAGGACGTGCCTGGCTGCTATTTGAATACGGTGCGCTTGCGAGTCACCTGCAAGAACCAGAACATTGACGAGGAGCGCTTTAAGGTACGTGTGCGCGGGCGAAGCACCCGATAGTTATGTACCCATTGTTAATCCTTATTGAATCCTACGCAGATCGCTGTGCTGATTGTGGGCGTGCAGAATCAGATAACGCACATTCGGACAATGGTGGAGCGCACCGAATACTTTTCGGAAACGTCGCGCGTCATCAATTTGGATAACCTGTTGCCGTACGAGGAGCTGGAGCTGGAATCAACGTCCTTGAGCCCCCATCTGAGTGGTAATCAGCGCAACACGCTCACCCTTCATGTGGTGATCACGCCAATGGGCACCCACACGTGCCGCGAAACGCCGCCATTTCAGTTCTAAACTACTCAGATCTGTACCCTCCATACGCCCGCAGCCCCCCAACCCCAGACCCTCCCATTGTGTGCACGTACCTACCTACGGTAGCCACGGTATTTCACTTTCCATTCTACATTTTATGTGTGTATTTACATATGTGTGTGTAGGGCAAGAACACGATCTCCCCTATCCTGCGCAAAGAATATAGAGTTGAGGGATATACCCCTGCCCTCCTCCGCCTTCTCCAAGAAAGTGTATTTAATATGTTATGAAGAATTTTTTTTGTTTTTTCTCTGTCTAAGTTAAACATAAACAAACAAACAAACAAAAGAGAAGACGAAGAAGAAGGTTATGTAGGCCGGGGCCATTATTTCAGTATCCGAACCCTAGCAATTAGTGTTAGAAAGAGACAAATCTGTAAAACTGTGCATCCAAGTGTGTGTTTACTGTACTGTACTGTACTGTACCGTACTGTAGTGTTTCGCACTATTCTGACTACTTCTGACTACTTTCAATCGTTGACTTGTATTGGAAAACCAAAACGTCTATTTGCCTTCCTTCTGCCACCTGCGTGTGTGTGTGTGTGTGTGTTGTTTCATGGCCATGGCCAAGAAGAGTGCCACAGCATAGAATAGAGCGATAGATAGAGATGGATAGTCCGCGCCTCCAGCAATCGCTGCTCGTGTTTGCAGATGCATAAAAGCATTGTCCCCCAGCCTCGAATAAGTTTTAATGCTGTTCAGTTGAAAAGATACAACCGACTCTGTACGCACGTACATACATATCTATGTACAATATGTTGATCCGTTTATGGCTGAAATTCATCCACCTGTCTGTCTGTCTGTCGTATCTTTATTGGCCAGGGGGTCTGGGCGAATGACTGGGCACTATCCGCCCAAAGTGCTTTGGCATAACTGTAAGACGATATGTGTACGCTGGGCAGGACGATATCACGGACAGGACAGGACATCGAAATACTAGTTATGGCTTGGAGTTGGCTGTTTGAAAGATTTAGCTATCATCGAATGACTACTAATTGCATCCACTTACTGAATTGTGTCTGGTTATCCTATCAAATATCCATGGTAAACAAATCAGATCAACTGTTGATTTGTGTCCGGTCTGAAATAAGCAAATGTATCGACTAATTTTAGCTCTAAATGTAATAAATCATCGAGCCAATCGACTAATATTGGCCATACATAAAATATGTACTTTGTTATTCGAATTTACCCATTTGAATACTGATTTTATTTTTATTACAAGCTCTTCTCGATGCATCTATAAGGACCAGCCATGTCCCTTGTATTTTGGGAAAAGTATAGCTCGTAATATTTATAATGTAAAGCCCAAAAGAATCCATTTTTCGATGTAAATTTAATCTTTTAAAGGGAGAGAGAGAAAGAGCAAATTCTTGGCTTTAAGTAGATACGCTATGTAGATTTATTATTGCTTTTAGTACTCTGCCAAAGGGCAGTCTTACAGTTGCGGAGCGCACTGTGCACGTGTGTGTGGCTCCAACGATTCTGCTCTGGCTTCTAGTTGTAATTTCTGGAAGGAATGGCGTCCCAGTCCATCCATCACAGTGGTGTAAATATGAGACCGCAACGATCGTTACGATGTGCGCTAGTTCTATCTGCTGTGCTGTCTTTGCTTATCCAACCGAAGAACTTATACACCCCTCCGATGATACTGAATTTTGCAGATTACGATTACGTAGCACATTGCAGGTTATTTAAGATTTACGGCCTCTTTTGTTTTGTTTTTGGTTTTGTTCGTCTCTGCTTTATGAGTGTGTACAAGAAATGGTTGGAATATAGACGTGAGCCAGCGAGACACCAGGAGACCGAGCCAACTTTACAGATCGCAATTTCAATCGGACTTTGTGACTCTCCGGGCGGTGGGGCACGGGCACGGGCACGTACGGAGGCAGCGGGCAGCGACAGCTTAGATACCCGGACATGCTCACACTTCAATAGCCCCAAAAGTCGTGTTGCGTACGTCAGTTGTGAGCAGACAGAGCGGTCTGTCGGTCACATATTTGAGCTATCCTTAGCATTCAGCTCTGCAACCAGGAAGCCAGCGGAGTCTCTGTGGCGCTATGGATAATCCTGCCTATGTAATCGATTGCGAGCGCGAGTTCGGTGAGTGCCTCCCCCCCCATGGAACCCATGGAACAAAGTGGATTTCTATGAAAAAGTGTCAACATTGTGGGCAAAGAGTTGCGGTGTGCAGATCCATGTAGCAGGATTCAATGGTGAAATGGTGACAGATCCTTTATGGCAGAGCAATCAAAGAAATATTTGTGAAAGATTTCTTCGAGAAAGATCTCTAAAAAAGAAAGATAAAATTATTAGGTTTTGTTTTTTTTGTTTGTTTATTTTTTTTTGGGTTCAACAAATTGTGAAATAACTACCCCAACAATTTTGTGATATTTCTTGGTGAAAAGATATATATACATATATATACAGCTGTGAAAAAAATAATAGCACCACCACCACAAGCAATTTTTAAATAATTGCTAAACTCACATTTTTAGCTTTAAGGAAATTTTAAGCACATTTTTAGAAATGGGAGACTCTAACAAACCTGAGAATACAAAAAATTTTAATTAAAAAAAATCGCAAGAGTAAGCGCATTTTTTTTTTATCAAGAAAAAAATGTATTGTAGTGTGCTATTATTTTTTTCGCAACTGTATTTGAAATGATAGAGTACCAGTAAAATTCGAAACTATTTACCTTTGGATTGCTATGCTTTATTATTGCCAAAATGACTTTGTATTGTATTTGTTTTTTGTTTGGTATACATATATAAGATACATATATGCGGTATATAAGATATACATATATAGTATGTATGTATGTATGTATGCGGGTATATGCCGCAGTTTTCAGTTACAGATTCAATTCTATATCGTATGCATATCGTTTGTAATTAGTTTATTGCTCGTGAGAGTTCAATTCTCGTGTCTTTGGATGCGGATGCAGTTCATCGTTCATATTATTTTTAGTTTTTTTTTTTTTTTTAGTGCTGAGTGTGTTGTCATTATGGGTATTATATGAATAGAACGGTCACGTCCGAAATCGGTTATGTGTATATATAGTATGTATGTGGTATATAGCTTGTGTGTTTGGGGTATGCAAATATGTCTTAGAGCTGGGAGTGGGGTCACGTTAAGACACCCCCGTGCCTTATCTTCTGTTCTGTATTCTGTTCTATATCTGTATTTTCAAGCCGGAACGACTATACGTATTCCTAGAATGTATTTGTATATATGTATGGGTGCATGTTCTATATGCATACGAGTATAACCGATCTCAATCGATCCTAGGGGGGGTGGTGGGTGGTGCCAAAGCAGAACCCGCTTCGCGTGAGGTGAGATTTGAGGTGCTTCTTTTTTCTCATTTTAACATGATATTTTTTGCCACTGTATCTTTATGTTTTGGTAGGGTAGGGTTTAGTATTTTCTGGGTACTACTACTCTCTCTCTCTCGCTCTATCTATCTCTCTCTAAAGTTAGCTATTTATTGTAGTTGGAGTAGCATTCGCTAGCTGCCTGGAAGCAGTGTCCTAGGTGGGGTGAGTTTTGCTGGTGAGCCTTGAGCCTTGAGCTGGAGCTATAGCTATAGCTGGCCGCTGCTGGTGAGATCTTTGTGATATATGTATATATCGATCGACTACTGAAGTGGGTCCCGTATAATGCGCGTGTCCGTATGGTCTCTCGCTGAATGTGTGAGTGTGTGTGTGTGTGTGTGTGTGTGTGTGTGTGTGTGTGTGTGTGTGTGTGCGGTTCAAGTGTGGGGTACATCAACTAACATTCGTAACTAGTATTGTTTCAACTATCTGCTTGAAGTACGTAACATTATTCATTATAATATTCTCTATATCCTCTATATAGTATTTTGCCTGGATCATCTTTATATGTATGTATATATCTCTTGTATATATGTATGTGTGTGTATGCATGTAGTACCGATCATCTATCTGAAGTTGTGATCCTCTTCTCTAAGTTATGTAGTTCTCTAGTTTGGAACAATCATTGGCCAACTATTCAGATATACATATACATATATGTATGTATATATGTATATATAGTGTATTCGTCTTTCCTCTATATGTATGTATTTGTAAGTACAAAAATGGAGTAAAACCAGGAAGTTGATGTGGTCTGAGCGGCGCCGCTTACTTCTCAAAGATCAGCTCGCCGGTGAGGAACGGATTGAGGTAGGTCTGGGAGTCGTAGCCAGAAACAGAGGCGGTGGTGGTCCGCTTGCGTGCCTGCGCCCCACCTCGACGCTCGCCATGCGCATGGTTGTGGGCATGGTGCGAGGGCCGCTTCTCCTCGCTGGGACTGAGGATCAATGGTATCGGCATCGAGGTGTACAGCTGCAGCTGTGGCTGCTGCACTATGGTGCCGGCCGCCGGATTTAGCGGCGTGTCCATGTAGCCATGGGGCACTGGTGCCGCAGCCGTGGCAGCCAGCTGCTCGCCCGTAGACGTGGTGCTGCTTGACATGGAACCGCCACCCATGCCTGAGCTGGAGGTCAGCTTCTTCGAGCCGCCGGCACGCGCCCGATGGTGCTTGTAGTGGCCGCGATGTGTCTTGCGCTTTATGTGCCCCATGCCGGTGCTGTCCGCCGGCGGCGAGGTGTCCAGCAGCATGGGCAGATGATGGCCAGTGGTGGCACCCTTAACCATATCCTCCATGTTGGATGGCTGCGAGGCGGGTGGCTCCATGCGGAAGGGTCCAAGGTCGCTGCCGCTGACGCTGCCACTGCCACTGTTGCTGCTGCTGCTGCTGTTGTTAGCCGAGGGGACGAAAAGGGGCTTCTTGAGCGGCTCCCGGGGATGGGGATGCGGATGGGCCTGAATGATGGTGGCCGTGGCAAAGATCTCCTGGAAGCGGTTGTTCGCCTCCAGCTGCTGCAGCTGAAGGTGCTGTTTCTGCAGGAACTGCTGGCGCTGCTGCTGCAGTTGGTTATGGATGCGATACTGTTCGAGGATGTGCTTGTAGAACTGCTCCGCGGTGACTTCCGATGAGTTAAGTAGGCGAATGGCTATTTTCTCGGGTATCACAATTTTATCTGCAAGAAATCCAAACCAACAACAATTAACACTGTTTTTCTCTGTGATTAAAAAAATAATCATAATTAACCCAATGTATGTACATACATATGTATGTATACAGTTTAGAGTATGTATAGCTCGATAGCTGTTCCTTTCCAGCATTTACTGCTGTTTGCCAAATGAATTAGGCAGTCATAAAGATACATTTCTTATAGCCCTATTTCCTTTACTGATCCATAAATATTCACAGATAAAAGAGTTCTGATTTACCCTGGCGTACTTAAAGAACTCAAACGAATGGTGTAACCATTTCCGTTTTCTTACCGCTTTAATCAAATATCAAATAATCAAATAATCAAATATCATTTGCGTAATTTTATATTTCTGTTTGCCTAAAGGTTTGTTTTGTCCAGCCAAGAGTTAGAGTAGAGTTTCCAAGGCATATGTTCTCTGTGTTTGGAGCTGGTCAAGAAGTTTTATTTATTTATTTTTGAATGGAAGGCAACTTGAAGTTTCCCCCTGTGGATAATTGAATGCTCCATGAGTTGAATTTCCCTCTCCCCTTTGCTGTTTGGCTATTAATATCATCTCCCCCCTTAACCATATTGATAGGGACGCAATCAGGAAATAAGATAGTTGTTTGCGTTGCTTGCAAGCGAACATGAGACAGTTGCTGGTTGGGCTGCCAGAGTAGGTCATACATACACATACGAGTGCATACATACACAGCATACACATACATATGCACATGCTCGTGTGTCGGGCAGGTCAAGAAATTTACTTTGGTTTTGTTTTGAGTATACGAGTGTATTGAAGTTTCCCTTTGGGGCCATGCCCGCCTGGCTTTTCCTCTGCAAATTGAATTTAGCCCTCATATAATTTGGCACCCTCATTGCCTGAGATTCTCTGTGTTAATTGCTCCGAATTAGATTTATTGAACTGCAAGCTGCAGAAATGAAAATGCATACACAGACAGTGGAAAACTGCACCCTTTTGTGTGTGGCTGGTGGGTGGGTGATGGGGGGGGGGGGGGCTTTGGGATGTGCTCGTGTGCATGACACCCCATTGACCTAATTTCGAGTTGATTTACAAAAACTGAACTAAAACCGAAGGAGCAGCAGAGGACGAGAGAGAGAGCGAGAGAGAGGGAGAGCGAGGCGGTAAAATGTGTGCAACTTTCACGCCCTTCCGTTTCGGGCATTGAGAACCATCCAACCCCATCGATAATGGTCTTTCCCTCCCTTCCCCCACCCTTGCATCCTTACTGCCAGCGGTCCGGATTTGGGCCATATCACAGTTCGATTTAAGCCACAATGTCTGGGCAATTGACCAGCAGATTGACCACAACGCAAATTGGCATACTCGGTGTATCTCGAATGGGTTAATAAGGATGGGCTATGTTAGGATTGGATTTGGGGCTTGGGGTTTGGGTTGCGTTGCCTTGATTGGATTTGCCAACTGATCCGATCTGATCCCATGTTCGTCTTACCGCAGTGATTGGCCTTGGTGACAAACGGCCGGATGGTCGGATCCCATATGAATATATAGTAGAGCGAGAGCATGATGGCCGCCAGCGAGACGCATAGCACATAAACGGCGACGGTCAGGATGCGTATGACCTTACGGTTGCTCTGCTGCGGCTGATAGCAGCGACTTATTGTCTCTGTGGGCGGCAATTTCACTTTCTCCTCCAGCGAGTTCACTTTCGAGTTCATTTTGATTGATGTTTTTGATTCCGTTTGGTGTTCCGTTTGATTCGACTGCTGTTCAATGCTGTTTGTCCCTTTGCACTATTATTTTTGTTTCCGTTTTGTCTGTCTCTCTGATATGTTTCAGCCCTTTTATGTTAATTTTGTTTTGGTTTTCGGTTTTACGTTTTAAGTTTTCGGCTTTCAGTTTTCGGTTTCCTGTGTTGGCAGTGACCGTTAGTCTAACTGTTGTTGTTTTAAATGCAATATTCTTGTTGACGTTTCGCTTGTTCTTGCTGTTGTTCTTCCTATGTGATGGGGGATAGCGGGACGCGTCGCGGCAAGAGTAGAAAAAGAAATATGTGTGTTTCAGTGGGGCGCCCAAGAGCGGCAGCGCGCAAAAAACTGTATTCGAACCGACGCGTCGAGCGTATGCAAGTGAAATGACGACGACGACGTCGCCAAAAAGCACCAAGCGGCAGAGGAGCAGCAGCAGCAGAGACCGACCCACAGCACAGCACAGCAGCCAGCCAGCCAGCCTGCCTGCCAGTGCCAGGAGCTTCGTGTTCGTGCTATTTCTCTCTCTCTCTCTCGCTCTCTCTCTGGCCTTCGTGTCATCATGGCCTTGCCTTCAGCTTCGGCATCGGACTTGAGCTGTGTTTTTGTTGTTTGTTGTTGTTGTTGTTGTTGTTGTTGCTCGTTTGGCTTCATTTGCGATCCTCGGTCGCCCTCGCATTTAATTTCATTCATAAAATGCCTGTTTGCGCCTGCCTTTACGGCGCTCTCTCCTCCTCCACCACCCTCTTCGACAGTGCCAGCCGCTTCTCATTTGCATTTGCATTTTCGTGCGAATACAAGATGCTGCTCTGCTCTGTTGCTCTGCTCTGTTGCTTTGTTGCTTTGTTGCTCTGTAGCTTTAGCTTTAGCGGCGTAGGAGTCAGTCTCCTCTCCGCTCTCTCTCCCTGGTTTTTGTTGCAGGCGCTCGCCGCTGGCAGCTGGAATTCCACAAACAAAACCGCATCCATTGTGGGGGCACGTCGGCACGTCTCTCCCTCGCTTGCTGCTGCTGCTGCTGCGTTGCTTTGTGTGTCAAGTGCGGTACCCCCGCATGACTCAGCGCTTGCGGAAATGAAATTGCGCGGCTGGCTGGATGGCATTTCTTCAATCAATCATTGGACCAGTGGGCCCGTCTGTCAGTCAGTCAATCAGGCGTGGAATATTTACAATTTGTAGGCGCAATCATAGCCCATCCTGCTGCAGTGGCGGTGGGTGGGGTGTGGGGTGCGTAGCACTGACAGTGGCTGGCAACCTTCGCAGGTGCTTCGAAGGACGCCTGCCGCAACGGCTCTGCCGAGGTTTTTTCTTTTTCTTTCTTTTTTGCTGCGCTTGCCTCGCCTCGCCAAAAACTTTCGCTTCAGCTGCCCCTCCCCCTGGCACACCTTCGTTTTCGTTGCCTTGCGCGCTCGGTTCGGCTCTGCGCTAGGCTTTGGGCCGAGTGGGGTGAACGAACTGCAACTGGGTCACTAGGACAGCGTTCGGCACCGACTGCAGTCGCCCAGCCAGCATAGCAGAGCAGAGCAGAGCAGTGAGAATCGAGCGAGCGAGCGCAGGCACGAGAACGAGAACAGTGGCGTGGAGACGAGTGACGGGTGGCAGGGGGTGGTACACGGACACGGACACCGACAGCGACACGGACACCAAGCGATTGCAATGTTGGCCATTGATTTTGTTGTATAAGCTGCGCTACACTCGCACACACACATATACATACAGCTGTGGTCAAGTGAATAGGTACACCTTCATGGGGCTTGGAGCTCAGCTTAAATATTTTAAATAAAAACAAAACTAAGAGAGAATGACTTATTGTAAATTGGATGAGAAATTGCGACTCAGAGTCAAGTACGGGCCACGTCAATGCGCTAGTTCAGGCGGTGGCACGCAGACACTCACATGCCAGCCTCTGCTCTAGTTATACGTATTGTCGTACCTATTGTTGTGACCATAAGTGTCTAGGTGTACATACATAGGTATTTGTCAAGTTGGCCAAGATGTAGGCCACACTCACACAGTCACACTGGCACACTGGGACACACACACACATGCATCCATTCACATTTTGCATTTGTTGCACAGTTGCAGTTGCCCTCAAGGAGTTTTGCTCCTTGTCGTTGGCCAGGTGGTGGAACCTTTCATGCTGGCCTCGAAAATGATGGGCGGCCCAAGCTTACAATACACCCACCCTACAGCACCTGCCCCCACCTGCCACCTGCCACCTGCCACTTTGCACGTTGCACCCTTGGAGCCACCACTAAGGAGCCAACAATTTGGTTTATCTTTCTGCTTACTTATGTATGTACCGACAAAGCTGATTAAGCTGCGAGACACGAGTCCAGGAGGTACTACTCCCAAGGGAGCACACCCACTCCCAACACCACAGATGAGAGTACTGAGAGGGAGAGGGAGAGAGAGTTTTAGGAGAGCTCTCTGGCAGGAAGGTAACTTAATAGACATGCTACATATATATGTACATGGTGGAGTCCTTTCAATCGAAGCTTGAAGTTTTAATTCCAAAGGAACTTTAACAGGGAGCTCATTCAAATAATTAGAAATATCTTGAGCAGTTAAGGTTCCAAAATTCCATCTGCATTCTGTATTTAAGCTGAATTCAAGGCAAAAACACACTTAAATCTACAAGAAAAACGAGCGGTAACGTTGTGGCCCAGGGCAAATGCCGCGCCTCTACTTTTATGCCTGGTACGCAGTAAACACATGATTTATGTGGCCTAAACAATATATTTGTTGTATATATATACACTTTATCGGGTACAAGACTAATATATTGCTAATCTCTTCAAATATCGGGTATAATTGAGTTGTTTCTGGCAGGTGTTTTTTTTGATTTGTACTGTTCATAGTTCATATGTCTTTTAAGCAGATTAACAGAAGGAATTTCTTCCTTAACGAACCACCTCCGATATTCATTGACTGAATTGGATTGCATCTTTCCGACCTCCCTGACGGAGTCGTCTATTTTTTCTGTTGTTCACATGTTTCGGCTGTACGGTTGGGGCTTACCAAAAATTAAGTTTCTCTTCAGAATGGACATGGACGGACGTGAACTAAGATATCCAAATCGATGGGGCGGGTCGTCGCTAGCCAAAGGCGGGCTTCTTCTGCCCCTTGAAGACGGGCGGCATGCGCGAGTCCCAAAAGAAGATGTGATAGATGGACAGAAAGAAGCCCAGGCAGCACAGTCCGCACAGATAGATGACAATGACAAAGTAGCGGGCAAAGCGCTCCATGCAGGTGGGCTTCGCAAACACAATCTCCTCCAGCTGCGGCGACTTGGGCACGTACGAACAGGTGCTCCTACGGGGCGCACTGCTGCTGGCCAGGCGAACGCTGCTGCTGCTGCCGCTGCTGGCGGCGCCTTTGGAGGCCTCAAGCTGCTGCTGCTCCTCGTCGCGGTCATCTGCCCGCACATTCGACTCGATAATGTTCACAATCTTTGCCAGATTGGCAACGCTGGTGCCGGTTCGCAGTCCAATTGGTGCTCCAATTGAAGTGGCGCCACTGGACGCAGACACGGACATTGTGGACATGACGGACTGTGGCCCGGTTCGCCGTGCGGCGCTTCTATTACTGATTTGATGTCTCCGGCGATTAAATCAAAATCGGCACGCGGCTGGCATAAAGCCGGACTATCTATTCTATCCACGCCCCCATCCCCCCTCGCCACCATCCCATGGGGCTTCCAACTCTGCGATTTACGGGGGCAACGTAGCAAAGCGGATTAATTTTGTGCGTGGCTGTCAACTATTTGATATCGGATCCCGTCACTAATTAAGCCCTCCCAAGGGTTCTTCCCCCACACACACACTGAGTCGACTTTGGAGACTCACCCAATCTGGTCACTGATGATGATGATGATGATGATGATGATGTTGGCAGTCTAGGAGGGAGGCAGTGCGGCTGGCCCTCCTAGCCAATGGGATGCGTATGCTTGAACACGGGCAGCGGCGGCATGCGCGAATCCCAGATGAACAGATAGTAGACGGCCAGGGTTAGGCCCATGCCACTGACCCCGCCCATATAGAGGATCAGTGTGAGCAACCGGAATGCCTTCGACTCGAAGAAATCATCGGATTTGGGCACCTGAATCTCCTCGTCACTGCCCGCCTCCTTGACAACGGCGGCCAGGCTGGACATCATCGATGGTGCAGACATGACGGTTACTGGAAGCGCGCGCGTTCGAACCGATAACCGAAACCACGCAAGAAGCTCTGATGGCGGCGTACTGAACACAATTGGCCCCGACTGACTGCTCGAGCTGCACTCGTGGGGGTGGTTTGTGGGGGGGGGGTGCGCTTTCCGCTCGGTTGTTTTGCGGTTTCTTTAGGCAGTTCGGTGGGCCAGCGTCTTGGCTGTTGGCCCTACATGCTAATAAGATTCGTCCCACCACACATCCCACCCCCCATTCCCCCACTCGTTGGCAGCCACTTGACCTGGTTTGATTTAACATCAGCGTCATGACTAGACCAGACCCATCCATCAAGTTCAGTTTTGGTGCAGCGCTCTAGCAACATTTTACTGGGATCCCAAATAACCTCCAGCTGCCAGAGCTCGGAGAGAACTTTTAAGCTAAGCACAAAAATATATTCAATGAAACTCTGCTGCTGGCCAAAATCCAATGTAAACTGAGGGGCACTGCTGCATTACCCAGGGTAATTGACTGGTCGAGTCCGTTGACTTTGCCTGTGTCTGTGCCTTTTGGCAAATCCAATTAGCTGGGGCCCATGCCAAACCCCTCCCCCTCCCCTCCCCATGCCGACTCAGACTCACCTGTGTGCGGGGCGGGGGCGGGGGCGGCAGCTCATTGGTACTCGTGCACCTTCTGCACTGGATGGCCGCCAATGGAGACGGGAAACTTGAGGTGGATGTCCGGCATGCTGGAGTCAAAGAACATGAGATAGTAGAGGGCCAGGACCATGCCCAGGCCGCTGATGCCGCCCAAATACAGAAAGATGGAGATCAGGCGAAAGGTCTTTGACTCGAAGAAGGCCGCCGCCGCTGACTGTTCTTCCTTGGGCAGGCGCACATTGTCGTCCTCTGGCGTCGTCGTGTCCTTGTCCTTGTCCTGGTCCTTCGGTTGCGGCGAGTCTTTCCCGGCCATCGTTTCTATTCAACTGAGCCACGGCTGCAGCAGCTGCAGAATCTTTATTGCGATTTGCAGCTACATTTTCAGACAATTATGCAAATCAGTTTCGGGAATTGACACCAAAAAGCTGACTGATGATTGACTGATCCCCGGAATAACCATACCCCCGCTTGTATTTTGCAGCCATTGGAGGCGATGGCCTGGAGAAGCCGCAGCCGCCCAAGCCGCACAGCTTCGAGGCGGCCATCACATTGACGGGAGTCGGACGCTTCCACTACAAGCTGCTGCTCATCTGTGGGCTCTGCTTCATGGCCGTAATGGTGGAGATCATGGGCGTCAGTCTGATCATGAATCCCATGAAGTGCGACCTCCAGCCGACGATCGATCAGCAGGGCATCCTGGCCTCGGCTGGTTTTCTGGGCGTTGTGCTCAGCTCCCATGCCATGGGCTTCCTGGCAGACACATGGGGCCGCGTGACCACGTTGCGGTATGCGCTCTTTTTTGCCGCCGCCTGTTCGATTGTCTCCGGCTTTTCGGTGAACATTTGGATGCTGATCGTGTTCCGTTTCCTCACGGGCTTCTTCATCTCCGGCGGTCAGGCGTGCGTCTTCAGTTTGTGCGGCGAGTTCCATGGCAACGGCTCGAGGGTGAGGCATGTAACACTGCTCTCGGGCTTCCTCTGTTTGTCCATGATCTTTGCTCCAGGTGGGTACAACATTTGCACTGCTCTCTGCTTGGGCATCTCATCGCTCTCATCGCTCTCATCGCTCTCTGTCTCCCTTCTTAGCCATGGCCATTGCCATTCTTCCTGTACGCATCGAAACCATTGTCCTGGGCCTGCGCTTCTCCTCGTGGCGCGTGCTGCTGATCGCCAACGTATCCATCTCGTTGCTCGCTCTCGTCGGCCTCTCCATGCTGCCCGAGACGCCCAAATATATGCTGGTGCAGGGCCACAGCGAGGCAGCCCTGGAGACACTGAAAACCATTTACAGCCAGAACAGTGGCAGGCCCAGCTCCGAGTATCCAGTGCGGGCGATTTCACTGGAGAGTGGCGGTGCCAGTCTGTCGGATGTGCACGGATTTTGCGACGCCGTGCGACTCGTATGGCGGCAGACAGTGCCGCTCTTCTATCGCTCCCGGCTGTTGCACACACTGAACATCTGTACGATTCAGTTCCTCGTCTACTGCATGGCCCAGGGCATCTTCATGTGGTTCCCCACCATACTCGATGAGCTGGGCGCACGCGGCGGACAAGCAACGCTCCTCTGCCAGGTGCTGGAGGAGTTTGATAACACCGGCAACAGTGGCCCGGAGGCGTGTGCCATGGATGTCGATACGAACACCTACCAGGTGATGATCATCATTGGAGCAGCGTTCACAGTGATCTATTTGGTGTTTGCCTATATCATTGATTACACCGGAAAGAAGAATCTCTTAAGTGAGTATCAGAGCAGTCAGAGCAGTGTCCTGCCAGAAGGATATATCTCTCTTTGTCCACTTTCAGTGGGCTGGATGGCTCTGACAATGATCTGCCTGGTGGGTCTGCACTATGTGGAACAATTTGCTCTGGTGGTCATCGGCCTGACCGTCGTCATGGCCATTGGCAATTGCGGCGGTCTGGTTAGCACCATTGCCATGGAGTTCTATCCCACGCACATCAACGCCATGGGCATGTGCTTCATCATGATGATGGGTCGCCTCGGTGCGGTGGTCGGCAGCAATCTGTTGGGTCGTCTGCTCTTCGCCAGCTGCGACACGGTGTTCTGGGGGCTGCTCGGTCTGGTCATCTTACTCTGCAGCTTGGGCTATTTCCTGCCCGAGAAGTCGCGTACCAAGAGTGTAACAGCGACAGCGACAACGACAACGACGCCCTCGGCGACGGCAACGGCAACGGCAATTGTGACGGCCACAACGACACCGATCTTGGCAATTAGCTCTAAGTAGGATTAGTTTATACCCATTAAGAGGAACAGTAAAGGAAAAGCAAGACAGAAACCAGCTGACACCCCAATGGGGCAAAGAAACGAGTCTGTGGGTATAGGGGGAATCATGATCGGGATGGGGATTGGGTTTGGTTCTGGGATTGGGAAACGGGAACGGGAGCAGGCCACATTGGAAATGGATTAGGTAAATGTTTGTGCTCATTCCTGGCTCTCTGCCTCATCTGCCGCATCTGCGTTGTTGTTCTTGTCACCAAGGCAGGCGGCGGCATTAACATTCCCAAGCATTTGCCACAAGCGGACAGATCGGACCAAGGTGGGGCGGGGTCTGTGTGGAGGGGTGAACTAAACGCATTCCAAGTGCCGTCGTCGCATCACCACCAACTTTAACGTCAGCTGCTACTCCGGGTTGCTCAGTGCGTCGAGTGGCATGACACAATGCGTGAAGCTGTTTGTCACTGTCCTCAGCCGATATAAGAGTTATGCTGGCATCTGCTTGGCTCCCCAGCAGACAACAAAATGGGCCATTAATTTTCATAGTTAGCAGAAAAAAAAAATTAAATTAAATTAAAAAAGAGAAGGAACGTTGTGAGTCGCTTCTGTTGCCGTGACTCTACCCTTATACCTGTACTTAGTCAGTATGTACTGGAGCTTATGATTTATTTGAAATTTTAAAATATTTATCAAGTTACATTAAATTATTATTAAATCTCCGCTACACGGTATCTATGGATCGGTTCGCCACTTGTTGTTGTTGGCTGTCTGTGGCTGTTTTTGTGCGTATTTATTCAGCAAAACGGTATTTGCTCCGCCGGCTGGTCACAGTCTGAGGCGGCGCGGCGGCACCTCTGACCACCAATCCAAGCAGGTAACCAGGCAGCCAAGCTACTTCACTTCACTTCACTCCACTCAGCAAGCAGCCAAGCAACAAACCGTTGCCAATCATAACACACACGTTGCATGAGCTAGAGCCACAGCCAACGCCAACGGCTTTTATGCCACAGCCAGATAGATGCACAGATCCAAAGATTCACAGATACACAGACACTGACAGTGGCAATGCCATTGCGGATTCCGATGGCAGTTTGTGATTCCCTCTGCCACAATCGGGGCCCAAGAAGCGTCGCTGGATCGTTGGCCATTGATTGCCTAACTGCGCATTTCTCGACTTATATGGCATTGGCCAGAAAACCACATAACAACTGCCAGTCCCAGTCCCAGTCTGAGTCTTAGTCTGAGTGTCAGTCTCTGTCTCAGTGGCAGTGCGACGAGTCCCAATCCCATTCCCCAGTTCCCAGTTCCAATGCCAGTTACATTAGCCAACGGCATTGCCATTGCCATCGTGAAAGCATCTGCGCCATCTGTGGGGGCTGCAAGTGATGCAAGTCGATTGTGAATCCAGTACACAACCCACATCAACTTGCCTTCAACTGGCCGGCGCCCAACCTTCCACCCCAACTTGACGCAAAGCTGCTGGGGTCACCAATTCCGATAAAAATACAAATTAAGCTGCGCCAAGCGAGGCACCTAGATATCCTTCACAATCCACATTAAGTGTGCTACCATCCACAGTCGATGAAACCACAGACGTGTATCATCTTAGCAATTCTTTCCTCTCAGATACCAATTTTTCGGGGTCACCAGGCCTTATTAATATAAAATAAATGAGTGGCTAAGCTAGTGGACAATCTTACACTGACTCTCAGATAGCTTTTCCACCTAAAAGTTACCAAATTATATTTTAAATATATCACGAAGAAAAGGTTTTTCCCTTTCCCCTTTTGCGTGAGTTGTGTTGGGGTCACAAAAATGCCAATTGCAGGTGACAAAATGAGACGCAAAGCCAGCCACAAATGGCCTGACTCGACTGCCATCAATCTTGTCAGGGGGGGTGCCGTGTAAAGACGGAACGGGCCCCACTAACCCCATAATGGACACAAATTAGCATCGGCATTAGCTTGCTGGCGGAGGCGGCGGAGGTGGCGGCGACAACAATGGCGATGTCTGGGCACACTCAGCTTCATTTGCTTCTGGGTCACGACGCACCGCTGGCGAGGGCCTCGATTCTAGCGAGTCACAGGTGGCACAAGTCAATTGCGTGGAGTTGCGAGGGGGAAAGATGGGGGCTGTGGGATGCCATGCCGACAACGACAACGCCGTAAAATAAAATCAGAGATAAATGTCGCGTACAGCCAAATGGAGCAGCATCTTGAGAGCTTATCGAGCCAAATGGCAAAAATAGTTAAATAGTCGACTTAGCCAAATGGGCATTCGGCGGCGACAGAGGACGCGGCGACGCAGAAGAGGAGGCAAATGGCAATGCCAATAAGAACTACCTGCAGTAGCAGCAGCGACAGAAGCAGCAGCATCAGTAGCGACAGCAGCAGAGCAGTCGTGAAGCAGAGGCAAGTGCGTTGAGGAATTACAACGATGACAGCAATAGAAGCAATGACAGTGATGGAGGGCGGGCGGAGTGGTGGTGTAGAGGCAAAGTGTGCCAATGCCTGTCATAGAAACAGGCAATGGCGATAGTTTACCCGCCAAGTGGGAAGAAAGAAATGAGAGAACAACTGCGACTGCGACAGCGACAGCGATGGCGACGTCCGACGGCCAAGGCAGAGAGAGAGAGAGGCAGAGACGGCGCTGCTGCTGCTTGATGATGTCAAATTCAAAAGTGGACTGCGCATGCGTGGAATGGGAATGAGAACAGAGCTTGTGCGGCGAAGAGCGACGGGGAGTGTGTAAGAGAGGAGAGTGCGAAGACTGATGCTTCGTGTGGAGTTTGGTGAGGGGGGTGGGTGGTATTAGTAGTGGATTTGAAAGAGAAGAGCGCGACGTGGAGTGCTATTCTAAGAGAAGATCGTTACGAAGGACTAGAGCTGACAGGGAGGAGCACATTGTCCCAGTCATGGCGCATCAACAGCAACTACTTTGCTGCAGTGCCACATAAATATACCATTGAAACAACTGCTGGACATTTTAATACCGATTAAGAATGCTGAGAGAACGCTATTTTGATACACCTTGTCCATGTTGAGGCTAATCAAGCGAACGAACGATCAGGACAACAACGACGACGCCAACGCCCGCCAACAAACGATATTTAATCACAATCGCAATGGCTCCAGCCCAGCAGAAGCAGCAGTTTGGTCTGGCTGCAGCAGCACCTGTTGCTGCAAACGCTGCTGGTGCTGCTGCTGCTGCTGCTGCTGCTGCAGCGGTACAGAATCCAAAGGAATGCAACAAGAAATTAAGACTGGCTGTTGGCTGTGGCGTGTGGAGTACGCCGCGACGGCCAATCAATTCTCAGAAATGAAAACCCCGTCTTCGGTCTGTATTACCGTTGCTGTTGTTCTTTTTTTCTTCTCCTTCTTCTTTTGCTGCAGAAGCATCATCATCATCAGCAGCAGCAGCATCAGCAGCAGCAGCAAGCGGGCAGCGACAGAGAAAGAATGCGAAGAAATGCAAAATGCAAACACCACGAACCACAACCACTTTCCAAATGCTTTCATGATGTTTACCGTTTAAATGTGCCCAGTTTCAGTGAGAGAGTGTGTGTGTGTGTGTGTGTGTTTGCAAAAGAGAGTCTCAACTTGGAGGATAGAGTAAGTCAGAGAGAGAGAGAGAGAGAGAGAGAGCTGCAGCAGCAGCAGCCTCTCTAACAGCAAATGAGGAGAAAAGCACAAGGCAAGAACAACACCAGCATAAAAACCGTTGCACATCAGTCATGTGTGCGTGTGTAACAGAGAGAGAGAGAGAGAATAGGCAGCCGTTTCCCGTCAGAGATGGTGGAGAGGTGGGCGACAACAGGTATGCAAAGTGCGGAAACGGAAATTTTGGCTTATTCTTTAAATCAATTTGATCGCTAACTGTCCCCCAATCTTGATAAGTTGTCATCAGCCAGCATTCAACATTCAACCGTTATGATGCAAAGAGCTCCCTCCCTCCTCTTTCTTCCTTCTTTTGCACAAATATAAATGCTGCACAATTGGGGAACCCAAAAAATTTATTACAATCTTCGTGGGGCAGCCAGCCGCCGCTACCCTACCCCTACCCGTATTCCCACATCCACGACAGCTTTTGGCATGTGCTTTTCGATACCCACCAACAGGTGTGGTCTATTGGTTTTTCTGTCTTGGTGAGAGCTTAATTTTGCTTGGGTATTCAAAGTCGACGGTATACAGTCTCGCTTCGCCCGCTGCTGAAAATGTGCGCTCTGAAAGTTCAAGTTCAAGTGCGCCAAATCTACGACAGAGAAACTAGCTGCTGCCATGTCGCTATGGCGAAATAACGAGAAGCAAACAAAAACTATTAGGCTTTGGGAGCCGAAGCTTTTGATACCCTAGCAGATCAGTCCATGGTTTATGGCAATGCTTCGATCGAATTCGAACAGCAACTAGCAAACTGAGCAAACCGGGGCACATGTACACGTTCAACCCTCTATAGCGCCCTTCATTATCGGCTCTAGTCAATTGCCAGGGAATAAAAATGTGTGCAAATAAATTTTTAATTTTTGTTCTCCTTGTCTGCTCTGTTTGCAGGAGCATCTTTGCTGGAGTGGTGGGCAGTGTAGTGGTAGATTTTATTGCGGATCGCGCCGCGTCTAATTGGCAAGCGATTCTATGTCATTAGGCCGCTTGATTAGCGGCGCCGCGCCGTCCAATATCTGTCTCAGTCTAGGCTTGGCCAAGTGCCACTAAAAGAACAAACAAGCAGCAGGAGTAGCAGAGGCCGAGGCCGTGGCTGCGGCTGCGGCTGCGACTGTGGCAGAACCAGAGGAGGCAGTGAAAGAGAAGCGAGGCTCTTCTAGCAACAAGTTCTCTCGGCTGTGACTGTGCTCATTTGGTGCAGCTGCCAACAGGGGCCAGCCAGCCAGCAGTGTCTGAAAGCTCATGGCGCAGCCGCAGCAGCCGTAGCCGAAGTCTGAAGCTTCTGGCCGCGCAGTCGCTAGACTCTGCGCTCGTCTCTGCTCGTGGCTTGTGCACCTGTGTCTGTGTGTATCTGTGTCTTGGCTTGATTTTCTTCTTGTGTTCCCGACAGTTACATTACGAGGCCAAAGAAAGTATCTTGGCTGGTTTGCGTATTTCGCGTTCGTCGCTCGTCGAGTTCACACGTGCTGCTCGCTTGGCCGCTTGTTTGCCACATCGCATCTCACCGCATCATCACCAGGCATTGAGCCAGGCATACGAATCCGAGTCCAAGTCCAAGTCCGAGTCCGAATCCGCTCGGATCGTGATCGAGCCTCGTTTTTTTAGTACTGCGACGCCCAAGTGCCGCCTGGCTTCTCCTCCTCCTCCATCGCCTCCCACCTGCCCCCAGTGTCTAGTGTCAGTGTATTTTTTTGTTGTTGTTGTTTTACAATTACCGTTACCTGCGCCAAAGCGCAGAATATATATAAAAAAAAAAAAATACAGCAAACGCGAGAGCGAAAGAACGAAAGAAAGAGAGCGAGCGAGCGAGCGAGTCCAGTTCAGTGAAGTGAGTGCTTTTTTTTTTTGTACTTGCAACTTGCAACACTTCCGTACTTGCCAAAAATCCGTATCCCTAACACCGGGAAAAACCATAGCCAAAAGCAAAAACTGTTAAGAATTTTTTGTGATATTTATTTTGTTTTTTGTTTGTTGCTGTATCTGATCTGATCGCTTGGCATTTTCTTAATTTGTTAGGCTCGTATTTGTGTATTTTCAAATAACATACATATTTACATAAATATGTGCATAAGTACATATATATGTATGACGCATTTTAAGACATCACTTTGATTTCGGCCAGGAAACTGGGCACCTGGCTGCACATATATTCTATCTGTGTGGATTTTCTGTGAAACACATGGTGCAGCCTTCAACCAGGATATGCTCGGTGCGCTAGAGAGAGGGAGGGTGGTGGTGGTGACTTGACTGGGACCTGCCACTGCCACTGCTGCCATTGCTGCTGCTGCTTCTGCTGCTGGGTAGCCGATTAACCAGCTAGACAGCAAATGCAGCCGAGCATTTCATGCTTTCTAATTTTCCCAATTAGCACAAATGTGGCTGGCTCTGTCTCTGTGTCTGTCTCTATGTCTGATTCTTCTTTATCTTGCACCTCCATCCAGCTTAGAATCGAAACCAAAATCAACCTCAAAATCAAAGCCCGGACTGCAGGCAGCTCCAAACGATTTTCCACACAGCAAAAAAAAAAAAAAAAAAAAGGAACACATCATCAGCCAGAGATCTGTGCTCGGCGTTCGTGTTCGCGTTTGCGTCTCGTCTCTCCACTGGCTGGCTGGTGCACTTTCCACAGATTTTCCCAGCAGCGACAAAAGCCGTGGAAAAATAATAATAATACATAATAATAATCATAACAATCACACGTACACAGCACAGCGCAGACAAAATAAAAACAGGGAAATTCTACGTGCCACCCCAGACCCGAGACCCAGACAAGACCAACAAAAGTAGCATCGTCATCGGTCGGATCATACCCATAGTCATTCCTAACCATGCCCCATTCCATTCCATTCCATCCTGCTGTCTGTCCAACCATAGTACCGTACAACAGCCAAACAGGTGCTTCTGCTGCACCTGTATCTCTCGTATGCACTAATTATTGACCAAATCTCTGAACAGATGGTATAGACAGGCAGTCGGACAGTCGGACAGGGGCAGAGGAGGCATCTGCCTCGCACACATATGTCAAATGGAAACTAATCACCAATCAGTTCTTCAACTCTTCTTCAGTTCCAACTGAGACTCCCAGACTGGTTGCCTCGTTGCCTCCGTTGCCTCCGTGGCCTGCCTCGACTGCTGGTATTCCATTCCTCCTCTTTATTTGCGTTACGTGTTAGGCGGTCCGGTCCAGTCCAGTCCGGTCCGGTCGGTACCGTTCCGATTTCACTTCTGTCTTCTACTTCTGTACATATTTAAACAATTATTCCTTCTGTTTTTTCTCTTTAATGCATTTGCCAAACTCAGCCTCAATTTCCCGTTTGATATTAAGTGTTCCAGAAATATACGGCAAACATACATATACTCGCATAAGGAATTGAAAACAGCAGAAAAACTAAAAAGAGAACACACAGAAATTGTGTCTGATCATCCGAAAAAGCTCTATCGGTAAGTTGAAAATGTAATTAATCGATTAAAGTACTCATTCCACTCAATGCTGCACTTTGATCATCCATTTATGGATCTTTTGTAGCTGCAGTATGACCTTGAATATATATGTACCTATTATATTATGGTAAATCATTTCGCCGTAGGCAGGATTAAAACCGCTTAATTAGCATATAAATGGATTGTAAATCGTAACTTAAAAATATATATGGCTGTGCAGGAAATTAGCTTCAAATTTATGAGTAGATTAAATGATCTATAAAAGGATAAGAATATCGCTAAGAAAAAGATCAAGTTCCATTGGGGCCCATGGAGTCGATTCTTTTGCTAAACTATCAAATATCATCATTAATCCCTCAATCTAATGGGGTGGGGGGGAATCAATATTGTGACAGCTTTCGTCACTAGACTCTAGATAACCCATTAGTTGCTAGAGGCTACTGGGAGCTCTTCTTGATGGAACATTCCCACAGATACTCGTACAATAAATGGAACAGAGCTCACACACGGCTACTCCACGGTGTAGGGAGGGAGGGAGGGAGTGGGGCTCATGCCTCATGCCTCATGTGTGCTGTTGAGTAGTGAGTGGTAGCGGTGCTGATGCATTTGATCCGTTTTGGAGCGCATTAAATGCACCGTTAACTACTTCGAATTCTAATTAAGCTGATGCGACAATCCAAGGCACGCCGCTGTGGCACAATAAACTCAATTCCTGCTGCAGACAGAGCCAAAGAACTCTTGTGGCACAGACACAGACACAGATGCAGATACAGATACAATACAGGAACAGGCAAAGAGACACACACAGAGCCAGAGATTGGCAACAGCAAAGCAAAGAAACACGCGACTTGGCCATAAATGCAATGGCAAGTTGGCAAGCTGCAAGTTGCAAACTGCTGGCTAGGCTAGGCCTCGTTGTCGCATCTGTGGATCCATCCGCCGTTTGTTTGTTGGCAAAGGCGAAGATCAGCAAACGGCATCTATCAGTCGAGTATCTGTGCGGCGTCTCTTTCCATCTGCGACACCAACACCAATGCTGACTCGGACTGGGACTGGGACTGGGACTCCGACTGGGACTGGGACTCGGACTGGGACTGGGACTCGGACTCGAACTCTGTCTCTGTCTGTGTCTTTGGCTGTCTGTGGTGGACTATCTCTTTGTTTGGCCTCAAATGATTTGCTTTAGCCATTATTGGGCGGTGGGGAGGGTGGTGACCAGGACCCTAAACTGCTTAGCCTTAGCCTTAGCCGCCTCTGAGTCAAGGTCTCCCCATCACTCCCCTTGCTGCCTCTCACTGTCTTCACTGTTTGTCTGTTTGCGTGATTCATTTGAAATTCATTCATTGTTTGGCTTTGAGCAAGCCACCAAGCCACCGAGCCACCATCGATGCGCGCTGCTCGATGCTGATGACGAATAATTTATGAGCTGCTGCGATCGACCCAGTAAATTCTATTCCCAATGCTGCCACAGCCACTGCCACAGCCACTGTCACTGCCCCTCTTTCACATGCAGACACGGATACGACGACACCACACAGAGAGACCCACTAGCAGATAGATGTACGAGTGTGTAGTTACATATGCAGAGAGATACGAATACGAAATACGTGTATGAATACCTGTACGATATGCAGATGCAGATGCGGATACAGATAGAGCGACGACAAGCGTCTTTTCTTTCACAGAATCTTAATTTGTATTCAACAACAATCAGGCGAGAAACGAGTGGAGAGATGGCAGAGACGCCGCGGCGTCTAACTGTTATTTGCCTTTCTATAAGCATTCCAATAATGAAATGGAAACTTTTTGTGCCACATTTTCGGGTACATGCCCACATGCCAACAGACTCATGTGTATAATAATCCTACTTGAAATCGAAAGTTATCCCGAAACTTCTACTGCCTAAAGTCTGCCAAATATAAGATTGGATTCGCCCCTGCTGCTGCAGGACCGCTGATAAGATTTAATTACCGCCCTTGGGGACCTGCTACATTTCCACTTCCACTTCTACCTCCACTTCTACTTCCACGTCTATTTCCACTTCTATTTCCACTTCTATTTTGCACTTGACTTTGAAGCGAACTTTGGAGCGCTGACTGCTTGGGGCTGGCTACTCGCATGGCAGCCTCATGTCATGTCGTTGCTCACAGTTGACAACAGATTGCCGCCAGATAGACAGACAAAAGTTTTTGCTCGCATGAATTGTTTGGTTTATGCCCCAAATTTGAATGCGAATAGCTGCAACAGTCGGTTGCTGTGTCTTCCAGGGGAGGTGGGGCGGTGCTGGGAATGCGACTGGGACCATTTGACACGTTCTCGGTCTTTACCCAAAGCCTTTTTAAGAATGAATGGTAGCTGTGGCAGTAGTGGCACACAGCTGCTGCAACAATTGGGAACGATGTCAACGATGCCCCCCTCCTGCTTGTGTCTCCCCACTGCGTGCAGCTTGTGGCACTTTTCATTTGCATTTCCCCATGAGATTTGGTGGCAAATTGTTGCCTGAAATTGTCATAAATTCAAAACATTTGAGTGAGCAAATAATTCGCATTATGAGTCATCCGCCAAGTCATCCCCTGGCAGAGGATGTGCCCCCAAAACAAATTGAACCTATGCTGATCTATACTTACTAAAAAATATGCATGGAAATTTCTGTGCAAATTATTCAGAGGATAAAGCACCAAAAACATAACTTTGGCTAACTTTTCTGGGCAATTTGGCAGACAGACTTTAAGCAGGCTTTAAATAAATTCCCTGGCGGTTATGACTATGGGTTCTGCTTGATCAGAGTGCCACAATGAATCAGCGATTGGCTGGAGCGTATCCGGCATTTGCTGCAGATTCCAGAACACCCCTCCAGATGGGATCACGTTAGTATTTAAGGGATATCTTTTTGCGTTCCCCATGATCTTTGATCTATGTAATTTCATTGATCGAACTGGTGGGCCATACATAAATACGTACATACATACATACATACATATGTACATTACATAAATATGTACATATAATGTCTGAAATTTGTGATTCAGAATTTCTTCAGCCGTGTTTAGCATTTCCTGGCGGAGACTTATTCTGCACAAGACCGCAATTTGCCAATGCAATGTTTCCCACAGGCTGTTTAGTTTTGTGGCTGACTGGCACCAGCACCGGCACCGACACCGGCACAGGCACAGGCACAGGCACATTCATGCCGGGATAATTACACAAAGTAAAATTGCATTTGGCGACTGTTCGTCCGTCCGTTCGTCTGAAGAATGCGCCCCGAAAAAAAACCGCCAAGTTAAGTTAAACAAAAAAAAAAACAAAAAAGTGGAAAAACTTGCTTCGAGCGAGCCCCTCCGCCTGGGAACCCTCAGCGGATGGACCCCCTCCGAAGTGTGAGTGTGTGGGGGGTGGGGTTGGAGAACGGCAAACGGTGGGGGAGAGAGATGGTCCAAGTGAGAGAGGGGTGAATGGGGTGGTCTGGTGTATGGAAAGGGGTTTGCATGTCTGTAGATGGGTGGGAGGGGGGGGGGTCTGGTGGAACCAGTTTAATTAAAAGAAAGTGAACCATTTAAAAATTTATTTTGGATTTCGGCCTTACTGTTACTGTTGCTACTCGTATGCCTTGCCTTGCCTTGCCTTGCCTTGTTTTGTGATTTTCCCATACCCCGTCCATCCCGTGCCAACGTACGACTGAGTAGTGCTGCCATCATTATCATTATCGTGATTATTGCTGCTTTTCACTATGAGACGAGCCCCGCACCGCACCAACAACAAAAAAACAGAAGCTAAAAATACATACAAAAATATCTCATCAAAAAAAAAAAAACAGCTAAAAGCACAAAAACAGATAAACAGCAATGAAGCATAGGCATGTGATTTACCGTTTGCTGCTTGTTCGCCGTACCGTTATAACCGGGTCCATGGAGAGGGGGGGCTGCCGCTGCCTGCTCTCTGTTCGATTCGAAAGTGGTCGCTCTTCAATAGCAATGGAACCGAACCGAACCGAACCATTTCCATTTCCACTTCCATTTTTTCCATTTCCACTGGCATTTCCATTATTGTGCTGCGCCGCCATCCCATCCCATCCAATCCATCCATTCATCAATCCACATCCACATTCACCACAAGAAAGAAAAGTGAAAACTGCAAGCAAAGTGCGGCGCTGCGCTGCGGTGCGATTGGAGGCTTCACTTTGGGTTTTGGCTTGCGCTTTGATCGCCTTTTTGGATGCGGCAATTTTCGTTGATCACTTCGATCGACTGCATCGCTCGACGTTAAATCAAATCGGATTGCATTGGATTGGATTTAATCGGATCGGCAGAACTGTAGCATTGTGTATAGGGTACCGGGTACCGGTACAGCTCATCTCTTGGAGCGTGTCCAACTAACTTCTACTTTTCCTCTCTTCCGTTCTTCCACCTCTGCAGCTGCAGCAAGTGTGCTGCGTTACTGTTAATTGCAGTGGTAGCGGCAGAGGTAGCCGCATCATTAATTAAGCGCCATCAGAGCGTGCAGCACGCGGCGGCAGACGCTCGCTGGGGCTCTTCACTGCGTCGCGTCGCGTCGCGCCGCATCGCACTTTCTTTGACTTAGTTAGGCTGCGCCTGAGAAGGCCCCACGGACCTGGTGCCGCCGCCGCATTCGCTCTTAAGTAGATCCCAACACATCCCATACCCATGTGGCGGCTCTTAATTGGGCGCCTCTGTGATGACTTTTGATTCCTCGCCGCTAACACTCCCTCCACCGCTCTCTCTCTCTCTCGCTCTCCTGCACTCATGCAAAACAGCTGGGCCAGGTGCGCACACAAGCACACACACCCACACACACACACACTCGAAGAGAGCGCGAGAGCAGAGAGAATGGGTTACAGTTAACCTAGTCGCTGGCCTGGCTCTCTATATACCCTATTCTGATTTGATTAAAATGTTTGGAACGCATGAATGATTTTCGACGTTGATTTTCGATAAAGATCTCTTGCTTGTGGATTTTTTATTAAATGCACTGGCATTATTGGCTTACTGGGCACACTGCGGGAAAAGCAAGTTTTGTTTATGTAGATAATCCAATCAGCTATGTATGAATGGTTGCTAAAACGGAAGCGATCTATCTGCAGGGCAAAGGGTATCCAGCAGCTTCGCCTCAGCTTCTGTTTCATTCTCTTTGCTTGATGCATTTCGAGTACAAGTTCGAATTGGAAGTTCGAATTCGATGCCCAGCTCGAGTTCGGAGTTTTCACTCATGCACGAGTGAGACGAGACAATAAACGAGAAGAGAAATTAATTGGCTCCAAATTAAAAGACAAATAAGCATATCAGCCATTTACCGTTGGTTGTCTGTCCCCTCCCCGGCGCCAACAAGCGATTTACAGTTCTGCGAGAGAGAAGAATCTCCGTTGACCGCATTTTTTTCTGTGGTTGAATTGTGAGTAGTAGTGGGAGGGGGGGGAGCGGGCCGTTCATCATCTTTTTCATGTTCGAATGCGAGCGGCGCTTTGTTCGCACAGTTTCGATTTCATTTTCACCTGTTGCCGGGTAAAAGTGTGTGTGCCAGGCCCAGGCACAATAGGCGGCGATCAATGGGAAGGAGATACGAAACAGAGACGCGAAATGAGATTTTATTATTACTGCCCGCCTGTCCCACGATGGAATTGATGTGGGCTTGGACTGACTGCCTGATTGTCGGATTGTCGGATTGATTGATTGATTGATTGTCGGCATTTCTTTAATTGGTGGCAGAGCAGGGAAAGTGCTGGCTTACCCACTGAACAATTGCCAATGTAAATATTTATTGCAGCAGCAGCTCTCAGCTCTCTACTCCTCTGTGTGTGTGCCCAATCGAAATGCGAAAGAATTATTGTGCGAATTGGAAAGTTCGTTTCAGGTGAAATTTATTGCGCATCTATTAGTGGGATGGATGTTTGCTCAATGGAGCAGGTGCTGGTGCAGGTACTGGTGCTGGTGCTCTGTGCAAATCCTTTAAGTGTCCCGAGTTGCTGCCAATTAATTGAAAATATCCAATGTCAGCAGAAAGATTAGAGTTCTTAGAGCGTGATGGGAATAGCTCAGAAGAGGGAGGGAGGAATCATTTTTCGTTATTTTTTTAAATTTATTTATTTTATTATTTTTTTTTGTGGTAGCTCTTTCTCATACCATGATAAAGCTTAAAGTATTTTTTTAAACTTTAACGGATTTTATTTACCTCAAATTCAAATTTCAATTTATTAAAATTGTATTTCTTATCCGCTAATTTTTTGTTTTTAATAGAACTAGTTTTGAGCTATCGATAAACATCTTGTTGGCGGCATAGAAGACCTCCATTAGCTGCATTGCCTACCCTTGCCATTGAAGTTCTTCTTTGCCTACTGTGCCGCTGTCGGTCTCATCCGCAGAATTTTTTGCCTGATTTTCCTGTGACTCACGGGGCGACCAGTTAGGCTTGGGCAACAAACGCGAAATTGCACCATCCTCAGCCTCGTCAGCCACCAACCAACCAGCAACCAACCACCGTCCACTCACCAAGCGCAGCCACCTCAATTTGCAATGTTGAAATGGACCCCCTGGGGGCCAGGCCACTGATCGAATGGATCAGAGAGCGGACCAGGTTCAGGCCCAGGTCCAGGTTCAGGTTCAGGTTCAGATCCAGGTCCAGGGAAATTGGCCGGCCGCCTGGCCGTTTATTAAATTTCAATTTGTTTATGGCTTCTTTTCGTGGCCGCACATTTTCGGCCGTTTTACGTATTCCAACAATTTTCGGCTGTCCCAACCCCCAATACCCATTTGGCCCGGGGGCGACAGGTTAAGTGCGATTCTGGCCTGGGATACCGTAACACAATTCCCCCTACTCCCCTCGCCCCCTCCAAAGCTTCATTCGTTGCGCTAATGACGCACATCGACATCTTTATTACTCCGCTGGGCTCCTTTGACCAAAAAAAAAAAAAAAAAAAAAACCTAAAGGGGAAAGGCCTTTATCAATTGATATTTAACATACGAATTGATCAGCGGAGGGAGTATAATGTGATCGACAGCGACTACGTGCACGAAGCATTGGGGAATTTAAAAAGGGATGGGGGAAAGAAAGACAGAAAAAAGACAGAAATTCAGGTTAACCGTAGAAGGGAAGCCTGCCTGTAATTGGCATCGATCGATTAACGAAACATCTACAGAATGCGATCGATGGCAGGAAGATCGGTGAAGAACTGCAAAGTGTTTGACATCGATAAAAAGGTACAGAACTGCATGAAAACCTTCAACTGAATGCGGTCGATGGCGGCATTGGAGTAAACGCCTAGCTAGATCCATTGGAAATGCAACTTCAATTTTTAGAGTCCTTCTATAAAGCAATCCATGAATTGCTTTATTAATTTCAAAAGGCTCCATAGCCAAAAACGACTTGAAACTTGATGGAGAAAATCGTATGAACTAATAAGAATTAAAAGATCTGGCAGATCTACTTACGATCTACGATCTACGAACAGTACGTAAATATACCCGTTCATCCAATCGTTTACCATTTGCTCAATTGGTTACCAAAATTCAGTCGATCGATCTATCGATCTTGCCCCGCTTGCAATGAGTTCAGGAGAACATTCAATCGATCGATCGATCGATCGATCATTGAAATTGCCGCAATTTTGTGTGTGTCTCACTTTATTGTGGCTCACGATTTGTGGCTGCTTCAACCTGCGGCGACCAGAGGTCGAAATGATGGACAGACAGGGCGTAATGGAGAATCGGAGTCGAGATCGCACTTGGCATTAGCAGCCAGTCAACAGTTGCAATTGCTGTCAGCGGGGGAGAGCGGTGGGGTGGGCTCGTGTCGTGGTCCGGTTGGGTGTTGCCTTCGCTGTTGCTGCTCAGTGGCCGCATTTACCGCTGGGCCGCCCACACGAACTGTGGCACAGAGCACTGCAGTGGTGGGTGAAAGCGAACATCTAAAAGGGGGGGACCCCTACAAAATAGCCAAACGATTCTCTTTTTTTTTTTGTCGGTTGCAATTCAAGTTACGTTTGTCCAGAGTTAGCCCCACTGTGCTTGCTGTGCTTAGTAAACCAGTTCGAAAGAGACAGAGAGAGAGCCTAGTACTCTCCCTCTCAGCGGCAATTTTAATATAGAAATCATTGAGGTAGTCCCACCGCAATATACCCCAGCCGTAAGCCAATAATTTTCACTGCTCTTTCGCCTCGTTGCAGATCCAAACGCCACGCCCACAGCACCAGCATGTGGAGCCCACAAAAAGGTCCTACACGGCTGTGGGACCTTAGACTTAGTAGCTGTATATTTATTTTACACTTAATGGTAAGTACTTCATCCTAATCTTATCTACCGATCTACTTACTGCCATGCCAAACTATATAATTAATACAGATTGCTAATATAAATAAACTAAAGTTTGATTGTCTGACCTAGGGCTTATTGGAGCGCAATATCAGAGAATAATCATACGATCTTATCTTCAATGAACATATCGATTGCGATAGGATAGCAGCAGGTGTACGAATAATAGTGGTAGTAGGTGTAGCAAATAGTAGATTTAAAGCAGTCAATTAAGCGCGTTAACATTGTCATTGGCAGTGCCACACCCCCGATTTACACCCATAAACGCACACTTGAAACGATTCGAATCTTACTCTCCCATAAAAGTTGTTCAGTTGCTGATTTAACCCTCTATCTAAATAATCTAATCCAAATAATTTCACATTATACATGTTAAGTTCGTAAAACAAACATTTTAGTAGATCACTATTCAATCCGCTGACTGATCCGATTCCGCGCTCAATCCGCTGGATAGTAGGAGTCCGAAGTGGCCACCTAGTGGTGATTCGGACTTTCAAAGTTAGCACAGTGATGCCACCCTTTTTTAAGCCGACAATACGGAGCCAGATATTTAATATTAATTATATTGAAAGCATTCTGCTTTTCTTCACTTAGGCACTAAAAAAAAAAGCTTATTGCAGTAAAACTAGCTTTTCCTTAAATATCTGATATATCTGACGATATTTCATTAGTTAACCTCCAAAATAAAATCCGAATTTTCAGTATGGCTATGAGTAAAAATTGTAATATCTGTAGATGCATCTTTAAGGCAAACTAAGCACTAAGATCAGATCAGATCAGTTCAGTTCGGATCTGCTGCCTGATACCCTACACAGACTCTCCAATGGGCTTGATGGTCAGCTCGTGGATCTGGACATTGGGTGGTGTCTGAATGCAGTAGGTGACGGCATCGGCGACATCCTCCGAGCGCAGCATGGGCAGATTGGGCATCGCTTCGAGTATGTGCTTGTCAATGATCTCCGTATCGACGGCGCCAGGACTCACGCTCTGTGGACCATTGGGGGGGATTTGGGTTAGATGCAAGCAAAAAATTTAGGGGGTACGGGGAGACTTACTGTGATTTTGGTCTGGGTCTTCTTGTGGAGGAACTCCTGGCGCAGCACCTCGGTCAGGGCTGTCACCGCATGCTTGGAGGGGGCATACATGCCAAGGCTGATGCCGATGTTCGGGATCCGGTGTCCGGCCACACTGTTGATGATCACCACGTGTCCGTCGAGGACATTGCGCCGCTGCTGCGAGCGGAAGGCTTCGCGCGTGCACCAGGCCACGCCCAGCACATTGGTGTCCAGAATGGCCCTCAGATCGGGGCCGTTGCCCCCATTGACAATGTCCGCCGATGACCGCACAATGCCGGCATTGTTCACGAGCACATCAGCGCCACCCAATGTGGCATCGATCCAGGCGAAGGTGTCGACAACACTCTGCTCCTGGCTCACATCACACTTGCGACCATGAAAACGGGCAGCCTGCTCGGCCGGCAGCGATGCCTTCAGCTCCTTCAGCCGCTCCTCACGGCGTGCCAGACCCACGACGATCATGCCCTTGGCCACCAGATCCCTGCAGCAGGCGGCTCCAATACCCGAACTGGCCCCAGTAACGACAGCAACGCGATTTTGCCAGCGATCCATAATGATCCAGTAGAGTTTTGAGTTTAGATTCTTTATAGAGATGGAGCAACGAGCAATCTCTGTGCGGGAGCGTGATTCGGATGGTGGTGCGGAGCAAACTGTTTGGCCATTCAGCCACGGTTCGACTTTTATTGGCTACGAGCTGCAATCACGAATGCGAGGCGAAGTGCGGGTACGAGCCCTCTCTCGGCTTTGGCTCGGGGATCGATGGAGAGGAGAGTGCTGCGCTGCGCTCTGCTATTAGCTGATAGATAGAACGCTTCTAACCATGACTCGCCGAAAAGCCATATAAAATAATCTACCTACTCATATTCTCGAATATATATGTACATACATATGAATGTATGTATGTATGTGTTTTGTTAGTGCGGCAGGTTTGGCCAGTTGATAGAATTGCTACGAGAATTGATACGGTTCGGATCGGTTCAGTTGTCTTCGTTGTTTATCATTGTGAATCAGCGAAAAAAGGAAAAAAAAAAATCATTTGATGACGAAACAGTTGAATAAGTTCTGCAAGATGATTTGGCATATTGTTTAGAATATAGAGAGGGGGAATTGGGAACCGGTATTGGGTATACTATTTTAAGTGCAAGATAATAACAGAGCAAATAAATAGGAGACGAGACCTGATATTGGATATTGGAGCATAACCAGTGAAGCTTACTGGCATATCGATTCTTCCCATCAAACTTTAGGGTTGGTGGGAGGCGAAGGGCGGATCTGGCTAGGCTTCAAGCTAAGAGCCGCTAGAGCGGAGAGTCGTGTGGATCGTGCAGTGCGGGAGCGAGCTAACAGTCTGCTGTCAGAGAGCGCTAACAGAGAGCTGTAAATGGGAGAGGGGTACCGCAGGCTGTTAGCAGAGAGCGTCACCCTAGGCTGTTAACCAGGACTGTTAACCTGGACTGTTAACCTGAGCTGTTAACCTGGGCTGCTACCCCTTTAGAGCTGCTGTACTGAACAGCTATGTTATATTATATTATAAAGTAATTAAATTTAAATATATACAATAAGAGTGAAGCGCACCCTTTGCCGTTTCGACTCAGAAACATAATTAGGGCCCTCATTATAGCCTCGATGGCATTATGGCCTCGAAGATAACAGAGGCAGCAATACTGATGTATGTATGTATGTCTGATTTTGGGATAGATTAGCATAGGAATAAGCTAACATATGTATGTAATATTTATGGCTGCGTTTATTCAATTATTGCTGCCAGATCAGTGGCTGGCTAATATTGTATGCTGAACAGGCTAGCGGAGAGAGGCTGTGGCTGTGTCTGCCAGACAATGTGGCACCGCTTCATATGGGGGCAGATATATGTATGCACTATATACATACATACGCACACAAGTGCAACAGGCAGGTGGAACGAACGAGGGGCGTATGTGTGTGTGTGTACACTGTACATATGAAAATTCCACATTCGCAATTTGCTGAGACTGAGAGAGCCTCAGCTCGATGCTCGATGCTCGCCACTAGACGGAATCTCCATCCAGCATATCCATTTGGCAAGGCAGTTTGGCCAAGGTATCAGTATGCAAATGGATGGATGGATGGATGGATGGATGGATGGGGATCCCCAGGAGATGGAGACAGACCAGTTTAGCGCAGCGTGGCCAAACGGATGCGGACCAGATGGAATTCGCTTTCTCATTTCGATTGGCCTTCATTGGCCATGGCCGAGGGGCTGCCTGCCTGCCTGCCTGCCTGCCCACTGCCTGCTGCCAGAGACTGGATTTCCGTTTCGTTTTTATTGGCAACAAGTTTGCCAGGTGCCAGTCGCGAACCGTTACATGCCACCCACAAGGCTAGAGATGGGCACTAGAGATGCTGCATGGGATTGGGTTAGGATATAGCTGGATAGGAGATAGATGGATAGAAATAGATCGAGCAGGGACAAAGACAGAGACAGAGAGAGTGGCACGGGCATGGAATGGGAGATGAAAGCTAAGGATGGAAAGGACTAAGGATAGGTCTGGCCTAAAATACAATGAGCAATGGGTGAGGAGTCAAAGTAAGATGATGATTGGATGGGATCCCATACTGGCAGCTTCGATGAGAAGTACTTAGTATTTTGCATGAAATTCATCGATATACAATCGATAACCCCACACAACTCTGCGTAGCACCTGCCACTTACTTTAATTTGCTTGCACCTACTTACAGTTTAGTTTAGTCATAGCTGGTAATGAACTGTGGCCCATGGACCGGCCCGACGGTATGCCCAACATTGTCTCCCTGGAGGTGATGTGCGGCAAGGATCACATGGACGTGCATCTAACATTCTCGCATCCGTTCGAGGGAATTGTTAGCTCCAAAGGTGCGTATCCCGTATGCCCCTATAGCCTCAAATGTATTCTGAGTATTAATCCTGCCTGGCTTTTCCTGTTCATAGGACAACATAGCGATCCGCGTTGCGTGTATGTGCCGCCCTCAACGGGCAAGACATTCTTCTCGTTCCGCATCTCGTATTCGCGATGCGGCACCAAGCCGGATCTCAACGGACAGTTCTACGAGAATACGGTGAGTGCGACGTCTGTGGACTGCAATCGCGAGTCGATAATGAGCCCCCAATGCCATTCCTATACCCATCCCCCACGCCCATTCCCTCACAGGTAGTCGTGCAATACGACAAGGATCTGCTGGAGGTCTGGGACGAGGCAAAGCGGCTGCGTTGCGAGTGGTTCAACGACTACGAGAAGACCGCCTCCAAGCCGCCGATGGTTATAGCCGATCTGGATGTGATTCAGCTTGATTTTCGCGGTAAGTCTGCCAGCTGCAACTCGCTCCTTTGATACCCATACATATATCCTTTCCCGCTTGCAGGTGACAATGTTGACTGCTGGATGGAGATTCAGCATGGAAAGGGACCCTGGGCGCCGCCAGTCAGCGGCATTGTGCCCCTCGGCTCGACTCTGACCCTCGTTGTCGCCATCAACGATTATCGCGGTATGTTCTGGATGGATTCTGGATGGATCTTATGCGGAAGATCTTAACTCTCGTTTTTGTCTCTCTACCTTCAGGTGAATTCGATATGCGCGTCAAGTCGTGCCTGGCCTCCGACGGCTCTGGGCATGTGATCAATCTGTCGGATGAGTTCGGCTGCGTGCTGCGGCCCAAGATGATTTCACGCTTCCTCAAGGCACGCGCACCCGACGAGCGGGCCACCGTCATCACGTACGCCTTCTTTCACGCCTTCAAGTTCCCGGACGCGCTCAGTGTCCACATCAAGTGCAAGGTGGAGATCTGTCGCCACGGCTGCCTCGATCACTGCCAGAACTCGGGCGTGGCGGGTGACGGCGGCGGCGGTGGCGGAGGTGGTCATGGCCTGGGCCACGGCTTGACCAACGCAAACGAACGCAAGGATGTGCACATGGACGATGCGATGAGCAGCAGCAGCACCAACGATCTGCTGCGAGACTTGTCCCTGCCCCCGGCACAGCATGGAATGGGCATGGGAATGGGCATGGGCATGGGCAGCATTGGCATGGGCAGCATTGGCAGCATGGGCAGCCTGGGTAGCATGGGCATGGGTTCGGGTGTGGACCATGACATCTTCTATGAGGACATAATACACGACCAAAAGCAGACAATTGGCGGCGGACAGGGCGTGGGCATGGCAGCTGCTGGCGACTATGGTGGCGCTCACGAGAAGAGCGCCAATCTGCAGCCGCGACCCGTGCACGAGGACCAGGAGGAGGCCGATCTGTCCGATCTGTTTGGGGACGATGATCTCGCTGATCTGGCGGACATGGATGGCGGCGATGGTGAGCGGTATTTGGGCCTCAAGAAGAGCGGCAAGTTCCCCCATGGACCGCGGCAGCTGGAGGCACAGAAGCGCATGGGCGTGCCCATGGCCGGACCCCGCTCCCTGGAGCCCCGGAACGATGATGAGGATGTGCCACGGCCCGTCTACCGACCCCAGGCGGAGCCACTGAAACAGTCGCGCGAGGATCATATCGATCTGGATTCGGATTCGGATGCGCATGCCAGTGAGCCATCCCCCTCATCCACATCCTCCAGCACAGAGGCGCCGGAGAGCTCGCAGCGTCGCCGGCGTCGTCGTCGCTCGCTGGTCATCTCAGATCGCAAGGTGCGCAGCGCCGATGTGGGAGTCAGCGGGCTCTATGACGTCATCTCTGAGGCAGACCTGGCCTTCTCGCCGGACTCGAAGCAGGAGGCCGTCACCGTGTTCCAGGGCAAGATCAGCGAGGAGGTGGTCTACGGCATCTGCATGCCCGTGCCCGGCTTCAGCATTCTGTTCATTGTGGTCATATCGGCGACGATTGTGTCGGCCTTGGTTGCCGGCTCCCTACTCTATCGCTATCAGCTGCAGAAGGAGGCCCTGGACAAGCAGACGCCCATGCCGGTGCCCGGCACCCTCGCCTCCTGGATGACATTGCGCCTCTTCCGACTGCGCCGCCACAGAGCAGCAACAGCAGCAGCAGCAGGAGCAAATGCGGCAGCAGAGCCCCGTTGTGGGGGGGCATGAAACGGTTCAGTGATCGGTGCGGATAGTATCGTCAATCGGATTGGATTGGATTGTGGCCTGCGTCTTCGTCTTTGCCTTAAATTATTATTTATTATTTTTTTGTTTTTTGTTTGGAGCGAGAGAGAGACAGAGAGCGAGAGAGATATACCGAGATGAAGATGGAGATGGCGCCCGTTATGTTAGCTTCTCGTCCGTATCCGGGCAACAATGCAATACTCGAACCAGCCCGCTCCAAATGGTTCCGTTTCACATTTCGTATTGGTGCTGAACGATCGAACAGAGGAAGGAACGATCCATTACATTTTTTTTTTGTTTGGGTGCATTTAGTCGTAAAAATTGCATAAAAACACACACACACAACACACCACACACACATACACATATACTATAGAGAAAGAGACACAACACACAAAAAGGTGAATTTACTTATAAGGTGGGTGGGGGGACCACCCACACACCCCGTGTGTCACTCAACGCATGCAAGCAAACGAAGAGAGAGTGAGTTGAGTGCGCTCTCTTTCCAGCTGAGAGCGCGAGGGCGTGCTCCACCTTATCAGTAGATTCACCTTAACCCCGAAGCGGTGCTGCTGCTCATTGAGTAATGTGAGAGATGGCAATGAGAGCTGGGCGATGGAGAGTTCACATCATCTAGGATTAAGGGAAACTTATTTATTTATTGATACATATAAATACTTACATATATAGAAATATATATATATATATTTTGAGAAAATCGTACGATATAAAGCTATAGCTTTAAGACACATAAAAAAAAAAAACAAAATGGAAATTTCTAAATTGAATTTTAAACAAAGAATTTTAGTTTTTGTTTGTTTTTTTTTTTGTTTTTGTTTTTTTTAATTGGCATTAAAACGCGAGTTTTTTTTTATTTAGGGGAATTTTAGTTAAATTATTATATTGACTTACGCAATCATCTAGTAAAATGCTCATTCTCATCATATTTTCATCACAAAAATATTCATATTTTGAATTTTGTGGGATTACAAACAATTATTTGAACACACACCCACACACACACACTCTCTCCCATTTGTCCGCTTATGGCATGCATTTCTGTCTATAATGCAAAATACAAATTAAGTGCAACATTTGTAATTCAAAAATGGAAAAGCAATTGAATAAAAATTAGCTAAGTTGAAATTAAAGAAATAAATTGAATTTACTTTATATTAACCACTAAATTGGCCACTGGTAAAAAAGTGCCACCAAATGTTTAAGCAACGAACCATCCAGTTAATATATAAAAGCAAAAGAAAAGATAAAAGGGGTGGCTCTGGGAGCGCCCAAATAAAAAATAATATGATAATAATAATAATAATATAATAATATAATATTCATTTGAAAGCTTAATGTTTTCCCCAAAGGTAAGCTGTAGCTGCAACATACTTGGGTTCAATTTATAGCTGCTGCTTTCAGGCTCTTTAGGCTTTAAGCTTCATTACAATCAGATGTAAGATACCCAAGTTACGTGAAAAAGAAAATAGCCATACCTTTAAAAACACAAAAAAAAAACTTTTTTGAGTACGGGTATTAAAAAAAGAAAACCCCCAAAGAAATTTGAGAGCACCAAATCTGTGCAAGAGTCGCTTTGGTTTGTTGAGTAATAAAAACTAAGATTTTGACGATGAACTGGGATGCGCGTCGCGTCGAGAATAAACTTTAGTCATTGTCTCAGATTTCCAGGCCACGGCCGAGTGTGCCAGCGAAGGTCCCAGCTCGCAGACAGGAAATTGTATGTGCTCTCTCTGTGGCGAGGATGGTCGTAAATCTCTCTGCAAAATTATAGCAAATTTTCGGATCTTCAAATTTAAAATAGTTCCCCCTCCCCCAATAAACCAATAAAAATTAAAAAAAAATTAAAATCCTACTGCCTTACATTTGACTATTGTAAAGTACTCAAACTGTAGCAAACTTTTCGGTAAGTGCCAGAAAGAGGAAGAGACTGGACGGATACTATCTGAAGCAGCAGGCACAGGCACTACAGTCGGATTTGAGTGTCATTTCATCAAATTCGTCAGAGGCACAGCTGTACAGCTACGTATAAATATATATATTTCTTAGTAAAAAGCCAGGAAGGACTACAACTAAGCAGATCCCACAATGTCTGACCAGAACGATCTGTGAGTGGGTGTGCCCATGGTTCGATCCAAATGCTGATTCATCTGTTTCTTTCAGAGAACAAACTGAAGACGATCCAGAATATAAGGAGCTCCTCGAGTACTTTAAGAGCAGAAATATTATTTCCGATACGTAAGTACTATGACTACTGTGACTTTACAAGGCGACACTATCAGGGGCTGACCACTAAACACCCGCAGTCCCCCCCCAACGATCTGTCCCGGAAGGGCTAAGATCACTGCCAACGGTGTGGTGAACATCGAACGCATCACCGACTTGAGCCGTTTCCACATCAAGGCCGTACTTAAGCTGCCCGACCTGAAGGAGCGCGCTTCGTATTCGTCCCACAAGGGACTGTACGATCTGTCCTTGCAGCTGGCCGAGAATCCGCCACCGCCGCCCAGCAAGTCCCAAGACGAAAAGACGCCGAGCGCTCAGAACCCTGAGCACAAATAAGAGCGAGACAATCATTTTTAAGCCAAAAAAAAAACTACCACCAGAACACAGAACACAGAATTTGCAATTTATTTACATATGTAAACATCGATAGCAACAAAAATACACTAAACTAAGAAACTAAACACTGAAAACTGTAGCACGATTATTCAGGGCAGCATTCAGGGTAGCATTTAGGGTAGCATCCGATCTTCTTTCTTGGGTAATGCAATAGTTCTTGGGCTGCATGCTTACGTGCCTGGGATCGGCACGCAGACACTCACATGTTTTTGGGACACGAAGCCAAAAACGTTTCTTCTTCTTTCTTCTGTTCGTATATGGCGACTGCGCTGCCCCGAGTTCGTTTCCCATACCGACGCTGCCGGGCTACCTTCGACTACGGGGCCAGAGAGGAGCATGGCACAAATGCGTAGTTTTCTTTTGCGTAGAACGAACACGTCAGAGCGTTACCTGGAGAGTCTGTCTGTCGCCTTGGATTGTCTTTGGCTGTGAAGCGAGGCGCTATTACCTTTTGGCATGGAGTGCGCCCCAAAGCAGACTACAAACAAATTTATTATTCGACGCACAAGCAAGGTGCAGCCGCTCCATTGCGCAGCTAAGGCAGTGGCAGGGAGCGAGATATTACGATAGCACAACAAAATGCATAATTGAGGGATTCTAAACAATTTATTGAACACTTTCTCTTCTCACTCTCTTGGCGCCGCTTACAAAATTACGCAAAAAAAAAAACCAAAGACATATGTATGTATATAGGGTTGCATATATATGCATGCACATACATATCTATGTGTATGTGCATGTGTATGTGGTATGTGGTATGTGTTATATGTATACGTGTGTGTTTGCATATGTATAAATAAATAAGTGGACTACATAGGGGTTGGTGTGTGTGTGTGTGTGTGTGTGTGGGTGTACTAACTGGTTATACAAAGTAGAATTCAAATCGTTCGGAATGCATCGAAAAATGGGCGACAGTGGGACGCAGAAAATGTTCTAAGGCTTAGACTTAAAGCTTAAAAGCGCTTAAAATATTTAGTGACTAATTCAAGTGTGTGTGTATGTGTGTGTGTGGGTGTGTGTGTGTATGTGTTGTGTCTGATGTGAATCTAAAAAGTCTTAAGAGAGAGTCTTACCGGAAATACGCTAAAAGTAACCAAAGTTCGAATCAAATGTGTGCAGAGAAAGCTAAAAATGTGGATGGACATTGGACTTGGACAGGGGGGGTGGTTAGGGGATATAGGCGTGGCATGGCATAGCACCGTCTCAAAGAAGTAGAACCTAGGCTTAAACTTAAAAACAAAAAATAATAATTGATAAACGACTGCCACCAACATGGGTACATGCAGGGAATCGAATCAGCAGCGGGGGTTTGTAAATGGATCTGTGCAGATAGCAGGTGCAGTTGGGTGGAGGGGAGGGAGGGCTTGAGGTGACCCAGTAAACTTGGCTTGATTTAATGTTTATGTAATTTGTATCAAAAATTAAAACTAACGAAGCGTACGCTACAAATTTAAGAGCCGCAGACGCAGACGCAACTGAACCCAGGCCCGGCACTGGCAACTGGCAACTGAAAGCGCACAAAAGCGGAACTAGTTGCAGAACCGGAACCAGCGTGCGCTGCCCATTAACCCAAAACCAGAACCGGAACTAGCAACAGTTGGGGTTAGCTCATGACAGCGCCCGCTTCTTGGAGAGCGTGCCTTGGACATCCGCTGGCGACGCCAGCTGCAGTACGGGCAGTGCACCGGCTGCGGCTGCGGCGGCTGCCGCTGCCAGTTGGGGATTCGTGAAGGCAACGGCCCGCTCCTTGGCACTGAACGTGGAGAAGGGGCGCAGGCGAACGTACAGGATGGCAGACGTGAGACAGGAGGTGACCAGGATGCCCAGCAGCACGATCAGCGTGATGGCAAAGCCCGGCGTGGTCATGCATATCAGTCCCTCCTCACGTACCGGGAACACCATTGTCTGGGGCGCTGTCGAACCGGAACCGGAACCGGAGGCATTGGTGGCATTGCCGCCGCCCTGTTCGTCAATGGCAAAGGTCAGATCGCCGGAGGACACCACCTTGATGATGCGATTGAGACCCACCTGCGGCTCGGCAACGGCTCGGGCGCGACGCTGCACCCGGCGCTCATCTCGTCGCTTGCCAATGGCACTCGCCACGTGGTAGGCGTCCACATGCAGCTGCGGCGGCGGCGGACCGTACTGGGACTCGGGCCCCACCTGCAGGTGATGCACATCCTGGAGGTTCGTCTCCGCGGAGCACTGCTCGGGGCAGTGGTAGCGGCAGATCTGAATGGTGCACTGGAAGTGCACCTCCATCGAATCGGGGAACTTGAACGCCTGGAAGTGGGCGTACGACAGCACCGAGGCGGAGGCGCCGAAGTTCTTGATCTTGGTGAAGCGTGACATGAGCTTGGGCCTGGTGACGCAGCCCCGTTGATCGACCAGCTGGATGGGCGCCCGCTTGCCGTCGTGGGCGACACAGTTGCGCACGAGCATATCGAACTTGGAGTCATCGTCCTTGATGGCCAGCACCATGGTCATGGTCTGTCCAATCTTCACCAGGCCGGACACCTCCGAGGCCCAGGGACCCTTGCCCACCTGTATCTGCATCCAGCAGCCGACATTGTCGCCGGCAAAGTCCGCCCGCACCACATCCAGCATGTCCACGGGGAAGGGGCGGAAGGTGACGCTCTTCTCGTACTGATCGTGCCACGTGCAGCGCAGCTTGCGCGCCTGATCCCACACCTCCTGAACCTGCGGATCGTACTGGATGACAATGATGTTCTCGAAGTAGGTGCCCGCCCCGGTGCCGGCGCCAGACACACTCTGATCGTGGCCATAGCCCTGGCTGTAGTTGTCCGTGTTGCCGGCGGTGCCGCACTCGTGCAGGCCGATGTCAAAGCTGGCCGAGGTGCGACCCAGTCCGGACGGCAGATGAACGCAGTTCATGTTGCTGTAGTGGCCCTTGGAGAAGACGATGCCGTTAAAGGGCTTGTCGAACTGCACGAACACCTTCATGCCGTTCTTCTCGCACTTCACATCCAGCGACACAATCTTGGGCATGTCCTGCACCGGCGAGGCCCAGATCTCGTTGTTGCTGGACGCACCCACACTCAGATCGGGCACCTGCACCTGTTGCACCTGCACCTGCTGTGGCATCTGCTGCTGCTGTTGCTGCTGTTGTTGCTGTTGTTGTTGCTGCTGCTGTTGCTGTTGGGACTGGCGTTGGGGTGGCGGCGGTGGGCCCTTGTAGAACTGTGCTCCCGGCGGTGGCGGCGGTCCAAAGGGTTGGCCAAAGCTCAGTGGAATATTTTGGTGGTTGCCTGCAAAACGTGGAGGAGGGGTACAGATCTGCTGCTGGACAAGTGGGGGGGTGGTGGGTGAATGACTCACTGCGCAATGTGAGGCCCAATTGGGGCGGGGACGGTGGCATGTTGTGCTGGTAGTGCACCTGCACCTTGGGCACCATCACCGACTGTGGAGGTGGCTGCTGCTGCTGTTGTTGCTGTTGCTGCTGTTGTACCTGCATTTGGATCTGCTGCTGGGCCTGCTGCTGCTGCTGCTGCTCCTGCTCTGACTCCTGTGCCATCTGATCCAGTTCGTTTTCGTGCTCGGAGAGGGCCAGTGCCAGATCATCATCGGGGCCGCCGGCAATGGCCTTCACCACCTCAACGTCGTCCGCCAAGACCAGGGCAACCTGCGACCCATTTCCGGGTAAGAAACAAAGAAAGAAAGAAAAACAAACAAACAGAAAGAAATCATGAATGGTCTGCTCTGCTCTCTATATTCAGCTGCCACCAATTGCTTGCCTCCAACTGGCGCGGAGAATGTCAAGTGGAATTGGCGCATCAGTGGCGGATGCGGCATGCAACTCAATTGCATAAGGCGGCAGCAGCAGCAGCAGCAGCAATAAAAAAAAAGCAAGGCAACAACAAGGCAACAAAAAAAAAAGAAACACAAGAAGAAAAGCTACTGCAACAATTTCGCTTTTTTCCCCTGCACTCTTCACATCACATCTCATCAGTCTTCACTCTTCACTTCACTCTTGACTCTTTCACTGCATCTCTGCATCTTCCTCTCTCAGTGGCTGTGTGCCACATGCGCGGCACATGCAATGTGGCAAGGCGACCCAATTGTCATGGAGATCCGCCTGGCAAAGAAGGCGATGTCAAGACTAGAACCAGACAGCCATCGGCCATCAGCCATCAGCCAGCAGCCAGCGGGGCCAACAATCGAATCAACACGGAATCACTGAATTGAGGTGCAGTGAAGTGCGGTGCGGTGCGGTGAGGTGCGGTGATCGCAAGGGGCTGATATGTGCTCTATTATAGCTGGGATGTTAGCTACCTAATCAGACACCTAATCTTGAATATATTCCATTGAACCTTTGCCCATCAAAGCCATAACTCCTTGCAGATCTCTTCGAACTGAACACTTCTCTTGGCTAACTTGACTATTGCTATTGCTATTGCTGTTTTTTATCGTTTACAAGTAATCGGAGAATCAATCGTTTTGGAATCATTCGATTCCAGCCCATGGCTTGCTCTTGCTATTCGGATTTTAACTGATTCAGCCATTAGGGCAATTAGTTGGCTGCCGTGGCAGGCAAAGACAGTTGCAATTGCGGGCAGGTGGACTGATGATGTCCAGTTCATGGTACTTTTGCTGCTGCTGCTGTTGTTGCTGCTGTTGTTGCTGCCATCCCAAATGGTTTGTCGTTGCTGCTGCGTCTGGGCAAATCTGTGCCGCAGTGCCAAAAACAACTTTCTCCCAGCCAGCGAGAGCATCTCCGCGAGAGCATCTCATCCAGCTTCAATATCAGCTCCAGCTCCAGCCTTAGCCTTGGCCACTGCCGCAGTCTCAGCCGCAGCCTCAGCAATCAGCTCCCATCGCATTGCATCGGGGGATGTCGCAACTACGGAGGCATCCTGAAGCAATCCTGTTTGGTAGAAAGTGATGTGGCAAGCGCGCGCGGCAGACGATACGATTGACGATTGACGACAAAAAGGTAAATGGTAAATGGCAATTGCCAAACGAGTTACCAAAAAGTTACCCCCCCAAAAACTGAACCGAACCGAAAGCAACAGAAATTCTATGCCACAAATTTACATTTATCGTCGCGAGCAGGGGGAACAGGGGAATGGAACAAGCACAAGCACAAGCGCCGCCCCTTGAATACCAAACAAGACCCAAAATATTTGATATGATTTTCGGTGCTGCCGGTGCCTACTGATTTATCCTCAATCCTCAATAGGTGGTGCTGGTGCTCCGCCTGCTGCGTTAATTGAAATGTGTGCCAAGTGCTGGCAAAATGTATGCCGGGAGAGTGTCGTGCGAGTGTTCCATTCCCCACACGTTCCGTGCAGGTTCGTTGCTGTAATCGCAAGTGGAGACAACTAATGATGAGACTGCTTACTTGGATACTGCTTACTTGGATACTGCTTGCTGGATGCTGCTGGCGACTGCTGAAACTGAAGCCAAAGCTTAAGCCAAAGCCAAAGCCGGCTGTTGTTGCTAATCTTGACCTCGACCAATGCTAAGCTCTTGAGATGCTGGCTGGCGCTGTCTGTCTGTCTGGGCTTTGGGTCGGTCTGACTGGCAGCGCACCAAATCGGGAGAAAGTGAAACATTAGCAGAGAATCTGCAGGGGACGTGCAAGGAATTTGGCAGCCACTTGAGAGCAACATTGCGCGGGGTCAAAGGTGAACGCTATGCAGTTTGGCAGCATTTCGGCAATGCGGCCGCCAACATGAAAGCGAAAAGGAAGTGCTGCAGCTGGAGATGGCAGCCCAGCAGCCCAGCAGACCAGCAGCACCAGGAAAAAGCGCCCATAAGGAGTGGGAAATCGGTTTGCGGCCATCGCAAATTGTGTCATCGCCCCAGAATACATCCATACAACGGCAAAAACAAAACCAAAAGGCAACGAAACTTTCTAACGTCACGATTGTGGTGCCAAGAGATTTTTTCTGATGGGTATTACCGAGGCACGGATGCATATGGAATTTTAATATGTTCCGTTCCCGGGGAAAAAGAGTCAAAACAAAAGAGAAAGGAATGCTGTGGCTGGCGGATGTCCAATGGGGCTGGGGAGGGGAGGGGGGGAGGCTGGGCTGGGTGTGGGACTGGTTTTGTGGAAGTGCATTCAAAGAATTGGAATCCGAAAGGATTATCAAATAAGTCCAAGTCTAAGCTCAAAGTGTTCATGCCATGTAGTTACGTCAGTCCAAAGTTGGTTAATTTAATTTAGTTTAGCTATAACAGGAAAAGAAATTGCCATTTCTTTTTATTTATTTTCTAAAATATTTTGCAAACTTTGCTATTAAATCACCAATACAAATTCCAGTTGATTGTTTAGCGTGATAAAATTCCCTTTCAAGTAGCAAACGTTCCCCTTAAAATGTAACAGGAACTACTGCCAAATGTAACACACACACAAACACACATACGTGGCACACAATCACACTTTCTGGAGGAGCACCAAGCCACACGCGTGCAATTGAAGCGCAAAACGAGGTCATGGCAATTACCCATCCCATCCCATTCCATTTCATTCCAAGCACTTGGCGGCCTGGCGGCTGGCTGCTCTTTCACTTGAACACACTCACACATAGTCACTGATATGCACACGCAGTTAGGCAGCCAGACGAACTGAGACAGAGAGAGGGAGATGCTTAAGCCGGCTGCTTTTGAAGTACTGACTAAACGAGGAAGCAGCTGCTGTACAAGCATGTCTGCTGCAAGGTTTTAACTGGCATGGTTTGTTACTCTATCTTTTCTATGACTAATTTAGCTAAAGCTTGATGTGTACTACATACATATACCTACATATATTTGTAAGTATTCGAATATATTGGCAGCCTCACTATTACTAAGCATTCGAACACTCACAAAGCTCAAGCTTTAAATAATTCTGGCCTGCTGCCTGCTATTTACGAGCATGAATCTCGTTTGGACAGTACTTAATGGGAATTATCTATTTATAAGCTGCTTGCTTCTGCTTGCTGCTGCTGCTTTCTGCTGCTTGCTGCTGCTGTTGTGTCTGCAGCTTAGGCTTAAATTGATTTTAATTATTTGCATCGTCTCGACTCACCTGCAGTGAAAGGAAAATGATAAGCGGCAGCCAAATCTTCTTAGCACCGATTTCATTGCCACCTTGATGCGGATGTTTTCTGCAGCGCTGTTGTTGTTTGTGCCGCAGCTGCTGCTGCTGCTGCTGCTGTGTTGGATTATTGTGTTGCATGTTGCTGCTGCGCTTGTTGTTGTTGTTTGCTGTTGCTGTTGTTGTTTGCTGTTGCTGTTATTCGATGTGTAATTAATTTGTTTAACATTATTTGATATTTTCTTAGGATTACAGTCGTTATTAGGAGAAGTTGAGGAAACAGTAAAAGAAGCGGAAGAAGCGATGCAGAAGAGAAATGGAGAGAGGTTAAAGCATAACCGAAGAAAGTGCTTCAATTGTTGTTTGATTTTCGCTTTTTTTTTTTTCTTCCACCCATTAACATCATTATTGCCATTCATGAAAGTGTTTGCTGCTAATTGCAATTTATTAGCAATTTTCCAGTTAGCTGAATGATGATTGATTGTCTCTCCCGCACCCCTTTTCCATTCCCCTCAGCTCCACCCACGGCATACAAGTGAAAACAAAAACTCAAAAAGAGAGAGAGAGAGAAGAAAGAATCTGCCTAATGACCGCGCACAACGCCAGCCCAAAAGGTGTTGGGTTTGGAGTGCGGTGAGTGAGGTGAAGTGAAGTGTTGTGGCCTGGGGGTTGGGCGTTGGGGGCAAGGTGAGAAGTGTTAATAGGTTTCCCCATAAGTGAAGTGGGTCATCCATGGGGCCCAGACAAATAAACGCGTATGAATGCATTGTTGGCCAATTAAAAGAGAGCGCAGACGATCTTGAAATCTGTTCGTCTGAGAGTTGTCAAAGGAAACGGAGAGAGTGGTTCTTTGAGAGAGATGCGCTGGAGAACGAACACGTTCAAGGGAAGGTTTTTGTGGGACGAGCGAGTGCCAGTGCCAGTGACCTTGAACATGTCCTCTGGTGCTGAACTGGAAACTGGAAAAATGCTAGTGCTACTTGACTTTCATTCCAGCTCTAAAGATGGCTCCAAGAAGAGTGGAAAAAAACTTTCTCAGCAAGTTGTTCCCAAACAGCAGAACAGGAAATGAAAGGAAAGGAAATATCTAAAGAGTTCTTTATCTGGATGGGGGAAGGTACTACTCGTAGTTCCTTTGAATTTATCATTTTCATTGTGCTCGTTGCTGCTCCTGCTTATCGATTTGATTCGCTTGATTCCACTTCCGTGTGCGCTGCTCGCAAGGACTTGCCTTCTGCACTCACCTTCCACGCTGCTGGCCCAATTTCGCTGTTCCAATTCTGCAATTCTGCAATTCGAATTCGAATTCCACTTCCAAATTCCAATTGCTCAATGCAATGGCAAATACAAACAGGATGCGTTTGCGTTATGTGGTGGCAACTTTCGAAAAACTGTTGCACTTACTGCTGGTAAACAGTAACCGTTACTGTTGCTGCTGTTGCTGCTGTTGTTGCTTCTTCGACCTGCCTCTGATGCTGGGTGGACAATTGTCGTCGCAGCCAAAAGGGGCTCGAGTCACCGGGCGGTGCACGAGGCGCAGCGACTGCGATTAATTGCGAGTTGCACGCGGTCAATTAACGGTCGTCAGACGTCCAATT